CAAACGAGCTGAGTTTGTGGCATCTCCTTCTGCTGCCATGAAAATCGCTGTCATGTCAGAGACTAAGCTCTGCAGCTTTGCTGCCAGGTTAAGCAGGAGAAGCTAGGCTGTGATTAGGAAAAGATCCCCGGGGAAGCAGTGTGCAGGTGGAAGGTGACGGGCTGGGAGTATTAGGAATGGCTGTATCATACTCATCAGTGGGCTGAGCCGGGAGGTACCAGAGTGCCTGTAAAATGGAGCTACAGGGGAGACAGCAGATATGCATCATGGCTGAGCTGATGCTGTGTCATGGCCAGGCACAGAACTGCAAACAGCATTGCAGCAATGCAGTTGCATCATTGCAAGAGGGATGGGTGGAGAAGAAACACCTTGGCTCACACACGCTGCAGTGACTGTGGAGCATGGATTTACAGTGTGCTTCCTGCATCTCCCATGTCAGTGAGAGCAGGGTTTATACCCCTTGCATCTTGGCATCTCATGAACTGTTCAATGTAATACTCCCCCTCCATTTTGCAATCTTCCTGCTGTCTGTCCTTGGCAGCCTGGAGAGGGGAGAGGGTCCTGGCAGCTTCCTTTGGCTTGCACTGAGAAGAGGTGGGCTGGAAGCTTCTTGTGCCAGGCAATGCATGGAAGGCTCAGTATGGAGCCCTTGGAGCTCAGCAGGCAGGGCACCACTGCCTGAGACACCTGTCAGCTGAATAGAAAAGTGGCTAGAAAGGCTGACAGTATTGTCACCTCCTGAGCTGAGTGATGAGCCTGTTGCTGTTTGCATTGTTACAGCACCTGAGAGTCAGTGACTGGCTGAGGGTACCTCTGGGAGCTGGATGTTCTTCCTCATGGAGATTACAGCTGGGAAGCAGAAATACAGGACGGGATTAGTTCAGGAACTTCAGGTCACTCCTCCCTTCCTTCACTGCTTTCCCCAGGGCACTGCAGAGTGTGTCTCTCCTCCAGCCTGAAATAGGGAGAAGATGATTCTGGTCCCTAGTTTACCTGGACATTTGTCACTTGGTAAGAAAATTGCAAGCAGTCTGCTTGACATCATGCCTCTGGTAAATAATAAATGGCCCTTGGTCACGCACAGCCTTCTGCGTGCCCAAGGAGGCTACCCTATTTCCCAGAGCCAGTGTGTGCTCAGATTTCTGTCCAGGATTTCACTGCAGCAAGGACCAGTGACCCAAACCAGTGTGGGATCACCCAGTGACTGTCCCTGAAGCCTGTGCTTAGGCTGTAGCAGGGATTGAATACTACATGTGGTCCAACCATTTGTATGAAATTCTGTTTCATGAAGAATACAACAAATTGCTTGTCAGCATTAATCTGTGCCTCCTTTCTAGTAATTTATGTTTATGTATTTTTTCCAGCCTATTCATGGAAGTGTATCTCTGTGATCTGTGCATACAGGCATTGGGTAGTGCTGCTTTGGCTAAGGACAAGCCAGCCCAGGTCTGGAGCAGGGTGTTTGAGGCAATGCTGGTTTGCTTGGACACAGTGTGCTGCTGAGGTGTCCACAGGGCACCCAAACCTCACCTGGGCTGCTGGTGCCCTTTGACACCATCTGTCTCAAAGTGCTCTGCTTTGCAGCAATCTGTAATGTGTCCTACACTTGACAATTCAAGCTGGTTGGGAGATGTTCCAGCAAAACTCTTTTTCATCTGAACTTGCTGATGTGCTGGAATGGAAGCATGTTAGAGATGTTTCCACATCCCTCCGATTCTGATGAAAGCTGGACAAGGCTCCATAGCATTGTCCCAAATGGCTTGGCAGTCTGCTTGGGGTTGTGTGGTTTTTTGGCAGCCTAGTCTTCCATGACTTCCCATACCCAGCTGGGGAACCTTAGCCTTAGGTGCAGGACAGCTCTTTCAACAATTCTGAATTGTTTGTATTTTCTTCTGAGGTGTTAAGAATTAAAATTTTGAAAGTCTCCATGAAGTGCAGGTTTTATTCTCTACCAGAATTTCTTACACCCTCCAAAATTCTGAGCTAGGTGAGACTTTGTGGCTGAATGTTCAGTAATCATTTACAGAGTGAGGCCTAATATAATGGCTGGCTCCACAATTGAGTGCTTTCTTAAGACTGTATTTGTATCTTTTTTAGCTTATTCTAATACCTAATTTTGTTACTTACATATGTATATCTATATGTAAAAGAATATAAAATCCTTATGTCTACAGTTATTTTTCTGGAGCTGCGTTTCAGCTTTTAGTCTGTTTTATTTTCCTTGCCTACTGTTTCTACTTAGTACGCATCTTCTCCTGTTTTAAAAGAAATGAAATGTAGAACTTCTTGATGAGGGTGCAGATTTTTTGACTCCTTAGCAATGACAAATGCAGTGCTCTGGGCACACTGCCTGCCTATAACAGTAAGCTTGTGCCTCTTGTAATTGGACAGTGTTAATGTTTAGGAAGGCAATTGAATGAGCTTAAAAAGAGCTCACAAGATGGTGGTCCCTGCAGGTCTGCAGGTAGCATAGTAAATCATCACAGTGAGGAAGTGCAACTGCCAGCATGTGGCAAAATAACTTATTACTATTCTGGCTGCTGATTCACAAGTCCTGCTGCAATTACAAGTGGCAGTAGAGAGGCTGGGGAGAAAACAGGGAGCCTGCTCTGGATGCTCCATCCTCCAGATGGGGGGACTTGCATTCATCTCCATTCTTTAATGAGAGGGTAACAATGTCTGAGGCAGGTCCTGGGGACATATGTCATCATAGCTCTGTGCCTTGGTTCCTCCCCAAGGTCATGTCACTGCTGGAGCATGGAGCACGTGCAGAGCTTCAGACCTGCTGTGTACATACCCTTTTGTTGTGTACTGTATTTAAAATGTCTTTTCCTCATCTTCTTTCTCCCTTAAAAATGTCTGTTTCTCCCTTTTTCCTTTTTCTGGAATGATACAGAGTGCTGTAAAGGTTTTGAACCTGCAAAATTGTTCAAGTACAAGCTAAAAAGTAAATGTGCAGTGTATAACAGAGGTTACATTATAATACCTCTAGCTCTGCCTTAGTGATTTGTAGAACAATTTTTATAAATTTATTTGTTTTATTGTCCTGGATTAAGAAAGTGTCAAGTTGTTTGTTCTCTAAACTGGGAACTCAGGACATTCATAGTTTATATGCCTAAGTCATGCTGTAACTAAAGCAGGAATTGAATCTGAACTGAGTAAAATAAAACATGGACAAACTGGAGATTCTGAGTTATTGTCTTGTAGACATTGTCTGGTGAGCCAAGGAAATAATTTATAATAAATGTCTATTTTTATGTATGAATGGGGAAAAATGGTTCTGACCGCTTTAAGAGTTTTCTAGCATTCACAGTCACTTCCAAAATTCTTTTCAAAAGTGTTATGTACTTGTTATGGTTTAACCCCAGCTGGCAACTCGGCCCCACACAACCACTTGCTCAATTCTCCCCTAACCCCACCCCACTGTGGGATGGGGGAGAGAATCAGAATGGTAAAAGTGAAAAACCTTGTGGGTTGAAATGAAAACACTTTAGTAATGGAAATAGAATAATCACAGTAATAGTAATGATAATAATGCAATTGGTAGGAAAATAAAAGAGAGAAATAAATAAAACCAAAGAAGGACAAGTGATGCACAGTACAGTTGGTCACCACCCACTTATTGATGCTGAGCCAGTCCCCAAGCAGTGCTCCCCCCATCAACCTCCCCCTGACTTTTATTGCTGAGTATGATGCCATATGGTGTGGAATATCCCTTGGGTCATTTGGGGTCAGCTGTCCCAGCTATCCCCCCTCCCAATTCCTTGTGCTCACCCAGCCTCCTTCCTGGTGATGAGAAGAAAAGACATTCACTCTCTAAGCTCTGTGCAGCAATAGCTAAAACATCCTTGTGATACTAATACAGTTTCCAGCACAAATACAAAACAGTCCCATACAGGTTGCTGTGAGGAAGATGAACTACCCCAGCTAAAGCCAGAGGAGCACTGAAGTTACAGACTTTCCCTGTCTTTGGGTAGGTGGTAGGGGACTGGCATTTCCAGTATGATTTCTTCAATGAGAGAGGTGAAATACTGGTTCTTGGGAATATGCACTGGTAAAATTTGCTTTATATTAAATGCAGTTTTTGAGAACAGAATGTAACCATTTGAATAGAGAAGAATATAAGCAGACAATTATTGTGAACAGTCTTGTAGACTTGATATTTTGAACACTCCTTCTTGGAAAAAAAATAAAAAGTTTGCTCCCTGGCATTTTAGAGAATACCAGGAGGTGGTGGCTCTTTGTGCTCTTTGTATGATATTTCAGGTGAATCAAACTTTGGAGTCTGCTTTCTGTTCTCATTCATGGAGTGAGTTATGACATGAGCAGTCTCAGTGCAGAGTGCCCCCAATTCATCAACAACCTTTGGCCTGCAGAAATCATAAATTGATTACAATTAATTCTTCATGCCCATTAGAAACTCTGTGTTCGGCTCCAGGTCTGTACCACGGTACAGAGACACGAGCTGTGGGCTGCATCCCTTGGCTGCATCACGGGAGTTGCTCCTGCTGAGCTGATGTTGAAGGAGCTTCCCTAGTGAGGAATTTCTACGTGGCAGGGCTAAGCAGCCTCTTATGACCTTGTCCCTCCCCATTCAAAGCTTTGTTACTTTTCCAGAGGTGCTAGGGGTGCCAAGTGAGCTCAGCCTGGCCATTGCAGTGTTGGGCAGTTTCTTCTAGGGGCTTCTCTTTCCCTTTTGGCCCTTGTGCAGTGAGGTGGTAAAAGGGGGATGTAGTGGCATTTCAAGTGTTTCTGTGTGCAGTGATTTCTGCTTTGAGCAAAGTGAACTGTGATGATGATGAGGTCTCATGTTCCAAAAGTCAGGAGTAAACAGTCATTGAAAATATCCACTGTGTGTGTACCCACATGAATCCACCTTTATATAGAGTATAACTTGATATTAATGACTTTCTTTATAATATGACCATATTTTTAGCATAAATACGTTATTATGTTTATTTATTTTGACAAACCCATATTTTCCCTTTTTGTTCCTCCAGAGTGACCGACTGCTCATTAAAGGCGGAAGAATTATCAATGATGACCACTCCTTCTATGCAGACCTATACCTTGAAGATGGACTTATAAAGTTGGTTTTTATAAAATACTGCTTTTTTTGCATGCATGTTAGCATAGACTAATATAGTGATTTCTTGATAGTGCTGAGCTGGTATCTTTTGTGGACAGAATCTCAGTTACCTCTAAATGTGGGGCTGTAGTTGAGGAGTGTTTAATTATTAAATTCTGCCATTTTATCTTCACTAAGATTAGATAAGTAGAAAGTGGTAAATTGAAGATATTTGCTTTTGAACAGTTCAATCACAGTTTCTTCTGAAATAGCTAAGGCAAGTAGACACTCTCAAGAAAAGAAGTAATGGTAATGACGGTGTAAATATTTTGAGTCCATGAATGGCAGAAGCCTCTCTACAGCTTTTTTTCCCTGTACCTAGTCAGTGCAATTGCAGCCATGCTCTTAAGGATTGTAGGGCACAGAAATATGAAATATGCCATGTTGTATGGTGCAAACGAGGACCTGCTGCTTCTCAGTTGTCTGTTGGTTAATGCTGAACCACGGCATGTTCTGTTCCTAGAATGTTGTTATGCATTGTCACACATTTAGAAAGAAAGTCCTGATTTATCAGGCTATAAAATACAGGAACTGGGGAAGTATTTGTTAGGTGAAAAACTTGAAATATGTGTTACTGATAGCTTGGGAAACTGCAACAGAGATGTCCATGTGCTCTGCTAGTCCTTTCTTGGCTTAGTGGAGATGAGGGTCTCTAAGGTTTGCAAAGTTACGTACTGTGTATGAGCACTCTGAAGTACACAAGGATCAAAGCCTTTTTCATGACTGCTAAACATTTTCACTAGTGACCTAAGAAGCTTGGTCTCAAGAGGCTACAATTTGATGCAAAGAAATATAATTATGGTTATCTGGTAAATAATTAATTGCCTACTTGTTTTCAGAGCTCTTTAAGAATTTAACATCAGATTAAAAGTCCAATTCTTTATGTATCTGGCTACTTACATTATTATGATTCAGGTTATAACAGAAAATAATACTTTCACCCATGAAACACCCAAGTACACATGGACTGTGTAGTTTTCTTTCTAATACTTCACTTTGGCTTTCCATTTGTAGTGTTAGTTGCATTAAAGAAATGGCAAAAGTGGAGAGGGTACAAAATTTTGAACATGTATCTATTTTTAAAGCAACAGCTAACCAAGTTGTGCTCTTTGATGGGTGTTTTTGTTGAGTTTTTCTGTGATTTTGTTAGTTTAGATGCAAATCTTCTAGTAACACTTGTAAGCATCAGAACTATTTAAAGAACTAAATGCATGAGATGCTGAGAACCTGAAACTGCTGTGAATTTTTTGCTTTGATTCCAGAAATGCAATGGTAGTTAGCTGGCAGGTTAGCAATGCCAAGCTTTCACCTGCCCTTGTTAAGTACATAGACTCCCTCTGAAATCCATGTGTGGATCTGTATCTCCAGGAAGTATCTCAGCTGCCCAAGCCAATTAGGATTAATAATGAACAGACACGCACGATATTAATTTTTAAGAGGCATTTATCTTTGCCCAAGGAGACAAGTTCTCTATTTAGCACCCTGAGTTATGCCTGGCTCCCTAGATTTAGAGGACCCAAGATTTTTCTTTGTAAACTGTGCAAGAAGTCCTGCTCTGAAATCATTTGTGAGGGCAGCCTGCTGTAAGATGGGGTTGGGTCCTTACTGTGTTCAGATGATAAATTTTGCAATCTAAGAACGCTCTGGGTTTGTTTGATCTCTGTTTCTTCAGGTGGAACTGCCCATTGTGTGTGAATATTTAACATCATTGTTAAATGTGGCTCAAGCTTGTTTGGAGCTAGACCTCCATCATCCACATTTCAGTTGATACTATAACTTTCCAGCTGCAGATCCTGCTGATAATACAGAATTCTAGTACAGAATGGAGCAGACACCAAACCACTCAGCCCAGAATAGGCAATAGTGTCCTGGTTTTACCACACTGTAAAAGATCTGGGTTATTTTTCTCACTCTGAAATGAAAACTGATTGGAAGAGAGAGGGTTTGGTTTCTCTTGCAGCCTAATGAAAAGATTTGGGTCTTTTAATGTTTTTACTGCAGATCATTCTGCAGAGAGGAAAACAGAGGTAACCTTGAGTGTGTCTGAAGATCAGCTATAGTTTGCAGGATGGAAGATGTTTCTTCCTGCCACTCAGTGCTCAAACTGGCTCCCTAGGTACAAGGAACAGTGGTGCACGTGGATTTTTCCTACCTGAAACTTAAGCCCTGCACACTCGGATGGCAGCTGAGAGGCAGTTCTCCAGTATCTAAATAGTATTTTAAATATTTGGTAATTTAAATTGGCATATAAATAATATATTTTGCCTACATCTCTCCTGCCTCTGTTATCACATGAGGAAGTGAGCCCTGTGCCAAGTAACAAGTCATGGTCTGGTGCTTGCTGTACTCTGCTCCATCCCTGCCAAGGGGAAGGGTTGGATCCCTCTGGGCCAGAGGAACAAACAAATGACAGGGTGAGGGACTGGGGACATGGTCTCCAGAGCTGGGAAAGTTAGAGGGAACTTCAGATGCCTAAAAGAGGTCTGGGCTTGATAACCGCAGAAGCAAGGCCATGGAGTTCTGGGGGAGGTTTTCAGCTTCCTTGGATGAAGCTTAGGAAGAGCTGAAGCCTGCTGTTTCTGTTGTGCTTTAATCAGCTCATGTACAACGGAGTTTACCAACTTGTTCAACTGAAAATGGCAGACAGCATCAGCTTTCTGTGGGTCTGAGTTTTCTGGTTGCTGACATTAGGAAACCAGCTCAGTCATTTGTACAGTGTCTAGAATGCAGTTATCTGCACTGTTGTATTTTTTTACCCACAAGTAATGGAACCCCATTCTACATACACTTTGCATTAATGAGTGAGCGATTCAGGAATCCTGTCACATTATCTCCTACTCTCTGTTCTACTTAGTTGGAATAAAAATAACCTTGAGCACCAGTGAAGTTCAGACTTCTCCCAGCCTTAATCTTGATGCCAGGGCAAGAGATGAGACAGGTTTCTGACAGGTAGCAGTGCAGCAACATCCACAAAAGCTCTTTGGTTCTATGTCAGTTCAACATGGATTATTTCAGCTGAATAAGATTTTACTCAACCATACACTGAAAGTAATAGGCATTGAATCATCAAAAAACAGTGTATATAGTTAGCACACTTTCACTTTGTTTGGACGTGTGTCTTCTTGAAGAGGAAACTGGTAGATACTGATTGTGGAAGAAAATAAAAATTAATTGCTCTTTTTGTGGAGGTTTTCATTAATATTATTCTCAGAAGGTGTGTTAGTCCTTGGAGTGCAGTTACTCCTTGGACATACTCAAAGGAGATGGGTCATAGCTAATTTTTCCCAGTTCAATTCAATAAATGCTCTACAAAGGTGGAGGGTTGTTCTGATTAAGATCTTGGGGATAGATTTGACTAACAAAAATTAGCGCAGCACAATTACTATACTACTTTATGCATTTAGACATTGAATCTGCTCATGTGTGCAATGCCTTATGATAAGCCTTTGTGAGGCACATTTTAAAACAGAGATGCTGCTTGTAACTTTTGTTTGTGCAATTGGATGTGCTGGGCAGATGCTGGTTTTTGCATCCAGGTTGCTACCCTGTTTGTCAGGGTGTTGTTCACACTGCACAGCTGCACACAGGTTATGACAGGCTGCCAGTGCTGCACATGTTGATGACTATTAGGTGCCAGACTTGGAGGTGCCAGCTCTCATGAGTAAGCCCTCCTGCGTTTGTTCAGTGCTGGGCAGCTGTTACCCCATCCTGGGATGCCCACGAGGAATTTGCCCATGTTATGGCTGTGCTTCCCTCCAGCCAGAGCACAGGGCTGATAAGGGGGAGAGAAGCTGCTGGTGGTGGCATTTTTGCATAGCATATGAAACAAATTCTTGACCTCTTGGGGCTGTTTATTAACTCTGTCAGTTTGGCCAGGTTCCAGTATGAATAATTATCCCTGTGTTTTTTAATTTTCCCACTGGTTTTAATGAACAGTTATATTCACTTCAGGTTCTGCCTTCTCACAGTCAGCTGTTAATCAGTTGCTGTGTTTTGAGCTGTAGGTGGGAGTTGCATTTTAATATGGGGAAACAGATTCAGCAGCTCAGATGTCTGAGGTATTTATTTAGCTGTGGATAAATGTTATTTTATCCAGACAAAAGAAAATTAAGACAAGGACTCTGTGTCTGTAATATGAGATAAACTAAATGAACTTTAACTACCTTATGGTTACCTCTAAGCCCATATATATTGTGGTGTAACAGTGCAGAGACATGGCTTCCACACAGACCCATGTCTCTCCCTGTTCGGCACCATGCAAAGTAGACAATAAAAATGTAGTGTGGCTTTAAAAGTTAAAGTTTAATTTATTTGTAGTGGAGTCCATGAATAATAGAAGTATTTTGATCATAGGTATCTGGAGTTTGATATTGGCATGGGTGACAGATTAATATTTTTAATAGTGAAAAAAACATATCCTGCTTTGAAGACCTGAAGGGAAAAAGATGGCAACAGCTAATTATAATTTTTCTACACGTTATGCAGAATGTTTCACTGACTTTTAACTTCAAGAGGAGGATGAAGAAAATGGGACATGGTAGATTAAATGTGTTTAAGTTTCTTAGATATGTATTTCTGTATCTTAGGTGACTTAGATTTCTTTTTAAGGATAAATTTTCATTGCATGATGACAAAGTAATTATAAAATTTTCTGATATGTCTTTTTCTTCTGTCATCTATTTACAATTCCAGCTTGTTCCCATATTTGATCTATGTTTTCCTATTTTCATTTTAGAGCTTAATATACAAAACTGGAGCCCCCAAGAGAGCATTAAGTGTACTTAATTTGAATTGTTTAAAGATGGAAATCATATAAAAAATAATCAATTTTTAATGTTGGTGCATTACAGCTCCTTTATTGGCCACTAGAGCCATGCAAAGCAAACAAAGCTCACAGTTTGGCGAGGCAGCTCTCCTGTGCTTTGTTCTGCTGTGCTGGGCAGGAGAGAGGGAGTGTGTGCTTGAGCTTCACCTTGCCTTTGGGGACCCACCTCCTTCTGTATGCACCCAGGCTCCCTCTCCCCTACACACCTCAAATAGCTTTGTACTCTGTGCTTGTTCAAATAAAGTAATACTGGCTTTCCTTGCTGTCCAGGCAAATAGGAGAGAATCTGATTGTCCCTGGAGGAGTCAAGACCATAGAGGCTAATGGGCGCATGGTTATTCCTGGGGGAATAGATGTCAACACTTATCTACAAAAGCCCTACCAAGGGATGACTGCTGTTGATGACTTCTATCAAGGCACAAAAGCAGCACTAGCAGGGGGCACCACCATGATCAGTGAGTACCAGCAGTGCTATCTCTTCCCATGCCAGGCTGAACCCTGTGTAGAATGTGTGGGGATAGCTACCAGAGGCTTCATTCTGATTTTCTGCAATGGATCTTCAAATTTTTGGGCACAATGTTTGAGATCCATTCATCATTGTTACCCAGGGTTAGCCTGAAAATAAACTTACCCTCAGAAAGAAATACCAGCGTGGGGAATTGTCTCTTGGCTTTTCCTCTGAAATACAGAACAAGCACTGAGGGATACTCTTGGGATTTTTGGAAAACAAAAGTGTAGGAAGTGCTGTAAGTATATGGTGCAGAAAATCTGACAAAGATCTGCTGTTCCCACCTACTGCCATTTCAAGGGCTTTGGAAATAACAAGATGCTTATTTATGACAATTTGGCAGGAGGAATTGAGGAAGCCCTTACCTGAGATGTCCTAGAGGAACATCTTTGTTGGTGAAAGAAAGGAGTGTTTCTAGTTGTTAAAGACCCTTCTTCTATCTACAGATGGTGGGACAAGATTTATCTCTTTCCTTCTGACCATGACTTGACTTTGGCTAGATTTTGTAAGGCAATTTTTCAGGTGCCATAAATTGTCTTAGCTTCTTTGTGGAGAGGAGCTTCCCAGTGGATTTTTTTTGGTGTTATCTGTTACCCATGTTCAGCAGCAAGCCTCAGCTGAAAGACTCTTTGGCCATAGGCACAGAATGCACTGTTGTTCATTCCTTTTGCTAATAGTTTTTGTCAGTCTGTGATTTTCAGTTGAGTATTCCTGTGCAGAGTTAGGCTTGCAAATGGCACTGGTAAGCCCATCTTGATTTGTTTTCATACTGACTTTTGACCTAGCCCTGCAGAGAGAGGTACCTGTGTGTAAGTAGTCATGTCTTTGTGTCAGTGGATGGGGTGGCACCATTAGAGGCAGAAAGCCTTGAGGCAGGGGAGAGGCAGGGCATTCAATGTACCCTATAGTGTGACTGAGTGTTTGTGCACAACGTCACCCCCATTCAAACCTTTGGCTATATTCCCAGTTTTGGCTGCTGAGAAAACATTGGACATCTGCACTGATGTATTGGTAGGGCAGAGTGGGCCAGTTCAGTGCCTATGAGGCACTGGTTAAGTACTGTGCTTACTGTGAAGTAGAGAGAAATGGACACATCTGACAAGAAATACAGTGAAGTCCATAAGAGTCTATGGTCTCTTATAATACAGTAAGGGGAAAGACAAATGTTTCCCAAACTGTGAGGTGTTTGGCTCTCCCTTTGTGTGTCTATTGATGTTGCACCAAGTAGGTTGCCAGACTCATCTTTAGTATAGACTTCACAAAGTCTTCTGCACCTCGGGCAGCAGGACCTGGCTGACACCCCAGAGTTACAGTCAGCTCACAGACTGCCTCCAAGGCTGCAGTTTTGGCTGAGATGCTGTAAGACTGCTCACTTTGGGGAAATCTGAACAGTATGCACACTGTCCTGCTAACAGACACTCAATCTCTTTTTTTTCAGTTGATCATGTGCTTCCAGAACCTGGATCTAGTTTACTGACCTCCTTTGAGAAGTGGCATGAGGCAGCTGATACCAAATCCTGTTGTGATTATGCTCTCCATGTGGACATCACCAGCTGGTATGATGGGATTCGAGAAGAGCTGGAAGTACTTGTGCAAGACAAAGGTCAGTGAGTGAAATGTAGTAGTATTTTTTAATTTGTTTTATTGAAATATAAGGAGGTGAAATTTTGAAGTATTTTAATGAATGCATAGGCACTGGTTATGCTGGCCAAGGTTCTTTACTACCTAGAACTTGTATTTTCACTTTCTGCTGTGTAAAATGGACCTAAAACTTTGTGTATATATATATATATATATATATGTATATGATTTTCTCTAGTATAGACTTGGAAGATTAAGATGCTTACATTGTCATAAAGAAATGTATCACTTTATGCTTGCTTGTTTGTATATAGGGAAATAGGCTCATACATTGCATAGGTATGTAAAGGTACAGTTAGGTACCTAATGAAAAATGCCCTTTCTCAAGTGCTTCTCTTTAGTGGCTTTCCCTGAAGTTGGTAGAAGATGCCTTGTTTCAATACTTTCAAAATAAAAGTCACTTATTTAGGAATCTAAGACACTTCTATGGGTTTGACTGTGTTCAATTAACCCACCTATTACCATGTGAGATGCTATAGGTAACCCTACCTGGACTCCAGCTACCAATTCAGAATAGCACAGATGAAATCTCTCCTAAATGCATTTCCACACATGCAGGCTCAACGTGGCAGTCTCATATATGGAGGGCATCTTTGTGGCACCAGATACCTCTGTGTGGGAAATAGGATATAGCCTTCAGAAGATCCTAGCTTAGATCTTGTTCCTTGAAGTTGTGACTGACAGCATGTATTTTCTTTTCAGAATCATATTTTCACATATTTTTCACTTTCTACTTTCCTTGAAAATGTATGTATGGATATTAATTAGGGAATATTTTCTGAAATGGCATGTGGTTTCCATGGACAAATCAGAATGACTTCTGCTGGGAAACCTAAGTGATATGTATATGCAGCATCCTTTGTTGTGTAGAGCTAGTGTTGACTTAGATGTGAAAGGTTTTCTTTATAGAGAAATGTACTATCAGCTGTTTTCTGAGATGCCAGGGAAGTGCAGTCACCTGGGGGAGTTTATTCCATGTCACAGGATGCTAACAGTACATGTGCTGTATAACCAGATTTTAGGCAACAAAACACTTCCATCAGCAAGACTGCACATGATTGGAGAAACTGCAGCTGCTCTTACATAGGTCTCTAGTATAGGTGATTTTTACAAGGTGATGACATCTGTCAACACAGGTTGTGCTAAATCTGTGCTGTTTCCCTGCTGTTAGCATTAACATGAAGCTGCTGCTGTGCATTAGCTGACTGTACTCTCAGACAAATATACTGTGCCTTGTTCCAAAGGTTGGATATTATTTCCCAGAGCTCCCGTACCGCAGATGGCTCAGTGTTCCCAAATTTGCCCAAGGGTTTACATTAAAAGCCTGGTGCAGACAGATAGGTTGATAGTTTTCTCCAACTATTGAAATGTGAGTTTTCTATATAAATCTGACCTGTCTCTGAGTCATCAGGGGAAGCAGAAATCTGTTCATTGGTTCCTGAAGTGAGATTTATGATGGAGCCTTGGTGGCCTGTTCAGTGGTGAGAGCATGAGGAGGTCACCTTTGTTCTCATATATGTCTCAGGCAGGCAGTGTGAGTTACTCTCACGTGTTAGGAGACACAAGGTAAGGGTGAGTATGAACACACAAGCACAATAGGAAATAATTCAGCCTGGCAAGGGCTTTCAAATTAATGGGTAATATTTCCTGATAATTGGAAACATTTAAGCCAGCTGGTGCAAATAGACTTGATGTCAGTGGAGTGACCCTGGTTTTCATCAGCTGGGAATCTGGATTGAATTGGTTCTTGGCTGATTGTGGGTGAGTTAGCTGAGTGACAGGGCCCAGCTCATTGTATTTCAGTGCTACATGTGCCTAATGCAATCAGCATGAGTAACAGGGGAGTTCACTGAGTGGCTGTTGAGGTGCCTTGTCATGAGGTATAATTGAACAATTAATCACTTTTAAATAAATACAAAGCTAATTTAAGGAGACACGGGCTTTGGAAGGGCCTGAAGATTTTGTAGAGCCAAATATTGATGATAAACATTCAGGCTTGTAGCGTCTCAGCAGCTATTTTGGGATTGAGCTTCTTCAGTATATGCAAAGGAACAAGAGCCTGAAATTGCTGACAGGGATGTCACTGGTTCCTTTGATTTTGTCACTGTTCAAAAAAAACCTGTATTTCTGCCTAAAATTTGGAGAGGATTCTGTTGAGTACCCCTAGTGTGAGAGCAAGTAGGACATTAACAAGAATGTAGTGTGTAACAGATGTTAAGCATTAAGGTCAATAGGCCACGGACCAGGGCTTTTGAAAAGCTGCATAATTCCAATGAGTAGGTCAAGGAACCAGGCCAGAGCGAGGAGTCTAATCTTGGATACCTGTATATGTAAATCTGTGTTATTTATTTTGGTATCTGGTATAGGTGCTCTCTTTGCAAGGCAGGATTGTTCACACCATCGCTCCTGTCAGCTGTAAAGGCAGCCCCTGAAATGCTCTTCCACTGTGTGTGTACCTGGTGGCAGCTGAGGGTCTGGATGGGTGTTTACATGGGAGAATTCTGCTTCTGCACTGTGGTAAGGAGCAGGCTCAAGATCCTATGTCAGGATCCCTACTGGGATTCCTTCTGCTCCCATATATTTCAGGGAGAACATTAAATAGAGTGGGAGCAAAACTCAGTCATTTTATCAAGGCGAGAAGAGGGACTAAGAAGATACCAAGGCAATAAAAGAGAAAGGATGAAAATAAGTATTACTTGGGTCAGTCACATCTGCCCACAGAGCTCAGAGGAAGCTGCCTTACCTCCTGTGATTACCTTTGGCTAGAGCCTGGTGGATGAGGGAGAGCCATAGGTAACCCTTGGCTCACAGAAATGTGTGCGAGGGGTCAGTCCCGTGCCATCACTGAGGCCGGTCGGCATGGCTTGGACCAGGCCTAACATGTGCTCCTTGCTCTGTGTGTGCATGGCACCCCCACAGAAAGTGGCTCCTGGGTGACATCTGACATGTGGGGTGGGTTGGTGGGAAGAAAATTGAGCTTTGCTCTAAGGCAGGTCAGGTGGGTGTGCTGGGTGCTGCTCTGAGCAGGCAGAGGGACACGGGGCTCTGGGCATGAGGCTGCAAGCACTGGCCTCAGGGAAGGCCCAGCCAAGCTAAGGTTTTAAAATAAGAACATACTGAAAGAACATACTTTGAAATTGTAATGAGGAATAGATGGAGGGATTACAGTTAGTAGAAGCTATAATGTGTTTTCTGAGAAGATGATAAATAGGAAAATAGGAAGAAAGGATGGGCTACACAGGCTGACAGAGTTCTACCTTTCAGGCTGGATTTGCTCAGCGTGAAAGTCAGCAAGGAGAGGCCAGCTCCTGCTTTGTGTTTCTCTGTGAGCTGCCTGGACTTAGCAGGAAGACATAATACCAGGGGTCATTTCAAAAATCCTGCATGTATCCTGGGGTATTTTAGTCCTGTAATTGTAAATATACAAATTCTCTGTGTGTGTGTGTGTGTGTGTGAGCAGTCATACCCTCTGCCTGAGGATGTGTTTGCTCATTCTAGACTCATGAAGGAGTTATATCTTCATCAGAGAGCTTTGCTCATTTTGTGTAGATATGAATAACATGAACAGATCTCTTTCTTTTTCTTCTTGCCCCAGGAAGCACAGTTTTCATCACAGCCATTTTGAAATGTAACATACACAGCTTAAGTAGCTTAGAATTTACTTTTTTTTTTAAACTAGAAAACTATGATACTGGTCCTTGGACCAACTGGGGATCTTGCCACTAGACTAAAGAGTAAGAGAAATATATACACTAATATGAATTCATATGTACAGAGATTATGAACAGAAGGCATTTGTAAGTCTCATTCTGTAAGAATACAAAGCTGTGTAAATAACCAAATTCTTTAAATAAATAGCAACACGTTTGGGGATTTGAATACAGGGGGTTTTTGACAATTGACACTCAACACTAGCATTTCTTCTGGATTTCTGAAATTTGAAACTGTTGTTTTTCCTGGTTTTTTTATGATTGCCAGCAGAAATCATTCCATCTTTGGAAGGCAGGAGAGGTGTGGTGAGCTGCCTATAAAACTGGTTTCAGGCTTTGTTTCCATTCCTTCCCAGTGTCTACTATCAACTAGTACTTCGGACTGTAAAGCTTAGTACTTCGGAGTGTAAGGTCAAGAAAAAGCAAGTCTGTATGCACATTCAGATACACATATCCTACACCTTCTCAGCACTTTGGGGGAACCTAACCAGAAGTTTTATCTACCAAAAAGCACAGTTTAGATCAAGATGAAATATTTTCTTGATTAGCTAAGGAAACCTAAAAAGAAAAACACTGATTCACAGAACCTTACACGAGGTTTTTTAAATTTCACAAACTTTACATGCTTGCTTTAGTCACCATTGCTTGTTTGTGATTTGGCTACAAGCAGTCCTCTTTGCAGTGGTGGCTGGGTTAGTATGGGAATAAACACAGGCTACCCACAGCATCCAAAAAATTTCCCCAGAGAAGAGGACATCCAGCCTTCTAGTCCTAGCAGCTGTGATGCAGCGGTGAAGCCATGCTTGATTTTTGGCAATCACTAGTGAAAAGCCTAGTCCAGACATACTGTATTACTTACTTTTCCTGAAGTTTTTGTTCAAATACAGTTTAAGAATACACTTACATGGCAACACCTTTGAATTTTGTCTTGGAACAGGTGTGAACTCTTTTCAAGTCTACATGGCGTACAAAGATCTCTACCAAATGTCCGACAGCCAGGTATTGCTCTGAATGCTTTTCATTACTGTGATCTGTCCTCTCTTTTCTTGTCTCCCAACATTTCAGGAGTTGCTGAGGTTGAATCCCAGCTGGCCTGACTGGCACTGGGAGAAATGTGCCATGGTGGTTTACTCCCTGGAGGGTCAGTGCTGAGCTGTGTGGAACTCCTGCATGTGATTCCTCAAGTGTATACATTCACCTTCTGTGGAGATCTTATGGTGCCTCCCAGCATTGCAGCTACTCAGCTCTGCTCAGGATTTCACTCATTTTATTTTGCAGTAACTTTTCAAGGACTCTAGGTCAGAGAGGGAGAAAAAGATGGAGCACTCGAGGCAGTGGCAGTTTTGAGGTTTCAAGAGTTTCTTGGTTGCTGTAAGCAGCTAGATGGAGTTGTTCTTTGGGGGAGGTGGCCTTTTCTCATTAGGGCTGGAGATAACAATGAGCTTGTTTGTCCAGAGCTCATTACAGATTCCAGACTCTTCAGCTTTCCCATTCATATATATCAGGCCACTGTAAATGGACAATGGCATCTGTTAGTAATAATAATGTTTGCTTATTCAGTTGATAAAATGTTTCTTTCTTACTTATTCCCAGAGCTACAGCTCTTGGTCTCTTAAATAACTGTTGTCACACCTCCAATACATGTGGCTTTAATTGGAATTTTAGACATAATAATTTATAAATATTCTCTGAGAGGCAGTGCCTATTAAATTCAACTCCCTGTTGGAATTGCCAAGAGGAATACATCAAAATGTTTAATGTGGGGCTGGACTAATAGCATGTACCTTGTTTAAATATCTGTGTTGCAAGCTGTATATTGCAGCCCATTCAATGCTGCCTGAAGTGCCCTAGTGCAAAAGTAGATACTGATGAACCTTTGCCTTCCATGTTTAATCTGTGTTTGAAAACTGGGCTCCCATGTTACTGAAGTCAGGTTTAAAAAAGGGACACATAAGATGAATACCTTTTGGGAAAGAAACTGTATTTCAGTAAATGTGTGCTCAGAAATTACCAGTAAAAACAAAATGATCAACTACTGCCCTTCTTTATGGATGGGTGTTGAATCTTAGAAAGCAATTAAAAAGCCAAAGATGCTCTAGAGAAAATATTGCAACTTTTAATATCAGAATTAAAGATGTTACTGAAAGCTCAACAATGATGGCTCTAAGAAGATGGTGCAAAATATCTGCACTTCAGAAAAGAGATGTTCTAGCCATACTAAAGTGTCTATAGTACATGGCAATAATTCTATTTTGCATTTTCTAAAACTACAGAAAAGAGGGTGACTAAACTTAGCCCTGCGTGGGGGGGCATGAGGAGTGGCCCTGCAGTGCAGGGGCTGGGGCAGACTCTGTGTCCCAGGGAAATCCAGCCCTGCTCAGGGCTGTTGACTCTGTCTTGGTGCAGCTGGTGTGTACATGGGTGGGTAAAGTCAACACCAATCAGTGGAGCTCTGATTCTGTGTAGAAAAGAGGTCATTTGCTGCTCACCAATATTATTACCAGCATAGAAGGTACAAAACTGAGGTGAAGAGAGAGGTCTGAGTGTTAAGTAATGTGTTTTCCTTATTCAGCAGTGTTTCCTTCTTTGTACTACCTGCAGCTTTATGAAGCCTTTACCTTTCTAAAGAGTCTTGGAGCTGTTATCCTGGTTCATGCTGAAAATGGAGACTTGATAGCTCAGGTGAGTGAACCATCATTTTTGTTTCACTTTGTGAGATGATAGGTGTAAGGGAGAAGTTGAATAGACCAGTCAGAGAATGGGTAGGAAGAAGGGAACTCCCTGGAAAGAGAAATGGAATCTGATGCCCTGCACACTACTGGTATAAAGCCTGGGATGAGAGAATGGGAGTCCTTTTGCATTAACTGGAGGAGCATCCTTGAGGTAGGGCAGTGATCCATGCAGCTTCTTGCCTTGACAGCAGGTGAGGGCTAGGTAGGGGGGGCAGAAGGAAACAAGAAGGTTTCTTCTGAATCCAGCAGATAGAAGTGAAGCAAAAGATTGTAAAGCCTTGTTCACAGATTCTGGGTGCAAAAGAGGATCTGAAAGCTTTGCACTAAAGTATTTTGCTGCAGCTATCAGCATAAGCAACACATTGAGTTTGGAGCGGGTATTAAAGCTTATGGACCTATTTATTTTTGAGAATATTCTTATAAATCTCTGAAGTTTGAGAATAAGAACTACTGTGATCTTGTAGACATTTCAAAAATTTGTGTTTAAGTATCATCCATGCTCTTAGAAGATGCATCTCAGAACCAGGAAGCTGAGTTCAAGTTCAGAATGTTCCACCGGTCAGGTGCCCTTGGAGCTGCTGTCCTCCCACTGGACTGCACCATGGCTCTGATCAGTGCCATAACACATGGAAACCTGGAAAGAGGCAACCCAAGGACAGCAGTTGATAGTAAATCTCCCACTGGTCTTTCAGAGGCCAAGATCCTCCTCTAAAACAGAAGGGGCAGATTTGGGTGGGTGTTGTTTTGATGCTACATTTGTGACAGATGAATCTTTGAAGGCTGTTGCAGAGGTGTCTCACTCCTCTGATCCCTCGTACGTGCATCGAGCCCCTCTTAGGTCAGTGAGGCTCTGAGTGAGCCATCTGATTTATCTGCTGAGCTGCTTATCTGCTGGCTTATCTGCTAAGGACTGGGCTGCAGAGCTGACAAGGAAATTACAGCAGCTAAAGCTGTCTTTGAGATCTGGACAAGGCAACCCACATTGTCTCATGTCTAAGGGAGAAACTCAAGGGAATGTCTGAGTTCTTGGGCCCTTGCCTTGGGCGTATTTTCTTTTTCCCTCTGTGGGAAAAACACATCTCCATCTGCCTCCTTAGAATTTACCCCCTTTGAGATCAGCCTTTCACTTTTAACTTTGAATTTGACCAAAATAACCACTGGAGTCAAAGGTTACTAGTAAGGAGTCAGCAGGCACATACAGTGCAGTTGTGTCCTCCCCCCACTGAAACTAGATGACAATCTTCATTTGAATTTAAGAGAGGAAAAAAGCTGTTTTCTCATGAAGTTTAGCGTGAATAAAAACTACTAAATACATAATTCATAGTTCTAATACAACATAAAATATCCAGCAGAATTAAAATTACTAATAATAAGGATGATTAAGTCAGTATTACTGTAGTAAAGGCATGAAATAAAACAAATAAAATAAAACAAATAAAATAAATCAAATGGCATCTGTGGTGTTTTGATATATTGCCCATTAAAATCAAGGCACATGCATGGTATTGCATTTTTGATAGAAATCTATTTCAGTTACATTTTTCTCTGATCAGCCTTAATATACAGCCATTGAATATGAATTAACAATGAACAGAAAAATTATTATGAAAAGAGGAAGTAGTAAATAAATGTAAGTTATGTTATACATCAACATATTTGTTCACCCTTGCCATGTTTCATAAAATCAGTCTTTCTCTATGCTTTTATTTAGAAGAATTATTTGGATAATGAAAAGAAAGCTGCCTGCACATAGGTTTTTTAGGACTGTCCTGTTTGAAAATACAAATTTGATCTTGTCAAATAAATATTCTAGTTAATTAGCACTATCAAGTCCTCTTACAGGGGGCAATTTATAATATGATCTGGTTTTGTTACTTCCTTCAAGATGCAAATATGTCCTACTTTGTGTATCTGTTCTGTACCAACTTGCTATTTTTTTTCATGGTTGTAACTTCATTTTATTGCTGTATTTTAATTATCTGAAGTCTTTAACTGCAGTGTTCAGAGCCTGTGCATTAACAATCCAGAACAGCTGTTTTTAAGAATACCTATGAAATCTTATGTTTTTCTAACCAAAATGTTCTTACACAATCAGATTAATGTATTCCTGTTAATGCCTCTTCAGCCTTGATTGATTGCACTGAAGGCTAAAGTATATATTAATGTTAACTTTCTCAGTTTTATTGGAGTATGTCGGTAATGTGTGAGCTTTTCTCCCTCAGCGACCTGGGATCAGATATTTATTAGTTGACACTTTCAAATATGTTCAGTAACTTTATCCTGGTCTCTAGGGGACATTTGTCTGTGTCACAGAGCCATTACATCGTTGAGCTGGGCTCATTAGAGCCCCGTGGGCAGGGCAGGCCAGGGCCAGAGGTACAGCAGCAGTTCTGGTCCCACTTCTGCACCACTGTCAGGCCTGGACCAACCTCAGATGAAGAGAGGTTGACCAGTTTCTGCAAAAAGGGAAATTTATTCCAATAACCTTGCTTGGCCTTTAATTAAATGAAGCTTTTTGTCTATTTTGAAAAAAATTATCTCGCAGTTATGAAGCTGGATAGTACAGATTTTCTTTCTGACAAACCCCCATTGGTCCTGAGATGGGCTCTTTGATGAGGACACAGTGCCCTTGCAACTGGAGGGCACTGGTTTGTTTTATAAAAGCATAATTTTAGTGATTCACTGTGTAGGAAGAAAGCATTACAGAAAACTGAAAGTGTCAACAATGCTGAAAGTTTAAGAATGTCCTTTGTGGATTACAACCAGAGAGGAACTTGAGCAAGTAAATAGGGAATGGCAGGCTGGAAGTACCCATAATTACCATTGATTGAAGCCCGTTCCCTGGGCTGTGTAGTGTGGTGATGTCGAGCAGCACTTTCTGGAGGGCAGAGGAGGTTTCTGATGGTGCAGCCCAATGGCTTGGGGCACAAATATGCTCAATCACACAACAGAGACCACTGCTGGCTGTGCTGGTGTGGCATGGGACCAGTTTAGAGCCAGTGTTTTCAGTGTTCAGTGAGCTTTGCAGCGGACACTGAAAAGGGCAGTCAGACCATGTGGCTGTTCATCTCCCTGCAGATGCTGGGTGCACAGGTCTCATTCTGGAGATGGGTCAGCATTTATCCCTTACATTGCAGGAACAAAAGCGCATTCTGGAGATGGGAATCACTGGACCTGAGGGACATGCCCTGAGCAGGCCAGAAGAGGTAGGAGACTTTGTTCATTTTGTCATTTGTGGAATTATTTTGTCAAACACGTACTGTCAGAGCTTGGCTTCTGTATGTGCAGATGATGGATGGGTGCATCAAGGAATGCAGATGTCTGCTTCTCCCACTGTCTTTTCCAGTATTACTCAAAGTCTGAAAAGTCCAGATCCTTTCAACTTGTTTGTTCGGCTGAAAAGCCCTTTGGATGTTGCAGCAGGTGCATTCCCTTAGTCCAGGGGTAAGTGTGTCCTTGTACACTCAGGAATCTCAACTCCTGTTCCCCTGGACATGGATGTCCATGTATTTTTTAAGTGTGACCTTTGTGTTTTGATTTGTAATGACAAAAAAATGGGCTTACCAAGCTAAAAATAAGCAGTGCAGCTTGAGGGTTAGTCCTCAGAGTAACTGCATTTATTAAAATGCTTTGGCTGAAAATCTGTAAGATGCATGTGAACATCTATCCTGTGCATATGTATACACCCACATACAGATCTACTTTAATGCTGGCAGATATATTGGTGTCAGAAATGCAGGCTGTAGAGATGCAAATACATGAGAATGGAAAGATCCTGTGAGGCAACTTGTTTTATGCAGCTCCCTTATAATAAAATCTAGGCTCTGGTGTGGATCATCTCAGGCATCTGGAATGAGTTTATTTAATACCAAAGAAAATGTGGAGACATGAGAATGTCCCCTAAAGTACACAGCTCAGATTGTTAATGGGATGTGGAGGGTGGTAGTAGGAAGTGACTGCTTTCCTAGAAGACTAAATAGATGAGATCCCAGGGGTTTGAGGCTAAACTTGAAGAGATTGTTGTGGTTTGCAGATCTTTATTTAACTTCTCCCCAAGGCAAAAGGAATCAGCTTAATTGGTAACGTTCTTCTATTGAATTGTTTATGTACTTTTTCATTTTGCTTTTCAACTTCTACTAAAATTGTTCTAAAAGGATTGAGTTGTTTCCTTTTAATGAGAGCAAGGGCCTAAGGAAAATCTGCATTTGCAGTTTCTAGAAAGGAATTTTGCTCAGCTGTAGTGCTGCAGTGCAGAGTCCGTGCCTCCTTTCCTGCTCTCTAAAGATGCATTTGGGATTTCCAGAGCAAATGTTTGGATACAAGTCCTAGGATAAACTGAAACAAGAACTGAAACTGAAGCATTTAAGGAAAAATAATTTACAAAACTGTAAAGGAATAAGCCAGCCATGAGGTTTTGGAAGATCTTTGCTCAACTTTTCTAGCAAAACTTTTGCACAGAAATTTCTGTGCCACTGAGCCACTATTTTCAGTTACAACAGGGTTTTTCATATTAAAATGCCAATACCATGAATCCATCTGGGAAGGATCTGGTATAAAACTGATGGCTGGAGAAAGGAGTCTCCAGAGCTGCTGGGAAACACTGCTCCTCCATCTGAAGATGCTTTCTTTGTGTGCCTACATCCCAGATGGCTCCCTGGGAGGAGATTGCTTTTACGCTTGCTGACAGAGGAGACTTACTGGGAACTGCTTCAAAGGCTTCTGTGGATTATGGGCTAAATTCAGTCCATAGTGCTGAAGTTGCTGTTTCAGAATTCTTTACATTCACTGTCACCATTATGTAAAGAATAGGGTAAGCTGCCAAGGGGAACTCAGAGGTTGTCTCCAAGCAGGGGCAGTTTTCTTGCTTTGTTCTCCTTTCAGCTGCAGGGTAGGAGTCTGAAACAGGAAGGTAAGGAGGAACTGCATCAGCTGCTTGGATATGACCTTTCCTGGGGTGCAGGGAGCTATGTTTGTGCTGGGGCAACTGTACTCTGCTAGTGAGTACAGCCTGGCTGTGGGTACTACTAGTGCCAAATGTTTGAGGTTGGGTTAGCTCCCTGTTTCCCAGCACTGTGTCTCTCTCCATGGAAAAAGCAGAATCAACCCCTGAAAAGTTGTTGCCTAACAGTTAGAAATATGGCACAGTCCTACTGATTTTTTCTTCAGACTGCATTTGCAGTTAACTTTTCCCTCTTGTTTTGCTCAGCTTGAAGCAGAAGCAGTTTTCCGTGCCATCACAATTGCCAGTCGAATAAACTGCCCAGTGTACATCACCAAGGTGATGAGTAAGAGTGCAGCTGATATCATTGCACAGGCCAGGAAGAGAGGTAAGTGACTTTCTTTGCTCCCCCAAACTAATTTTTTTTGTTGAATAGAACCTCAGTGAAATAACCTGTATGTCTTGACCCAAATGACAGGCTATAGGGAGAGGTTACCAAAGACTAAATATTGCAGACTAAATATTTATAGCTGAGAAGGATGAGGGGAAATCCTTTCATGTTTTTAAGTTGAGAACCTCTCCCCACAAACTGTCCTCTTGAAGACTGAATTTGTAACTTTTCTCTATTCTGTTTTCCCTTTAATTTTTCCCTTGGACTGTTAAATCTCTGTTCATGGGAGGGAGATACTTTATTCCTAACGGCACATCCTCCATGCCAGTATTTCAGGTTGTCACCCTCTGAGATGTGGCTTGGGCAGTGACCCTGCTGTTACAGATGCTTGGAGCTTGCTCCTGGCCTTGCTACTGGATCTGACCCCCTCTGATGTGTACTGCAGGCTGGCCCTGCTTGCTGGGGCCATGGTGGGATCCAAGTTACAAACACCCAAAAGGGCCTCGTGAACCTGAAGGCAGCTGCTTCTGAAGCTGCGTTTACAAGTCAGGGCTGTTCTGCTGGTTGGGACTACAAAGCTCGTGAGCAATATGGAAAAGCCAAAGAGCAAATTATTGTCTTGATGTTTGTATTCTTGGAGACTTGCAGTGTGGTGCTGGGGACCATATGCTGCTATCTGCTGGTGCTGTGCCCAACCTGGGAGTAGTAAAAAGGCATCTGGCTGCTGAAGTGATCCACCACCAGTGCACTTGGAATTGGAGCAACAGAGAGAACGTGGCTGTGATTAAAACAGTACAAATTAAAAGCGGGTCTGAACTGTCTCCGTCTGGATTAGAGAGAAAGATTTGTAAATAGGCTGATCAAAAGCATGTAAAGCTCAGAGAGACTCCTGATTAATTTTTTATCATACAGACAAAGCCAGGGCTGTTTAATTTCCTGGGAGCTGTGCTAGCCATGTAGAAATGTGTGAATTATACATGGCTGCATGCAGCAAGCAGTGTCATGTGCTGAAGAGAAGAGTGGGTTGTAATTAGTTCCTGTGTATCCTTGCTTTCTCCAAGGTCCCCTTGTTTTTGGAGAGCCGATCACTGCCAGCTTGGGGACAGATGGGACACATTACTGGAGCAAAAACTGGGCCAAGGCTGCAGCTTTTGTGACCTCACCACCTCTGAGCCCTGACCCTACTACTCCAGACCACTTAAATTCGCTCTTAGCATGGTAAGACTTACTTTTTTTTTACAGGATGGTGCAAAAGCCATATGGCATGAGGCATCTAGGGAACAGCCTGGTTTCCTTTAGACCAGTCTCATACATGAAACAGCAGAGAAGAGGCATAGAAACCCAGAGATAGTTATATCCTTATGCTTAGGCTGTCAGTCATGGACATTCCAGTTGCTGATTTGCTTGATAGAGAGGCAGTTGCTGGCTATTGAGAAATTAATTTTTTCTCTTTCTGCTTTTCAAGTGATTCCTAGTTGTACAACTAGATTTTCGGGACTTCTAACCAGCCCTCTCCCTAGTTTTCAGTTTTCTTTAGTTGAATTGTTGGTATATGATGGGATGGCACCGTCGCTGTCCAGCATAAGCAAAAGCCTGATGGATACATCCTCATCTTTGAGAAGGACTCAGTTTTAAGCCCCAGTCATATTTGACAAGCACAGCTCCTGAAATCAGAGCTATTACTGAATGCAGAGATACCTAGAACCATTAAAAATTCCTTGGTGCAATTTTTGTCGAAGCTGGTGCAGCTCTCAGCTGCGAGTTCTGAAAATTGGCTTTTCCTAAATTTACTTGTGTTTGTAGAAGAGTTGTGTGGGTTTATCTCCTGCATATGGAAAAATTCTGACTTGGTAGTTTGCCTTCATCTGAGAGGGACCAAAATCATACATTCCTTGTGTCCAGTTCATGCAGGCTTCTTATTTTAGCTTGCCTTGTGTCTTTATGGGGTCTGGGGTCCACCAGCTGGAAGAAGGCAAAGTAGTACATGAAGAGCAGGTATGCCAGGAGAAAGAGGCCAGAGTGGATTACAAAGGAGACTGTGAAGGACTTAGGTGGAGACAGCTGGAGATTGAAGGCCATCTCTTGAGAGGATAGGAATATGAACTGACTGCCTTCAGGCTGGCAGGGAGAGTTTAATCACTAGGTAGGTGAAAGGAATGTGGACAGCAGAGGAAGAAGCGTCTTTCTCATATGGAAAAGAAGATATCAGCAATGCCTTGCCAGAAACCCAGACTGTAAACCCATCTCTGAAAGTATTTCCTGCCTGTAGCCAACTGAGGGTCTTCTTTAGCTTAAGCAAAAGACCATCTGCTCTGAAATGATGTAGAAATTCACAGCTGAAGCCCCACCAGGACAGATTGCTAGGGCTGGAGTGAGGACCTCAACATTCATATCCTTACTTACCTTCATGTGGTGGCACCCACCTCACCTCCTGCTTCCCCTTTCTGGGGTTTACAATGCCCTAGACAGAGCAGTGAAATTTGAACCTTGCAAGTGATCATCTTTAGAGCAGCTGCCTGGGAGGTGGGTGGGCACACACATATGACAGGAAGATGCCATCAATCAGTGCCACATCTCCCCTTGCACATGATGGATCAGTCTGTGCAGCCCACCAGAGCCCACTCAGGGTTTAACTCAGCTGCTCTAAAGATGATGCTGCAGTTGAACTCTGAGTTACATGTGGTTCTGGTAAAAATACTCAGCAGTTCTCTTCTGACAGTCTGAAGGCAAAAATATTTTTTCCACAACTGAGCTTTTTGTTCCAAATAAGGACTCAGAAAAAAAATTGCTTCCTTGGTCTAATTCATCACTATCAGCACTGTAAAGGGTGAAGCTCCCTGCATGAGGGTAAGGCTCTTAGCTAGCACATGTAAATGTGTATCAAAATGTTTGACTCCTTACTCTGTTACACTCACTTCTGTTAGAGTGACTTTGTAGAAGAGAGTCCCAAAATAATAGTATGTGGGTCAAAGCAGATTAGCTAAAATAGCAAGAACATTTTTAGAAATGGAATCCAAATAATGACTTTTTTAAACTTACATCAGAAAGACAAACTCAGGACTTACAGAGGTTTTCATTTTTCTCCAAGCATGCAAAAATGGCCTTTTTTTTTTCCTAGTGGCTTAAAGTCCTAGATCTTAAATGACAGCAGCTTAGCCTGCTTTCAGTTTTAATACTTCAAATCTATACTGTGAAACTAAAAAGAATTGTATATTTTATCAGTCTGCTCTGCATTCATGGGGAATTTTATGCAAGGATGATGTTAAAGACAGTATTTCACATTTCTATTACACTGTTGATTTGGGTACCAATATTTTACATTCATTAAAAAATCCCTCCAACATCCTTCCTTTGCAAGCATGCAGCATACTGCTTGTGCTCTTTTCCACAGAAAGCGTTGATTTTCCACTGAAAAGCTGAATGTGTAAAACCCCTTCATGTCTCATGGGATTTGCAGATTGAATTTGCCTCATGAGATTAGGTCCTTGTGTCATCTGTGGGCCATGCCCTTGAGTTAGCTTTGATCTTGTATGGTGTGCTGCTGCATTACTGCAGCTGTGATGTGCCACCTCTGTGAACCAGAGATGTGAGATCTTGGTGCTACACAGAAGATGCCATGAAAGCCTTGTTTAAGGGGAAGAATAGGAAGACAAGTTATTGATCTGGCATTTATTTCATGATGATTCCTTCTTGTCTCTCAGTTTTTTAGTTGGTGCTTATCCCCCATTTGACAGTAGAGTGTGTTCAGACTGTAGGAGTGCCCATGGGTTAGCCAGGGATGGGAAGCTCTCAAGTGACACACTTCAGTTTTGGAAGTCTTCTATTGATTTGACTGGGGAGTGCAGTTCATATCAATAATGTCATTACATGTCAGAGGAGAGGAATATGGAGTTAAGAAAGAAAGCCCTTTGTATCTTTCAGTGTAGGAATTTGTAGTGTGGTAGTAGAAGCACAGCATAAGCTCAGAGAAGTGGGCAGGGTTACAGGGCCTGGCTGTGACAGGTTTTCATAGTTATATCAGCTTTGCTGATTAGAAGAGCATCAAAAAGGAAGAAATGGCATTGCAGCCTTCTGACATTATTGTTGTTAATATAAATCAACACTTAACTGATGAAATTGGCTTAATCCTATGGAGTAACCAGGCAGTCATTAATAATCAGGTGCAGATAAAGCATAGTGGCCTTTTCTGTACTGAATTCATGGGCTTGGCTTCTGCTAAAAACTGGATGGATGGCTTGTGAGCGTGGTGAAGAACCAGCAAACAGACCAAGGACTCTTCTCTGTCAACAATCATTAGGGCTGGCAGCCTAGAAAATGGAATTAGAATTACTCATGTGTGACACTTTTTCTTCTGTACTTGACTGTTAGTTTGTTGGATCTAGATTAGGGAACCAGAATCATTCAATTGTGTCAGAGGTAGACTTTACATTATCAGTTAAAGAAAAGGATGACAGGCTCTTGGGGACTTATGGAGTGATTCAAGAGAAATCATAGTGAGTTCTAATGTGCTTGCCTCATGCAAGCTTAATCAAGAGCTAAAAATATCATGTTTCCTGTGAATATTAGAGAACCTTCTTTTTTGTCTTTCTATTTTTGTAAGATTCTGTATATTGATTATGTTCTTCCTCTTTATTTCCGTGAGCAGCTGTGATCCAGTTCTGCTCTCTGGCAAAAAAATTCTAGGTCAAAAAACCCAACCTCTCAAATAAAAGCATTATAAATGGTAGCTCTTTTTGCATTTTTCTCCATTCCTTTTTCTGTGTAAGACCCTAAAGTTAGATAAATCCAGAGCATGTGTTTGACTTGCACAACCTTGTTTAATTAGAAAACTACCTGATAATTTTTTTTTTTATTTTCTTGGATCTGTTTTGGAAGGTCAGATGAGAAGTATTCATGTAAGTTTTGCACAAAAAATATATGCACAGCAGAGAAATGCAGGGGAACACATTTGAAGCTCATGGCTTTGCACTGTGAAATTTGCTATTATTTTTTAATGTGGTTGTGAATCAATTTATCTTGAGAGTGGCAGATATTTCATACAAGCTTCCTATCATTCCCTTAATCCTGGAGTAATCCTTTGTCCTGGTTAGTGGGCTTTTGCCTGATCTCTGTCGATAAGCAGCCTGGAACCGGAGGGGGCTGTAATCCGGGAGTTCAGGGTGCTCCTGGGGGAAAGTGGAGATGTCCAGTGCCATTGTTACTCTCAGTGATCTGTAGCCAGCACAGAAAGGCTGCTGGCATGATTTACAGCCTGTGCCTCTGGTGTCTTGAAAGGCTTGAAAGGTCCATTCACAGCCTGTCTGAGACCAAGGTCACCTTGGTGATGCCTGGTCTAAACCTTCTGTGTGTTAACTCCACAGTGGGGACCTGCAGGTGACGGGAAGTGGACATTGCCCCTATAGCACTGCCCAGAAAGCCATTGGAAAGGACAACTTCACTATGATTCCCGAAGGGGTCAATGGAATTGAGGAAAGGATGACTGTTGTCTGGGACAAAGCTGTAGTAAGTAATAACTTACTTTTATAGACTAAAAGGAAATTGAGTGTTGGCTGAATAATGAAAGCCAGAAGACTCTTGGGCATTGCTTAAGTGACTTTCTGATATATTTCTGAGAATTCCCTGAGGGAATACTACTGTGAGGTGAATTGCTTATTTCAAAAACCTCTTCCAATTTTTTTAATTCAGGGCTGTGTTTCAATTCTGACACTGCAATAGTATTGTGTTTTATTAGACCTGAGGCTTCCCAGATTCCATTGCTCTATTTCCCGTTTGTGTCAGAGCGGATTCTTCTGAGAGCTGTGTTATCTGGAGCAATTTAATGCTTTTGAAGTGGACCTCATATAAACGTGATGAATGGATTGTTTGAATTTGGGAAGTGTCTCATCATTTTTGAAAAATTACAAATGGATGGCAGCTGAGCCTGAGGCTAAATGATGAAATGCTTTGAAGGAGAGCACTGCATGTAATTCATACTGGCATACTTTGCAGTGGAGTGCCGGTGTAAGTCAGGAATTTTTTGATGGTTCCATGGATTCTAATGTATAATGATATTCTCCCTCTGTTCCCTCCATGTGCACACCCTGCACGCTCACACACACTTGCTGCATTGTGCTCGAATGCACATGGCAGACTGGGAAGTGGCAGTATTTACAGTGTTCTGATGAACACTTCTCCCAGATTGTATTTCGTAATCACTTTATTCAGGAACAGCTATTGAGATTCCAGGCACAGAAGCAGCTTCAGATACCTGCCATGTAGGAGCAAAGCAGGGAAGCAAGCAAGGCACAGCCAACTGCTCATATTTTTCTTCTGTTACTCCCTCAGTGGGAAGGAACTGCAGGAAGGGCTGCAACACAGGATTTACAGGTGGTAATGTTCAGTCCTGCACCACTGAGTGTAAAGTGTAAAGAGTGTATAGCTTATACTTTACAAACCTTATATTTTACCAGGCAGAAGATAAGTGTTTATTTAATATTAAAAGGTTTGGCACTGTTGTTTTTCCTTAGAACATTGTTCTTGATCATTGCCAGGGAAGACCCCAGAATACTCTACTGAAAAGTCAAAATGCTGTTCAGTACAGTGCAATTACCATCACTGGCTATATGCCAAGTTCTATTGGTGATGACATTTCTCCAGGGAAGGACTTTATAATTGGTTGTATTACTTAGATATATAGATCTGACAGTAATGATAATAGATAGAATGGACTTAATTTGCAAGAATTGTTCCCAAATGTATTGGAATCTTGACCTTTTGCTACATCATGTAACACTTAGATATAAAAGTTTCTCTGATTTAAAATTGCTTAAATATTTAAATAGAAATTAGTAGTAGCAACAAAACACTTAGGCCTTAGTGTTTAGAGATAGGGATCCCAGACAGCTGAACACCTTGGTGGTATGATGTGCACTAAGGTTTCACTGGATGTTCTTTGCAATGCCTGGAGTAACACACACATTTATTTGAAAGTACCGAGTAAAGAGCCATATATAAAGTCCTGTGTGATACAATCTCTGTTTCATGCAACATCACCATATCTATAAAGGGATGCCTTCCAATATCTCCCTGACCTTTCAGCACTCTGAATAGTAAATCCTCATTTCATAAGCATGTTTTGCTCATATCACTTTGTTTTTTAGGCCACTGGCAAGATGGACGAGAGCCAGTTTGTAGCTGTCACCAGCACCAATGCTGCCAAAATCTTTAATCTGTATCCAAGAAAAGGCCGGATTGCTGTAGGATCCGATGCTGATGTTGTTATTTGGGACCCTGATAAGGTGAAGACTATAACAGCCAAAAGCCATAAATCGGTAAGGAGGAAATGAAAACCAGCAAGAAAAAAGAAATGTCACTGTTGTTTTTCAGCTATTGACCTAAATTGTGTGGGCACCAATACCACAGGATACCGAGGAGTGGGGTAACTGCCTACTCCTGTTCTGAAATAGGTAAATGTTTCAGCACAGGAGAGTACTGAAGTCCTGTGTTGGAAGCATTGTAATCAGGAAGGATTTATTTTCTCTCTGCACATACCCTTCCAATATTTATTTTTTGCATGCTTGTGGCGCATCTATAAACAGGTGTGAATCAGCAGCTCTGCAGCTGAGGTTAATAAGGCTGTGAGGATAAATTTAAAACCAGCTTATTTTTTTTTTCTTACCTAATAAGCATGAAATTATAAATTTCATTATTAAATTAACAGTATTCTAAACTATGACAAATCATTAAATGTTTTAATAATATAGCTCTAATCACCTTTATGGATGGAATTTTCTGTTTAATTCCAGAGGTTTGCCACATACTTATTTGTCCTCAGTGCAGAGTACCAGTGACTGACAGTTGCTTTCATTTTGACTCTGATAGGTTTTATCTTACGTATTGTATATCCCATTATCTTACTGTTTAGTGCTTTGCCCCTTTGTATTGGGGAATTCTTCCAAAAGTTTTACTGAAAATCCAGTATTGCATTTTTATACTAAAAATATAAAAACGTTTTTAAACTTTTAAAAAGTTAATTTGGGTGATTCAATTTCTATTTCTCTATCTTGGGATCTCTTTGTATTTTCAAGAAAGTAACAATCGCCTGCCCTGTCATTCCCATTTAGATTCAGATTCCTGGGGTTTTCTGGGCTTTTTCAGACAGAAATACATAATCTGGCCTCTGTGAAATTTGCTTACAAAGTCACAGCAGATGCACAGTGGGACCACATCCTCTGGGTATCCAGCAGCTGAGTCACAATTTTCCTTCATATTAGGGCTATCATTCTTCTAAATGCTCTGGTTAGATACAGCAAATTTTCAAAAACAAGTGAAGTCCTTGATGGAAAATGAAAAATGGAAAGGAAATCTCTCATCCAGGAAAGTCTGATGGGAAAGATCCTTTAAAATAATTTCATATCAAAATGCATTGCTTTTCCTTCATAAAAAACACTTTTATACACTTCTTAATGGCAGTCGCCTAAACCTATGACTACAAATATACATATTATAAGTTACTAATGGAAAGAGGTTTTGCAGTGAATATGTTGGTTGATCCTCAGGCCATTGAGTACAACATCTTTGAAGGAATGGAGTGCCATGGTGCCCCTCTTGTGGTCATAAGCCAAGGAAAGATTGTGTTTGAAGATGGAAATCTGCACGTAAATAAGGGAATGGGCCGCTTCATCCCTCGCAAACCTTTCCCTGAATATCTTTACCAGCGCATCAAAATCAGGAACAAGGTAATGTCTGATCCTATTTAATCTTCTTTGTAGACAAACCCTCTTGGAAGCACAGTAGGATCTGGTTTTGATATTGTTGTGCTATTATGAATCCATATCAGATGGACTATATATGACGTGCTCAAAAGATGACCACAAAACTGGTTGTAATTGTGAACTCATCTAACTTAGCATTAACACCGTGAGTTTCAGCAGGTAGAACATAAAATTGCCAGTTGGCATAATTGCCTTAGTCCAGCAATGCCTTACGTCAAGTCTTTGGAGGAGAGGCGGAAAAGTGATAGAATTTACTTTCAGTTAAAGTTCAGGAAAAGAGAAATCTTCTTGTAAACAAGGGAGGGTTAGGCAGAATAAAAACAGAATTTTGAGTTGCATACTGAACTGCTATGCTGCAGAGAAGTAAAACATGTCAGCCAGAGATTCTCATTATACTGGGCATTTCTGAACTGTTGTTAGTGCACTTGCTGGACTGGGTATTAGCAGCATTAATGACTCAGAAAACTTTTCTCTTTTGTTTAATAAAAAGCTTGGATGATGACCAAGATTAAGACTAGGCCACCTCTGGTTTTCAATTATATCAGTGCTTATGTGTTGAAAACCAATTGGCTGGACACTAGTTTGGAGTTGTTTGGAAATTGCTTCTTGTCATTGAGCAGGAAAGTCACTGTGTGAGCACAGGTAATGAGAAAAATTGACTAAACCTCATATTTTCTTCAACTAAGCATACATACCGTAGACTGTGATACTGGCAGCTGAAATTAAGCCTACAAGCAGGTTGATAGCTTTTATCTTTCATCATTTATTACACAAATTCTATCAAGCTGCAGAAGAAAGGCCTGCACTTCTTAGAAGAAAAGGTATTGTGAAAAGCAAATGCACCTGCAAAAATTTTGCAAAATGCCTATCAGTATTGCATATTTTTACATTATCCATGTAGATGATACAGGCCTTCACACTTACTACTTTAGGCTTCAGTGCCTGGGAGTGCGACATAAATTAGTAACAAAGTCATCAAAGTAGTGAAACCAGCAAGTTAGAAACAAATGTCACAGATTAGTGTCTTGCAGCAGGAGTTTGAACAAAATTACCTGAGCTAAGTAACCTGTGTCTTGCAAGTGGACCTAGATTTTGGGAGACCTTTGATCCTTGGGAAGGTCTGCAGACAAAGGGACTGATATTTTTGCTCCTGCAGCTCCCTCTGCTGCCTGACGAGAGGGAGAGCAGATTCATGCCTACATTTCCCACTATCAAGTTTTATCCACTGGAAATATTTAGAAAAACCCCTTGATGGTTTTATCAGCTGCTGTATGAACATGTCAGTGCACAACAGAGGAATATAGAAAAACTTGTCAATCAAGGTACTGCAAAACTGAACTGGCACAGGTTGGCAGTATAAACTCATCCCTGGAGCAGGGATAGCAGTTAAATTCGTGCCTTTGTGGGTCCCTGGAAGATGGATTCATTGCAGTGATTGGCAGCTGCTCTCTTCTGGGCATTAGTTTTGGCTCAGCCTGAAAGACAGTGGCTCTTCTGTGTCTGATGTCCCTGTCATCAAAAGCAAGGAAAATGCACTGACTGCTTCGAGAGCTGAATCAAACCCCTGTGAATAGTGTCTTTCTATACAGAATTTTAATTTCACTTTTAACCTGTTGGGGAAATTTCTCTGAAATCATAATCTTGTAAGACACAGATTTCTGATCTTTTTGATGAACTTTGCATTCTGCAATTCAATGGCTTCAGGCTTTTTCTGAAAACTGGAACTTTTCTTATTAAAATATTGTTTCCTAGATTCCTGTGATTTTAAGGCCAGTGAATTTGTTTTGTCTTTTTTAATATTCCTTGTAAGAATCAAATAGGGAAAGAATCTAGAGACCTCAAACAAATCAGAGCTCAAATGACAGCTACTTTATTGACAAATATTGCAAGATAGATTCCCTGCCACAGTCCAGTGTATAATTGCTTTTCTAGCTGATGACAGGAAGTAAAACCTTTTGAAATTTAATTTTAAAATTGCCACTCCTTTTCAATGAGCTCTAATAAAGAGAATGAGATCTACAGAGGGGAGGAGCAAAGAAAATACAGATAGGAGAGAAATTGCTGCAGTTGGTATAGTGGGTATCAGTTGTGCTACAACCCAAGTGTGTGTTGGCAGCTGAAAGGAAAGAGGTGATTGTGACTAATCTTATGTAAAACAAGCCACACCTGTACTTTTGAATCCCACTTCTCTCCTCTGATTGTGAAGGAAGCCTGATAAGGAACTCTCTTGTCATTTATATACATAAAAAAATGGAGGGATCAAGCTTTATAATTTCCTTGATATATATAAAGCAAACTGTACTTTGCTTTATATATAAAGTATAGATGTGTTGTTAATTCAGCCAGTGCAGAATTTAGTTCTGTGCTCACTGTTCTCTTCCTACAGGATCATTAGGCAGCAGTATTTGAGCATTGATCAGTGTCTGGATATTTACTGTCTTCTTGTTTTAGGTGGGAGGACTGCAAGGAGTCTCCAGAGGAATGTATGATGGACCTGTGTATGAAATCCCAGCTACGCCAAAATATGCAACTCCTGCACCCTCAACTAAATCTTCCCCTGCCAAAAACCAGCCCCCACCAATTAGAAACCTCCATCAATCCAATTTCAGCTTATCAGGTAAGTCAGCCTAACTAATGAGAAACCTTTTAAAGCTATGAGTATGGATTACTGGTGATGAATTTCAATTATAATTACTTCTTTAGTCAAATATGAAAGAATTGTATATAGTCATGTACATGCATATAATTACATATATATATAAGTATATAGGTATAGTATAATATAATATTGCCTAGGGATATTTTACATATTGTCAAATAGTCAAAATGTTTGCAATCTGAAATTTTCTCTGTGTCAGTCTTTCAATATTATTTACCTGGCCCATTACAATTAGCTGAGTGCTCTGGTTGATGTGACTGAAGCCCCTTGGTGTGCACAGCCGATGGGACTTGGTCCTGGTACAACCTATGAGCATCAGATATCTCACAGGCTGCAACTGCAATTGCTAGACATGGAAACCTCAGCTGTCCTTGTCCATGGTCATAAACCATGTGCAGAAGTTGTTCATAAGCAGATTGGAGTATTTCTTATCCTATGCTCTTGGTGCCCAAAACATTTTCCATGGTTCATAGGAAACAGCCTGGAAAGTCATCCTTTGGGGTTGCTAGAAATGATTCTTGAAATCTGAAGACAATCACAAGTGTGTCAAATCCTTATTCTTCAAAAGTCTACAGCCCCAGTGGTGAATAATGCATTCATATGATGTTATGAAAGTAACTGGGTTTTCTCCCTTGTGGGAGCTGATGGTGGAGTTTTCATACCTTATAGATCTTCTCTTTAGAAGCTAAGTGAAGCTTGTGTAAGAAAGTCCTAGGAGAGCAAATATTTTAAAAACCCTTCTAATGAGGTGAAGTATATTTTTGCCATACAAATATACACAAAGCTATACAAAACAAAAAAAGTGCCTATAAAGTTCACATCTTAGCAATAAACAATAATTGGATTTTCATAAGCATCTGAAGTTGTGGTTTCACAGTGCACTGCTGGATCTGGGTTCTAACAAGACATCTAGTGGTACAAATTTGATCTGAATGATGCAAACCCAAAATTAAGCAGAAGCAGAGACTACAGTAACATTTTAAAAGACCCTACACATTTATTACATTGCCTTTAGGAAATTGAGTGTGATCAGGCAATATTTAGCCTGTCAGAAAGCTTGCTGTCCCCTTAAGCTTAACCTTTCAGCATTTAAAATGCAGTTTGAAGCGCTCATTTCCTCATGGATTTATGATTGCTAACATTAGATTTACTGAACTGTTGTCCAGTGGACTCAGTAAGGACATATACTCTAAGTCAGTGAGGCAGGTTTGAAAAGTCCACTCCATATATATGTGTTTTGGGGTACTTTTTGTAGTTAGTAATAGTTTCTGTCAGGTCTGATCTCACAAAGGGAGCCCAATCTGTAGCTTGTCATTGGCTCTTCAAGTTAGTGGAAAAAAATCCTCCATGAATGGTGAGCATTAGTCTGATCCTAAGCATTTAATCCCACACTTCTCATTGAAGACAGAAACATGTCTTGAAGGTCTGTTCAGCACTTCAGGCTCAAGAGATACCAGCTGATGGTGGTGTGAGGGAAGCATAGCCAGGTAAAACCCCAGTACTGATGGTTTAATCCCTTTCATAGCTTTGTTTCCTCATTTTCTGTTGTTGCAGGAGCTCAGATTGACGACAACAACCCACGTCGTACTGGCCACCGCATCGTGGCACCTCCCGGTGGGCGCTCTAATATTACCAGTCTTGGCTGAAAAACAATGATGGACAGAAACACAAGGATGAAGGATCACGGGAATAATGTCCATTCCCATCAATATCTGTGTTATCGAGCCCACAGTTTTATTTGGTACTAACAGAAATAAAAACTGAAATGTCTTTCTTTTTTCTTTTTTTTCTCTTTTTTTTCCTCTTTTTTTTTTTTTTTTTTTTTTTTTTTTTTTTCTTTTTTTTTTTTTTTTTTTTTTTTTTTTTGTATAGAAAGAGGTGATAATAGTGTGGTGTGTTTGCTTGGAACTACTTGCCTCACAATTGTGCTTTCATGCCATAGTCACCTTAAAGCATGGTGCTTCCATTGCCCCTTTAGTGACTACAGGTTTTAGCTTTGTCTCGTAACTGAATGATGGTTCCTTTTTGCTGTATTAGAGTAGTTAATGCATGTTACTGAGTTATTTATGCAAGTTGCATTCTGTGAGTGAGTCCCTTTAGAACACATTGCCAACAATTGACTAGACACAATGCCAAGATTAATGTCTGTATTTAAGAAACACCACCAAAAACACTAATGAAGGAAGAAAATGGCCATCTGGAAGGTAAGCAGTAGAGTAGTATAGGCAGCTTCTGTTTAATCTTTAATTTATTATAAACCCAAGAAGCACTTCTCTCAAGACACAGAAACTCACTGGGACACGTAATGACAAATGGTCTCCGTAGCACCTGTCTGTTCCCACTCGGTACATTCCAAGTCTGTGTCCTTCTTGTTTCCATTTTAGACAGAGCCATAGTTTTTACATACCAATGCCATTGCCACCCCTACAGGGATTTCTCCACCTGGGCAGTAGTGCTCTCCTTCTGCATGAGATTTTTGGTACTTACAGATAATACAAGTTGCTGTCAGATTTTTAAAGTTTTGTACAAATTTTTTCCTTTGTAATCACATACATTTTTACTTACTCTACCGTATCAAGATCTACTAGTCGTGGTTCAATTTCTGAATTCAAAGCTTGTGAAATAAAGGAAATTAATTGATGGGTAAGCGTCTTCCTCTGCTTTCCAGTGCTGTGACTTGGTGACTGAAAATTTGGAATGGAGGAACCCAAGAGAAGTTGTCTTTCAGGTTGATACCATGCAGCAGAAGGAACCTCCTTAAACCACAAGTATTGATAAGTGTATAGGTCTGCATATGCATATTATAGCATGATACAGTATGTCTTATTAGCAGTGCTCACAGTAAAAAAGTACTTACTAATGGTTGGATTTGATCTTAAGGTTCTTTTCCAACCTTATCAAGTCTGTGATTCTATGACATTGCAGCTGCCTCAGTTTTGCCCAAATGAGACACAAATTAACTTTCTCCCAAAGACCTTCAGATCTACATCTTCTTCGCCTAAAGGGGTAATTCATTGCCATCATCTTCATCTGTAATACAGAACTAGTACCCAGTGCTGCAGTTTGACCTAAGCTATATTTGACTTCTTTGTGGTTTTCTCTGCTGACTGAGCTGTGTCCAGGCATGGCAGGAAAAGAACATGCAGGTAAGGTGAGGGAAGTGGACTTAAATTCTCTGAGAGTGAAGGAAGTATTTCTCCTTGTCTTTCAGACTCTCTCACAAGCTATGTAAAGAAACCTTATTTGCTGTCACTTTTTGCTTGTCTGATGGTGTTGCAGATACTGTGGGAGGTGTAGGCTGCAGTGGGGAGTGGGGTGTCATGATATTAGCAAGTCAACAAACACCTCCCTTTGTGCTACTTTGCCTTTATCCCCACTACAAAGCTGCAGCAGGAAAAGTCTTGCAGCAGTGGGGTGCCACTGAAGTGCTTCTATCAGCTGCACTGCTTTTGACCACTGGACACCCATCCATCCCACCCACGGAGCAGTAACTTGTGTTGGTACAGCTTGTGTGGTGTGTGCCAGGTGAATGTGAGGCATAACAGTAGGTAGCAGCCTACCTGAAACTTGTCATTCTAAACTAGTATATTGCCACCTCTGGCTTGCATGGGAAAGGAACTGCTGCCCTGGAAAAATCCATTTTGGTCAGCTTGGTCTGAAATGTAGCAGCAGAGCTGGTCTGAAGAGCCAGCTTTTCCTTTGGCTTTGAGCTGAACCAGTGCAGAAACATTGCTATTCAGTCTGCAGTGAACTGAATTGGTTGCTCCAAAAAAAAGAGGAAAATAAAGCTTTTCATGAACAATCCCTTCTGCTAAGGATTCAAATTCATATTTCCTATTGCCTGGAGCATGCCTCATCCTTAGGCTTCCTTGCTCATTTGGTGGTTCAGATATTTTATATTATATGAATTAAAATAAATTGCTCAGTGGTTGAAGTTTTTTTATAGGAAGTAAAATAACACTAGCAGAGAAACCTGAGGACAGTGTGCCCTGGAATAACCTACAGCCTAGCAGGTAAGGCAATCCTGAAATGCCAAATCTCCATCTGCCTTGTCCTATTCCAACCCATTTGCTATGAGTGTTGACAGCCAGCAACAGTTGCAGTGATGTAACCTCGACAGCAGAAATACAGCTGGTTTGTGAAGCTACCTGGCAAATTTGACAGCATGAAAATTTCAGAACTGCTGGTTACAATTTCCTTATTGCATTCCTTGCACGTTTTTGTGCAAGTAGCAATGGTTGCTCACCTCCAAATAAAACTGCTCCATGTATGAGGCTTGTCACACTTGAGGTAGCAAAAATCATCGTGTAAATTGTGTTGAGATTCCACTTTCCCTACACACTTAACAGCATCTTAAACCAAAATCCCTTTGCCTACAAGCTGGTCAAAGATTCACTGCTAACATGCATTTATTTTTTCACAGTGAAGTGTCTGTGAATAAGTATGTGTGGGTGTTTTGAGAGGCATTTCATGGTTCAGTGCTCCTGTGTGAACAAGACTGTGCCTGTCAGGTCAATGTGACTCTCCTGCGATGTCCCCAAGAAGAAGCAGCCTAAGCCCCTGCAGCTTGGCTGCTCTTGCTGTGGCACTGTGGCACAGGGCCTGCAGAAAACCCATGTATCCTGAGCTGTGCTTCACCAGGTGAGGTGAAGGATGCCTCACCTGGATGGTTACTGTGATTCCATCAGAGATGGCGTGTGCCATTGCTCATGGACAGCAAAACAAAGCAAGGTAAGGGGTGCTTCTCCAGACTTCACCTGGAGTCTATTTCATAGCAATGCCCCTGCTCCTACTTCACTAACCTGTCCTTAAAAAAATAAAACACTACCAGTAAAGAAAATGTGGATTAGCTGGTGATCCTGAGTGCATGCTGCAGAAGAGGAAACTGCACTTGAGTTTGTTCCCTTGCAGGAACACCAAGCTGGGAGATGTAAACTTGGTGAGGAGCTGCTGTTATCTCAACCACAGCTGTAAGCAGTGCAGAGCTTTCAGGCTTTCTGAATAGTCAAACTTCTAAAAATCTGCAACAGGCTATGACCTTTCAATACCTGATGTAGCTCTAATGATGTAAAACTATGCACTATTGCTATGTGCAATAGTCTGCTTAAAACCAGTTCTATGGCCAGGCTGGGAGCTACCTTCATTAATCAAGTGATATGGAAGGGAAGGCTGGATCATGTTTGTGATGAACTTTCCACAAACTTTCCAGATAAATTTCAGTGATGGCAGTGAGGGCTGTTGGGAGACGAGTGTATGGGAGATGGAATAATGTTAGCCTTGATGTTTAAAAACAGAAGGAAAAAGGCATGACATTTTCCCCTAAATTTCTGCATTGTTTTTTATATGTACCTGTAAAGCATGATCAAACCTCCATATTCCCCTTTCCAGAATAAAGAGAGGGTGCTCTATAGATTAGCACTATAAACTGAGTGTTTTGAGCTGTGACTGGTGCCTAGATATCCTGTTTTCCCCTAGTCCAAGTCTGTGATTCTTAAACATAACATAAAAGTTCAACTGTATTAACTGCAAAGCAACTGTTCTGAGTTTTGTTTGGCATTTTCTGCACTTGTTTCATGGTCCATTTAAACCGTGTCTTGTTTAATATCTGCCTCACTATGGGAAGATGGGAAGTGTCACACTATGCTCATCTGCACATGACATTAAACAGGAATTCGGTGTATCCGTGGGGGAACTCAAGGGGAGCGAAGTAACTTTTGAGGCCAAGAGTAGTGTGAGTTTTCACAGGAGATTGCTAATGTGACTGTGGGAGAAAAGAAATGTCTGCAGAAACTGCATCCCAGGAAAGTCAGGCAGATGGAAGCCTGGGAGGTGTCCCCGGACCAGGGGGACCGGCGGGGATGGCACAGGGCCCCTCGCTGGCTCCCTGCTCGCCTCCTGCAGCAGCGAGGGACGCGAGCACGGCGAGCTGCCCGGGAGAGGGCACTGCTGCCCTGCTTTTGGGACAGTCTGGACTTTCCTACTGCAGAGAAAAAGCCATTTCAAGCCGGTCTGGCCAAAGCACAGCTCAGGGGAGACTCCCCCTTGGATAATGAGAAAGCCGCTCGGGTGATTCTGCTGCACCCCGAGTGTGGCAGGAGCTGTCCTGAGGGATTTGGAGAGAGCTCCGATGGTGACAGCTCCCCTTGCCACGGGTACAGAGCACTGCAGGGTGAAACGCCCTCTGTCCAACGCCAGCACCGTGCTTCTGCTACAAACAACAAACAAACAACAAAACAAAATCCCAAAAACAAACAAACAAACAAACAACCAAATCAAAACCCAAAACACCAAGAAAAATCCCCAATTGAAATGTCCAGACTGGGAAGGCAGAGATACCACAGAGTGCTGAAATACCAGAATCTAATGCTTGAAAGGTTACTATTTAGAATTATTTTTTTTACAACTGAGATGAAAATTAACCATTATACACGTGTGTGTAACAGGCCTGGTGAACTCTTTTGTACAGCAGCACTTCTGAGGCAAACTGTATAACTGATGTAGTTCTCTCCATCCTCCAACAAAGGACAACCTAATCATTAGCAAAATATGTGTTTATTTTTAAAAAAGCAGAACACTCCCACTTCATGAAAGCTGTAAGACTGCTTAAGTGGGACAATTTATTACACAATACAGGTGCTCTGTACAGCCTGCTTTGCATAACATGAATTTCCCATAGGAAACATAATGAGCATAACAAAGTATATTGGAAACAAAAGGGTGCACTTAAGGAAGAAGACTAGAAACTGAAGCATAAAAAGTGAAAATCAGTTTTCTCTCATTTTCTCTAAAAGTAACAATTTGAATTCTAAAACAAAGGCAGACAAATACATATATAAAAATCTTTATACAAATTTAAAAAAGCATACGTAAGACATAAATATAACAAAGGAGAGACCAAATGTCATCTTTTGATGTATCAGTACCATCTGAAGCCTGTTTACATATTCTCTACATTTTTACCTCTTTTTATTAGGCTGAAGTAGCACTCATAAAGAAGATTCAGTGTATCACATTTCAGGCTCAAAAGCAAACAGTACATCACTATTGTGATGAAATCTTACAGAGATACACTGACCTGGGCCCAGTGTACATCTGTTCCACAAGTGCATTTTCCTCAGATTTATTCCAAATCTAAACTGTCTCTCCAGCATACTACCCAAGCAATCTCGAAGAGCTTGTATTAAAGACTTCCTTGCTCCCCCTTACCAAAACCAAGAGGGAATGTTTTATTAACAGCTAAGGGAAGTTGGGATTGATTCTTGATCTGCAGCTAAAAAAGATTTATGGGTTATTATTGATTTTTTTCATTGTTCCTCAGAAAAGCAGCTCAGTAAGTACCTACAGCTGCTGAGATTCCCCAGAAGAATGCCTTGGTACACTGTGTTCAGACAGCTCAGACAAAGGCTTTTACTACCTGCTGCCTTTCTTTTTTAACATCTTCGAGTTTTTCCTTGGTTCAGTCTCCCCTTCATGTGAACTCTGTGACTTCTCTCTGAAAGGATAAATAAGAAAAAGAAAACAAAATTGCTGACAGTTTAAAATGCTATACTGCCCTCTTAAACTAAATTAATTTTGGTAAAAGAAAGGCGCTTGCTATATAAACTTCTGCACTCACTGGTTTCAGCTGCCTCTATTGAGGCTGCCAAAACAAAGTTGCAAAAACATAAACGTTCCTTTGTTGGGTCCCTGTTCCCTACACACGTCTCCCTTGTTGGCTGTGGGAAAGGAGTGCATGAAAAGGGTTGATGCCATCAGGAAAAGGAACCATCTCCTGAAGTCAGTCCCAGGCTGAGGTCACTCAGGGGATAAATACTTTTCCCCAAAGGCCTGTGGCTCCTGAGAACCAACTGTTTGCTTTGCCTGTCAGCAGGATTTTCTCTGCTCAATATATCAAGCCACAACAACCAGCTGGCTGGTTTGATCTGCCCGTAGTAATCAGCTGGCATCTTTCAGGTTTGTAGCCATTTCTTCTCTAGTTAGCACCCAGCATAAGCCAACTGAAACATCTATCAAGTAAACCATTGTTAGAGCTGCTACTCACATCAGCCAAAGACCGGCACTTGCCTTTATTCCTGAAATAAAGGTAGAAGTTGAAAGCCTAAATACCACAGACCATATTTTGGTTGCTACATTTCAGCCTAGTTCCACTGAATTCACTTGTCTCTGCTGATTTATGCTGTTTGTGACTCAGGTTTAAATAAAACTAAATAAAGGAAATTTGGAAATAGAATTTCTCATTTCTCTACCTTTAATCAAAGCTATTTATAAAATACATAGCTGTACAGACAAGCAAATACAGATGAATTTCCTAACTTTAAAAAAGATCATGGGTTAACAAAGGTTAAGTACATGTGAGAGGTAAATATTAAGGAAGCTCAGCTAGTGCAAGCATTATGTTTTGAGTTTGATTGACATACCTTCTTAAGAAGTAGATTTTGAAGTTTTTATATTAAAAAAGAGATTTTTTTATAAATAACTTTTCATATATCCTATTTTTCGTCTCTAAGGTACCTGCATAAGCCAGAAGTTTTTCCATGGGGCTCTTGAATATATTCACGAGAATCATCTTTTTCTGCTGGTTCGGGTGACTGGATGGTCTGCCTTTTGGAATTTGCTTTTTCACCTGAATTGTCAAATTCAGTGGATTAAAAAAAAAAATAATAATCACATATAGTAGAGGCTTGTTTGGTTCTGATAAACCTAAAACAAAAAAATTACACTCTAACACTCCACAGATACCTGTTATTATTCCAAGGAAACCACTCCACCTTACATTAGCCCAGCACACTGCTTTTTTACCACTGGTTAGTTCTCACACAGCAGACTGTGAACTGCCACACTTAACACTGAAGTGAGCTTCCATGTAGTGCAAAAGGTGAAAGCCCTATTATAAATTTTCTTAGCAAGTAACTGAAAAAGGCTTTTTATTACCACCAAATAGAAGAAAAGCAAGTTCATATTTTTGGGTGATCTGAATCAGAAAAACATGATGTTAAGAATTCACTGCTTTTAGGGCCCTGAGCTAAGATTCCACATACGTCCGTGCAGTCACGGTGCCTACCAAGGCAAACAATTCTGCACAGCTGAGAAACAACAGCTGGGGAGAGACACTTCAAAATTGCGCAGGTGAGTGAGCTACTTTTCCCTTTCAGGCACCCATCTTGCCTGCCAGCATCTTTCAAATGTAATGCCATATGTTTCATTCTGATAATGACAGAAAGATTGCACAGCTCAAAGGATGACACTTGTACACTGCATCTGAAATGTGGACCAGGAAACATGACTGCTATTCTAAAAATTTGCCCCTGAGTATCTCTTGAAGAATGAATTAGTATAATTTGTTAAAACTACAGTAGATTCATAAAAATAGATCAAGCTTCTGATTCAGTAGGATTGTACATGTGTGGGAGGCAATTCTTCCATTCTACCAGGAGAATGAAAGCTGGGTGATTCAACTCTGCTGTTCTCCCATGGATTTAGCAATTGAGCTGAACAGAGTCATTTCTAAGGGACATGACAAAGATATGAAAAATGTTTTGGTTTCAGCAAGGCAAAGCCTTACCTCAGTGGACACAATGTAATCTATTGGTTAAAGGCTCCTCTGGAGTGAGGAAAGGTGACACTTGTTTGTGGCTGTGCTGCTGGAGAACCGGGTGACCTTGAAAGGTTTCATTACTTTTCTACATCCACATTTGGGAAATGGCGCTGATGAAAAATCCCTCCTGAAACTCTAATGTGTTATACTGCAAAATCTGCACTGATTTGTGGAATTATGTGGGTTTTTTTTTAAACAATTCAGGATAGAACCAACCTGCTGGCTTGCTCCTTTTGGAAGGCTTCCTCTTCAGAGTCAGTGGAACTCGGGTCAGCACAGCCAACTCTCTCACAAAGTCCTGCTCTGCTTCCTGCATGCAAAGACAAAGCAGCAACCCCTCAACACAACACAGCTCAATTCTGGGTTATGTTATTACATGTGGCACAATAAAACAGGCACACCACTGCAGAAACACAGGAAGCAATATGGGAAACGATCAGGGAGGTGATCCTACAAGACAGTAATGTCTCAGCACTGATTTCAACTAGGGTAGCAAAGAGACCCCTACAATCTGTCCCATGTTTTTACACTGGATGTTTCCGATCCATGAACCATTTCACCCTGATTTACCCTTAGCTGCTTCTCCAACTCAGTTTCTAGGTGGTGCAATCCCAGCAGCTTCTGTTTCAGAGACTCCAGACGAATTTGTTGCTGCTGTTCAAACCGAGCCAAAATCTTGTTTTGCTGTAGCACTACCCTGGTGAAGAGAAATGCAGATGTATAGATGTTGTCCAATGCAAGGTTGGAATACAATCCTGTCAAAGTCTGTCCAGGAGATTTGTAGAGAGAAAAGCTCATTAACAATACTGGCCCAGCCAGCTTCTGCTGGGACAGAAAATTTTGTGGTAGATTTTTAGATTTACTTATTTTAATAACCTGCTTTGGCTGTCCATAGCATACAAGGCCCTTTTGGAGGTGGGAATTACAGGAGTTTGCAATGTCCATGCTTGGACTTTGGGAGCTGGAATTCAGCTCTTTCAAAACTATTGTATGTTTCTAGGGTCAGTTTTACTTGCCAAAGGGCCAAGCTGTCCAAAGACCAGGTGTGAGGGTAAGGGATTAAGAATTAGGTATTTCATCCAGGGCTCTTCAGTACCAGACTGAGCTATCAACATGTTAATTCAAGACTTGGCAACTGAAACCATTAACAACCGTATTCTTCACTTGTTTTACTTTTCTGGTTAAGGATTATTATTAATAGAGTACAACCTAAATGGCTGCAACTTTGCTGAATCTGTATTTCTTCTGTTTTCCTTCCTGATCTACCTTAAAGCAATGCTGCAAATCACCCATCAAATTCCTCAGGGAAGGAGGTAACACAAATAGTTTCTGGCATTTAAACTCAATGGAGCTGCTATTGTAATGGTCACTGCTTACAGAGGTTACCTTTCAGCATTTGCTTTTTGAACTCACAGTCCTAACCTTGCACCAAGGGCAAAAAGAAATAAAACAGTCAAACAATGTTGAGTTTATAGGACTTAGAAAAATTAATGTAAGCCTTGTCATTAATTACAAAGGACTAGACTATGAAAGAAATCTTAATGGCAATAGGAAAACAGGTTTGATTACTGATGATTATGAGACCAGCTTAGATGCTGCATAGTTACATTCTTCAATACCACACTTCTGCTTGTGAAGCTTTTTGTGAAGAATTTGTGAAGGCAAATTTCAGTGTATTTTGGTTTATGATATAAGAAAAGATTAGGGGAGGAAAAAAAACTGAGACAACAACTAGAAGTGAATTTGTATGTCAGAATAAATGACAAATTTGATAATGAATAACTAACAGATCTTTTATGTAACCCTTTATTACATAAATCCATTTCTTTAACTCACACAAGGATAAAAAAGCGGACAATGATATCTTTCAGTTTAGAAGAAACAGAACGTCTAAAGAAAGATTTAGCCTCTTTACAATGTCAAAATTGCAGCTGTTGTGTTTTTCTGGATAATAAACCAAGAGTAAAGACATTAAATGACTACGAAAATGTATCATGTACATGACAAGCCATAGAGCTTTTTATGACAACTTACTCCTTTTTAACTGCAGTTCTTTTTGTCTGGACTTTAAGTTTCATTAAATCAGTAATTAATTAAATATGATTTTTATTTAACTAACATTTGAGGGCTTCCATTCTAAATTTAGTGCGAGTAATCTTGATTTTCCAATGCATTCACTGAAGCCGTCTTTCCATTTTGAGTATTTTTTTGGGCTTCAAACATTTTCATTGTATGTTTTTCAGTATATGTTTTCTCCACAGCAAACTAACAAACACTTTTGAAGTTCAAAGTACAAAGGATGAAATGTAATGAATTACATTCAGCATTGGTTCCCATCCTACATTTATGTTAAATTTCTTTTAAAATTTGGCATATGTTTTGGCATTGTATTTCATTCTCTTTTTTTCAAACTCCCTAAATATAGTTCTTCAATCTGTAACTAATGACCATCAAAAAGTTTATTTAATAAGAAAGTAATTCTCTGAGATCAAAGGGCAGACATCATTTGGCAATAGGTATTTCTTTTCTATCAAAGACAAGTATAAAATGCAAACTCAAGACATTTATTCAGCTAGACATTTATGTAGATCTGCAATCACTCACGAAGTTTAAACAGACAGCAGTGCTGCTGCCTGGTCTAACCTTTGGTGGACCGTGGATGACACATTTAGGAGGCCTTTGGTGTGTTTTTCCTTCAATGCCAGTTCCTTCTCTTTACTCTTCAGTCTGATCCTTTCATTTCTTTCTGCTGAAATAATGTTTATGAAAAATTTTTTGCTCACAATTAAAAACTGAGTTGTGACGACTTTCATCAAAAATTAATTCTGATTCTAGGTAGTCTTTCCAAACTTACTGCTCCTTAGGGATATCAAGAACTTCTTACACACTCTGTCACTGTGATCTGCTGCAAAGAGAATACTTTATGCATAATTTAGCTGAGACAGGAATGTCACTGAATTCCTGTTTACCTACTTCTCCCACTAGGCTAACTGATGGAATTCAAAGCAGCAATTTTCTAAAAAGACCTTGATGCCTTAAGCAAGAACTGTAATACCTAAACAACAAATGAAATATAAAGAAAACCTTCCCCTCAGAGGTGACTTATTCCTGGGAATGCCCAGCTTCACAAGATGTCCCCTCAAATGACAGGAAACTATTCTGGTTACTTTTTCATATGCTCACACTCAGTGACTGAGTGCTTATTTGCTGTCCAGGCTCCTGATTCTTGGCCCTGAAGTCCTGCCTGGCAGCAGGGCTTGGGCACATCTGACAGGACCTTGTACCACTCCTTTTAAACTAAACAGGAGAGAAATGCATGGGTTTATAACAGATCAGGGTATGTAACCTTCATCTGGGGAGCATCCAACCTTTTCTGAGCACTCAGAGAGGCTGACAGGCACCTTTCCTTCCAAATGCACCATCAGGGAGCAGTTACTGAGTGTACTCTGGGCTGGGCTGGGCTGGCTGTGCCAGTGCAGGTACTCTCCACCTTTGCTCCTGTGGCTGTGCCAGGCAGACTAAATTCAGATTTCCTAGGGCAAGGGATGCCAGAAGAAGCAAAATCCTCTAGCCTTACATTAAGCACAGTCACTGGGAGGCAGAATTGTCTTACAGTTGTCAATATCGTACAAACCTTGTAAGGATTTCAGATGTTGGAGCTTTTTTCCTTCATAGCCTTCTGTGATTTTTCCTAATTGCTGGTAGTAGTTTTGCACCAGTCTACTGATATTATTACTGGTCCCATACACACTTTCAACAGCAGATTCCACCAGTTTCTCCTATATCACACAGTACAAGTCACAATTAATTTTCCAATGGCTGCTGTAGCAAATACTGTACTGCTACATAAGTGTTAGCTTGTAAATACTTTCCAAAACATGCTCAGTTTTAACACAGATCCTAACCGGCTTCTGCTGATACTTCCAAGCATAGGCTAATGCATACATTAAATTGCCTTCCATCTGTGCAAGGTGGCCCTTGTTTTGTTTGGAAAACTGCTTTTGACCATTTCCATACCTTGAAGTCCTGTCCATCATCTGAACTCTTTCTTTCAGCTTCCCCCCGGGCGTACTGCAGCAGTGTCTGCCCAATCACCTGCGCCATGTGCTGCTGAAGAAACTGAAGAGCTTCTTGGATTTCTGTGACTAGCTGCTGGTGAAATTCTAAATTGGTTTCTTGTGTTTCTTCCTCAAGCTTCTCTTCCTCTTCACGAATGTGGGACTCCTGGTAATCAGTGAGACAGCACTGCCATTTAATTATGTTAACAATTGGAGTCAGCTTCACTTTGAAAGAAAGGCCTGCACCCATTCAGAATGTCAGGGTTTTAGTAATTATAATAATACAATTTACAGAGGAGTTTGTACAGTCTTTTAGCACATTTGCCTTTGCAACAGAACTATAGCCTCTGTCATGACATGTACAGTATAAGCTGCATCCTGTCCTATGAGTCACTTCTATGTGATGTATTCACATGTATGTGAAATATCCTGAGTCCAGTAAGAGATAATTGTGGATACCTTGATAAACTGCATAGGAGCAAGGCAGTTATGCACCAGGAAAACTTGCAGTTTGTGTGGTCTACCTGAGAAAAACTTGGCTTAGTACTTGGGAGTACCAACACCCAAGGGAGTACCAATGGCCCTTGGGACAGGTCACAGAGGTGTGTTATAACACTTGAAAACCATTTGTACAACATCCTCTGGTGGTGAGTTCTAAAGCTTCTCCATGTATTTCTTAATTTTGAATCTGACATGTGGTAACACTGCTAGGTGCTCTCTTCTTTCATTTGAAACATATATAAAATGGTTCTCTACTCACATATTTGATGCCAGTTTTAAAACCTACGATATTCCAGAAGACACCTATTTTTTAGGCTAAAGAGTTCAAGTCCCTTGAGGTCTTTGGACCATCCCTGCCTCCATTTTTGTGCATGAGAAGTGCACACTTTTCATCTAAGCTCTCTTTAGTGAACTGTAGTATCTGCTTACCAGCATTACCTGTTCTGTCATCCTTAAGTGTAGTAGTCTGCCACAGAGGGCCTTCTATTCTGTTGCTGATGTATTTCTCATATTTATATACTCAGTTAAGGCTAAATAACATTAAAATATTCTGGGAGATGGGATAGTACCTATTTGATGCTTTCTTGGAAATAAAAATGCAAGTAGAAAAAGAACATTTATTTGTAGGTATATTCAGCAGCAAGAATCTTACATGTATATTTTTAGGCATTTCCTTATGACATGGGTATTAGCTGGACTTGGAAAGAGATTGTAATGGACAGAAGCCAAAGAAACACTAATACCTGAGGACATTTCATTTTCATTGGGGAATCCAGTGATTGCATCAATCAGTGTCTCCATGTGAGCTAAGTGAGAGGGAGTAGTGGAAAGCAAGATGCTGATCTTCTTATGGACAGAGAGACAGAGAAAAAAGAATGAAAAATTATGACAGCTGTAGAAGAACTTGCTTGGTGTGGCAGGAGTAAGAATTTCTCCTAATGCTCCAGTAAGAACTTCTCAAGTACATATTATGATCCCCAGCAGAATTTGTAGGAGCTTCTCTCACCCTGAAGCAGTAGCTTTGCAGAAGTCCTTTATACATGTTGGCATCCTTTTTGCATTAGTATTTTCATATCAATAAATTGCTAAATAAGCTTGCTAGAATAACACATATCACAGATGGATATGCACACTCAGAGACCTCCTATGCCAGCAATGTGGACATTTTTGACAGAGAACATTTTTCTTTCTCCTTGGAGCTTGAACTTTTTTTTTTTTTTTTTTTTTTTTTTTTTTTTTTTTTTTTTTTTTTACTTCTGCCATGGTTTCTTCTAATGCCAAATATCACAGCATATGAGACCCCTGGAGACAACCCACCTGGACACTGTACCTACCACTGCCTTCTGTAACTGCCACTGGTCCTCATCTTGGCACAGGGAGGATCCCTTCTGCAGGGTATGCTGCTCTCTCAGCTCCTGAAGCGAGCTCTTCTTTCTGGACAGTCGCATGCGCGCCAGGGTTGCCATTCCAACTCTTCGGAAGGTTAACCTTCTGAGTACTGAACACAGCAGAAGTTGGTGCTTTTGCAATATATAGCTAACAGACCTGTAAAAAGGACCATTAAAAATCCATCAGTGAAGCTGCTTGCTGCTTTGGTACACCTGTGTTCAGCAAAGTCATTCCTTAAAGGTGACAAGTTATTCTTCATGCTATGCAATGTCTTTTTGTACAAAGCATGCCTTGGAAAGCTGCTCAGGTGTAAAGAATGGGTACTGCTGTGTTACACTTCTAGTCCTGTCACACTGAAGTTAAATTAAAATGAAAACAGAAATAAAATAACTAAATAACCATCTATATGTTGCTGGAATTAATATTTTATCTTCCAGAAAATGCAACTCCACTGTGACATAGGGAGTGCCAAGAGAGGCTGGTTCAAAACTAGAAACCACTCAAAAACACAGCAGATACTCACAAAGCACACCAGGGACAAATCACATAAGACTTCTTTTTTCTAATTTCCAGGAGTCATATGTCCATTTTTTTAAATTTGCTTTTGATACTCAGACAAAAATCTAGAGCAATTGGCTCTCTGTCAGAAGGTGCTAATAGTCCCTCAACACTGCTTTCCACAATGTAATGTACACAAGTTTTTATCAGTGAAGTTTTACTCCACTGCTGACTGATGAAACTGTGCTTACTCATCGCTGAGGCATCCTAGTCTGCTTACGACACCTTGAATTATCTTCTCTTGTTTCTCAGACAGGTGCTTTTGCATCACAGCAGACAGAGCATATTCCGTTATCCAGAGCTAAAAGCAGGAAAAATAATTACAAATATAAGATACTCTGATTTCAGCCAGTCACTGCATAAAGAAACAAGGGTTTATTTTGCTAAAAAATCATCCCTTGCTTTCAAAAAGAAACTCATGCTGAATTAAAATTATTCTGTTTAGGAATATTTTTTTCAATTATCAAAACCTTAAAGCAAAACTCACTGAAAAGACGAGCTTTGCACTGGTTTGCATCAGCCCTGAGCTGTCTCCTACAAATGTTTTAGTTTCAACAATAGAAGAACAAGAAAAAAGCTAACAACATGACACAAAATACTGCATTGACTCTGATCAGCAGGTTGCAGTAATCTTTTTATCTGTTGCTTTATTTTCACGAGTAGAGAATGTAGTTTTTCTTTTCAATGAACAAAATAAAGACATCATCTTTCATCACACTTCTGTCATAGTAAACAGTGGAATATGTTGGAATATGCTGGAAATGGAGATTACATTAGGTAAGTATATGGACTGCAAGTTTACAGCTCCTTCACGGTGAGATTTAGATCAAAGAATTTCATCTTTAAATTAATTTTGATGGATTTGCCATTAGATTGTAAACTTCTGGAGATATGGACTTAGGATTTTGTTTAGTATGTTGCCAATATTTAAGGAAGAGTAAGTCATAAGCTGAAATATTTGCAAGGCTCCGGCTCTCACTGTAAGATGAAGAGTATATTTTAGGCTACTGACAGCTGAATAAAAGCAGGTTACCTGCTGATGTATCCAGAGCCCTAAATTAAATATAATACCCAGGGTGTCTGACAGTTTCACTTTGTGTTCCAGTGCCATTCAGAACACAAGGGACTAAATTTTCAATTATGGCAAACAGGTAGGTTTCACTATATCAGCATGTCCAGCAAAGTATTAGATGCTGTCCTGGTTGAAGGAGGGGGTGAAGCCGAGTGTGGTGTGGGCACATCCAAGCTGTTACTCTATACTACCCACATCATAAATGTGGGGGTGGTTTGGGGTGAAAATGAGCACACCCCTCAGAAGTGGGCACCATTTTGCCTCTCCCTCTCCAGCAGGGTGTCAGCACCAGCCCCCGCAGATCCAGCTCCCATCAGCACCCCTGTTCCCCATCCCATTTTCTCCAGAACACACATGGTGCTGAAAGGACAGTGGCAGCAACGCTCAGCAGCAGCAGGACTGGACCAACAGAGCCCGTGCAGAAGCTGCCACAGGGAAGGACTGGTGGGATCAAACCCCACTGGCAACAGTGACAACAATGGGGAGCCCCACTAACAGCTGAGCTGAGCCTGGGCCAGCTGAGCTGAGCTGAAAGGAGATGGCAGAATGGTTGGAAAAGCAGCAGCGACCTGCAGGACCAGTGCAGCGGAGGGACAAACAGTGGCACAGACACCTGTGCAGAACTGAACAGCAAAGCAGTGGTGCAGCCTGGCTCAGGGGATTTATTTGTCACTGGCTTTCATTGTTTCAGGCTGGGGGATGAGGGAAATGTTAGCCATGGGAGTTTCTTTACCATCCTGCCTTGGTTCCTGATGGCCACATGGGCAGTGAGTGGGAATGGTCTCCATATTACCTTTGTCTGGGAAGCCAAGTGGACACGACCTACAGGGAGCATCTGCCATCTGTTTGTTTCTTCCCAGTGGTGAACTCCTTTTTTTCTGGGTAAAGCACCTTCTCTTTTTGTGTACCTTTGCTATTAATATTGCTGTTGTTATAGTGCATTTCTTACTCCATGGCTTTTGCTTTCAGTAAATCGTTATCTCAACCCATAGTCTCTGCTTTTGCCACTCCCTTACTGGAACAGGCAGGGGAAGGGGAGTGGCTCATTTGTAGTTTAGTTTCCATATGGTGCTAAACCCAGCACAAATGTGTAATTGCACAATTGTTAGTGTTAGAAATTAGGAGTGATACTGGGCCTCTCTGGGCTGGATATGTGTTTTTTCATTGGGAAGCAGGAGAGAGGCTTTCTCTGTGAGCATAGAATGAACTCCCCTGGGATGTGCAGAGAACATCAGAAACTTTGTCTTCTTTGGCTTCAAAATAAAAATGTATTTCTTTCATGGCTAGTGCCTTCAATGTACAATACACAGTGACACATCTAACTGACCTCACTCCATGTAGAAAACCTTACCAAAACACATGTTCCTGAGCAGGATGCCTGAACAAGGATGGGCAGGCAGTCAACAAGTGACAGATGGGAAGAGTGCAGCTGAGCATGAGAAGCACAGCCCAAAAGACTGCATGGCACTGGAGACTCACTAGGCTGCTCTCAGCAAGAGCCTCAGACGCACCTGTGTAGCCAGATCTCAACTGATCTGAGTCTAGGTGAGTCTGATAATCACAAAGCACAGCTGAGCACAGTGTCTTCTCTGATTTCATGCTGCAAGCATCAAATTAAGGTCTATCAGGTCTCCAGGTATCATCATGACAGATGGCAAAGACTTGCTTGAAGTAATAATTGTTATCAGCATTTCCCTTTAGCAGCTCTGTGGATATAGCTCCTAGTATTTCACACCTCTCTACACATGCCTTGTAGATCCATCACACTGTGTACTTTAATGTCTCTTTCAGCAGTTAAAAAAAAGTCTGAAAACGACCTTTTACTTTCTGGAAGTAATTTTATTTCCAGTGAGAGATTGGCTGTAGTTCAGATGTGGTTTTCCATCATTTTTGGAGACCTGATTATTTACTAAGAAGTTGCTCTTGAAGGGCAAGTCACACATGAGAATATATATCACCAAGAGACAGAACACAGGAGATGGTATCTGAATTACAATTGGAATGGTAAATGATACAATATTGCAGCCATGAACCTAAAATATAGCACCTCACTTGCTATCAGTATATCATATCCAAAAGTATATCCTATCACTGTCAGTGATAACAATGACTACAAAGTGCTTCTGGTAGTTGTTATTTACTTCTGTTCATGAAGAAACAGCCTAGTTCTGTAATAGTGAAGAGTTCCTTCTAAAGAATGAGTCACCTTTCCCATTAAGAGTGCATTTGAGGTAATCTGTATGCAGAATTTATAAAATGTCTCTGCACCTCCCTGAGACCAATGGGAAACTGAGAATACAGCAGAAATTCCTCCAGCACACAGTTATTAAACTAAACAGTAAAAGTGCCTCAGCTGGGTAAGTAGTAAGAGAACAAGAGGAGGAATTATTAAACATTTATGATGAGACAATAAATAAGGAAGATTGAGAATTAGACCAAATACTAAACCAGTGTTTTGTCTCAAAAAGGCCATTAGGAAGATGATCAAGATAGAAACGATCAGCTGGAATAAACAGGATATTGTAAGTTTAATTGGAAACATCACCTAGGCAGCTCACTGGGATGAGCTAGCAGAGCTGGGCATTTTTCACCTCCAAAATACATGAAGACCTCACACAGAGAGGCAGAAATGTGACAGCAAAGATTCTCTGGGAATGTTGAGGCTGCTGGCATGTGGCTGAAAATCAGCAAAACAGAGACAACTACTTCTTCAGGCCAGGTGGCAAGGCCAGGCTCTGTGCTTGCACCAATACTCCAGTGTTGGGTCAAGTCACCACGCACATCTCCAAGGTTTCTTGTTCTTGGGAATAGACTTACTTTGTTCAAAGATAGGTCATATGGAGGGGACACACTCATGCTGCTGCACAGACTTAGCAGCTGCAACAGAGCTCAGGCTCTCTGATTCCTGCATTCAACCAGTAAAACCAATGACAGAAGTATGGTAAACAGGGGAGTAAAGCTCTAAGGAACATCTGGCTTCTCGAAGTATTATTCCAATAGCTATGAAAAAAGAAACCAGAGAAAATGGTAAAATGCACACCATGTCAAAGCTAGTAAGCAGGTGCCAGTTCAGCTTTCTGGGTGTCAAGCAATGATGTGGGAATGGATGGAAATCTCATTCCATTTTTTTTCTGTAGGCTTCCAAATATTTTGCTTCTTGGTTACAAGACCATTATAGGATCTTCTGAAACTAAGTATTACTCTCTGGCAATAAAGGTGAGGAATATGTCTCTCCCTTCTGTTTTGACATCTTTAGCATAGATTATTCAGGGAATGAAAGGAAAGTGATTTCTCTGTCTCAGCCTGTAGATGGGGTGCGATGCACACTGACTGCCAAGTGAGTCTCATCCTGGTGCAGGAGGCTGCTCCCTGAAACTGTTCTCTACAGAAATCATGAGTTAGGAACTGTGTGGGAAAATGCTCTACATTTATTTTCATTAGTCATTTATTCCAATTTGCCTCACTCATATCCTCAATCCTACAAGGCACAGCTATATATGAAACTGTTTTTTTTTCTTTTCAGTTGTAAAAGTGATTCTTTTCACCCCCAAGGACATCATATTCCAGACATGTATAAATGCTAGGAAAGATCATCTAAAAAAAAGTAAAGGGAAAAATGTCTTTCAGAGCCACTTTGAAAAGCACACATAAATACCCTGGTGAAAAGTCTTCTTTTGTTAAAACTTCCCAAGCCTGTAAAGCAGGTGACTGTGTAACTCTTAGCATAGCACATTTATCAAGAGGGAAATGAAGGACATATCTCCTGCTGCAAAATGCCTGACAGTTTAAAAGGCCAGTCAACATGACTGTTGATTTATGGATCTTTTGTCAGACCCAGACTCTAACACCTATGGGTTCTCCCAAATGACATAATCACCTGGCACAAGTGTCCAATATCTCTTCTTCTTAATGTGGGAACCAAGTGCTCCTTTTTGTAAGGACGCAAGTGTCAGCTTATTGTTTAAATGTTCATGCTGCTGTTTTATAGTAGGAAAGGGACAAGAGATGCACTTTGCATTTGAACCTAATATAATGGGTTGTGATGTTTTTCAGACTCATGAAAATTTACCAGCATTTCTTTGGTGGAATAGCTATCTCCCAGCATGCTCTCTTTGGAGATAAAGCAGATTTTTTCCCAGTTCAAATTCTTTCCAAAAGGCCACAAGCATTAAGTTAAAGAAGGTACTTAGGGTCCTGCACAGAATATTGTCTTGAGGCATCACAATATGAACTTCTCACTAAAAGAAACTCTTATCTCTTCTTGGAATTTATCTTGCAGAATCACTTGTCCTTAGGACGGCTCTGTCTGCCACTCAGGAAATTTTTGTATTGAATAAAGCCTGGCTGCAGTGTTGGTGAGTCAGAGACCAGTGGGAGAGCGCTGTCATTGCTAAGTTAATTCCTCTATAGCTCTATACCTCAGTAATTACTGTTAATGATGTCAGAAAACCTTTTGGTTTTTTTATTTTTTATTTTTTTTCCAGCTAGGAAGTCATCTGCTTTACATTATTCATGCTAGGGTACACAAAGTGATGGAAAGTCAATTTTCTAATTTAAATAACCTATGCTTGAGCATGACCAAAACACCTGAATTCACACATAATGAATCCATCACACAGTGCTGCCCAAAGACCTATTATCTAGCAGCTGAGTGCTGGAGATGAACTAATCCTCTAAATCCTTTGAGAAAAAAATCCCAGGGTATGCTTTCTCCACTCAACAGCGTGCCCAATGATAGCAGGAGGAATGTACAAACAGCATTTTTGGACGAAAACAACAGACTTGAGACGTTCCTGCTCTGTGGTGAGTCTCTTACTTGTTAAATGCATCCTCTCCAGCCCTGAACAATGGCTGAGGCTCAACGGGACAGTGGGAAGGCCACAGGTGCTCTAATGTGCACTCTGACATGATATTTTTCATAAATTGCACACCAGAACCTCCTGTTTCCCTGTGTTTTTTTATGACAGTGAATATCACCACATTGCTTAGGGCTCTGTGTACTATGAGACATCCTCCAGGCCATGCACATATAAGGACAGGAAATTTGTGCACCCTTGATGAATGTGAAAATGAACAGGAAGGTTTAAACTTGACAAGTCAGGTATTCAATCTAATCCTTGATTAAAAGGAGAAAAATAATTAAAAGGTAAAAATGAGGTCAGACATTGTTTCATTAATCACCAAAGGTACAGATATGCCAAAATCAAACACGAAATGCCAGCCAACAGTCCTGGGAAGTACAAATATAACTAAGCACATGAGCAGACCCACTGGCAGTGGTGGTTGGTCCCAAGCACAGTTTAGTTTAGTTTGCTAGATAGCCCTGTGGCACAAAACAGAAAAACAGAATTGTTTTTCAAAACAGGTCAGTTACAATGAAGGAAATATAAAAAGATCAGGGAGGTGCATGTTGCATAACTCCAGATTAAGGAAAATATAGTAGAAAAAAAAAGGAAATGTCTCGGAATTTTCAATTAAGTATTTTACTTTTGTATTTCCAAGGGTGTTCTAAACCCACTGGTTAGCAAAGAACTTTACCAGATTTAATAGGAAGCCCACAGTATCCTGAATCACGGTGTTTTACAGTCGAATCCTAAATATGAGTGGGTAAAAAAATTGAACACCTTAATGCACTTTGCAATAATTAGGGACCTGCTCAGTACTTCAATAACAAAGTATTGGATTGTCTAGGCACTTCAGAGAATGAGGGCAAGGGAAAATATGATTCTGCCAGCATTAAAGAAATCTGCCAACCTTTTATTTAAGAAGCTCCAATTACTCTCTACATTGCAGCACACACTCAACATTTAGGAATGGACACACCTTTGAATAGAGAAGGTCTTTCTTTGAGTAAGCTGTGTTAGAAGCAGTGTTGACAGAGACATAGCACTGCATGAATAAACTGAAGGTATATTTGAGCCCCAGTCTGATGCTAAAGACACCTGTCTCAGCATTTACTCTTGTTCTTTCCTCTGGTGTCAATGCCCCCTATGGTGGGCACATACTGAGCAGGAAAGCTGGATTCCCTGTTTTTTCACCTTCACAGAGTAGAGTAAGTTTATAAAAGTACGTATCATACGTTTCCAGTTATTAGTGTTAATGCATAAAAATTAGTAAGAGATATTTATCATAGCAAGGCTTCCTTGCCTGTAAACTGTATTTATATGTACCCTCTCCAAACAGACCTGATGAAGGATTTTTTGAACTGTTTCTGTAGATGCCAAGAGTTGAGGACATCAGAGAGCAGCCTCGCCTGAAAGTGTTTATGTGCTGACAAAGCTGTCAAACACTGTGGACAGATGTTCAGTAATTACTCTCTGACTCCTCTATGCGAGCCTACATGCACAACATACATATTCACTCCATGCTGCAGGTAAAACCGCTCCTACTCAGGCTAGAGTTGTTTCTGGACCAGGCTGTTTATTTATACACTAAACACTCCCCACAGATAAGTAGCTTGGTAATTTTTTTCTGTATCCCATTTTTCAGACACTGAGATCTCAAAATACAACATGGATCTTACTTCTTTTTCTTGCAACAGCTGTTCCTGGAAAAGCTTCCAGCGTCTCTGGCGGTGGTTCTCCCATTTCTCCAGCTCAGGGACCAAATTCTCCTGCCATTCCTCCTTCAGAAGCTCACATTCTCTTACAGAGAGACTGGTCACCACAGGCAGGGTCTGAAGAAACAGCTCCGTCACCAACTCTGCTAAAGCATGGGAAGCCTTAGAGTACAGCTCCTAACAGAGGGACAGAGAGGGACAGAGAGAAACAGGTGACAAAGTGAGCCCCCAGCCCTTTGGAGTTCTTTCCATGCATATTCCATAACAGATGCCAGTGAGGGAACCATGTGAATACACTGGGCTGGTGACCAAATCCTAGAGCTAAAATCCAATGCCACTAAGGCTTGAGTTAAAAAGACCAGGTTTTGTGGATGGAACAACTTCAATGTTTTGGTTCAAGCTACACAAGGCATTTAAAATGCAACATTGGCAAGAGCACGTGAGACCCTGTGCCCTAACTGTTGCTCACATGTGACTGCAGTAGAAAAGAGTATCTTATTTTACTGGCTATGGTAATGTGTTATAAAAACTACTCTTCTGAAAGTTGCTGTGGAAACAATCCAGTGTAGCACAACACTTCACAGGCACATTTTCTCAGGAGCTGATATGAAATGAATGAAGGAAGAGGGAAGAGTTAAAAGAGATGCTATGGCTTTTAGCTAGACAAAAGTGACATTAGTCATGTCAGTTGTTGGTACTTCAAAATATGACACTCTTCAATGCCTGAAGAACAGAATTATTCAAATTCATTCTGATGCAGAATAGTTTCAAGCCTAGGAAAACAAACATCTTCTGGTGATTTTAAGCAAACTAGTCCCATATGAACAGTTTTTAATTGCTGAGGCTGTTTCACTTACAGGAAGCATTGAGGTGATTTAGTCAGATGGCACTCAAACTAAAAACTCTGTTCTAGTTTCACTGTCAAATACACAGTGGTGATAGGAGCTGTGCTGGCAAGCTTAGTGCAATTTGAGATAATTCCTGGGGAGAAGGAGTGGGGACAAGTAGCTTTCTCAGCTGAAAAGGGAGCAAAACCACTCTGGAAAGTCACACGGACACTGCAGTATTCCTGCAGGACGATGAGCTATTTTTGGGTGAGCTCTGCATGATACTACCAGCCCAAAAAGCTTTACTGCCTAGCTGGGCTTGCTTTCATTGCAACCAGTGTTAACCCTCTTGAAAACACATATATTTCTTCATTTTATTTAGAATACTGATATTTTTAAAACTCGTTTAAGAATTCCTGTTAAAAGAACAAGTCAGTTCTTCTAGGTGCTGCCTAAATACAGGTTTAATTACAATTTCTTAGATGATCAAAACGTAGTACCTCTCAATAGAAACACAGGGATATTTATCACAGACAACAAAAGTTCTAGTGGAATTTTTTTTTTGCTGGGGAAATACACTGCTATAATGTACTGTGGTAAAAGCCCATTTGAACAGCTAGATATTGAATTATAAAATACAAAATACTAAAAAACAATAATAAAACTCCACAAAAACCAAAAGAGAATATTCAAGTGCAAGGACAAGAACACAGAAATGAAGACCAGAACTTAGGTTGAATGTGAAATATGGTTTTGTGCCCCCAGAATGATACATTTGGGGTTCATGTAATGTTTCCACAATACCTTTATCTGTTCTGTGTTTAGGTTTATGAATATCCTTTGACCTGATTGATTTCTGAAAAATATTTTAGTATTTCTCATTTATTGTAAAATATACAAGCTGTGCACTGAGTACTAAATTATTATTTTCCTCCTATGATCCCTCTAGGATGCTAATCACCGTATTAACTAACTGTTTCACAAATAATAAATAGCTTAACAGCTCCCTGCAGTAACCTCTTCTTATGGATAAAATTGAGGCACAACACTACAAAACATGTTCACTACATCTTTGTGATGAGCTGTCTCAGTCCTTTCCACTCTCTTACCTGTTTAAAGAAGGATTTTCAGAATCCAGCTCCCAGGGTTTTCTTTAATTTCAAAGTATTCTAAATTCTTGCAAATTGGACTACAACTTTTTGAAAATGAGTACTGGCCATAAGTATGAGAATTAGTAGCCAAAGACCTAACATAATATCTAACTTCTGATAATACTTTTCCCATTTCTAATGATTGTTCACAATTTAGACATGACAGTATCATTAAGCGAACATTTGCTACACTCGCTGAGGGATTATTAGTTACATACCTACTCCTTAATTATTAGAGTTACAAGTTCCTGTTACAACAAGAGGCATGATTTATACCATTCTAATCATCTGTGTAGTTGTGGGTCTGGCTTAGCTTGGCAAAAGCAATGCCAAATGGTTTGTTTGGATTCTCTCTTCTGCTGTTATTTTAAAAAGCAAGGCTCCAAGTTCTCAGATTTATCATAACCTCAAAGATACTGCATTTCTAATCTGCATATCCCATACAACATTTAAAGAATAATGGCTCTATCTCTGTAAACTATCTCTCCTCTGAGCTTTACCAGCCTTTCAGGACATGTTAATTCTCCTGCCTTTACTGGGTGTTCAGTGATATAAGAATTTCTATTAGGTCTGAAATAGTTCAGAAGGAGTCTAGAGGAGTCCATGGCATTTCTACTGCAGTAGATCAAAATATCTCAGGCAGGGTGTTAAGGAATTCTATTCTTAAACAGTGGCAGCTAAATCCCTTTTGAACACATTTTGCTGTGGAACTGATAGCATTTCCCTGGCATGCTCACAGATCTGTGTTATTATTTGCTATGAAATACTTTGCACGCAACAAAAATTTTGTTCCCTGTTGTCACTGTCATTTTGTTCTCTCTGTACCCCCTGCACATTCAAATTATACTGTATGCTTTTGGCACTACCAAAAACATGGGACAGTCACTGAAGAAAAATGTGATTAGGTCCTGTTCTTACAAAATTATTATCTGTATCACCTCATTAATGTGATGATCACATGGATATCAGAGCCCAGGCAGCCCTTGCAAGGCAGACCCAAGAGGAGAGCATGCTGTACCTAGAGGCCATACCACAGGGACAACACAGTGGTCATGCTGTTTAATGCACTTCAAAACATGTGGCAGAATGGCCTTTTAAAATTTGGGAGGGGAAATACTAAGTCTACATTTAGGAAAGATTGCAGATGTGATTGATCTCTACCCAGCAACTCAAGATAGCCAAGTAATTCAAAACTATTTGTACTCTAAGGAATGTACTTGATTTCAAACTGCAATGAAGTCTGTGAGCAGGGATGGCACACCATATATCATAAAAGTTATTTTCCACAGGAAAGAAAAGGAAAATCAGTACTGCTTCCAGGGTCTTATTTTTGGACTAGAGTGTCTACAAATATTTTTACAAGCTTCCTGATATGCCATCTCTTGTTTTCAGAGTTTTGACTTAATGAAATTCATTCAAATTGATTCCATTAATAGAATAGCTGATTGCTGTATTGAATGAACCTGTTTGTAGTACCTGGCAGTCAATCTCAAAGCTTTTGAAAAAATCCCTAGTGAAATACATCAAGCATAAAGAAATACCATGGGATATACATGGAAATAAAATGGGCTTAGATTAAAATGCTGAGTGCATCTGAATTTTAAACAAGGCAGTAAATATATAATTTTGTCAAAAACCAGGGGAAATACACAGCTTATCAGATTTCACTCAAAAAACAATATTAATTCTCCCCCTTAAATCTAAATGATTAAAAGGTTCCTACATATAGATGAGTGAATAGTGAAATTGTGAAGCAGAAAAAATTATTTAGAAAGGCTGATTGTACTTTATTTTACATGCCTGCCACTGAAAAGTATATATTATCTCAAAGAGGCAACTGCACAGCTATTTGTTAACTTGTGATAGAACATTTTATTAAAGGAACTGAAGTATCTGATCAAAGCTGTATAACCCTGTTCCATGTACCTCCAGAAGCTCAGTGGCTAGGACATTTGGTAAGGAGGCAAGAGATTCATCTCCCAACCCATATTGCATCTTACGAAGGACAGGGATTAAATACTCAGATCATACATCCCATAAATACATCAAAAATTCTGGGACACTGGACACACACACACCACTGGCCACTAGAAGATATTTCACATATACTCAGAAGATACACTCACTCGAAATGGGGGAAAATTGATTGCATGTACTTCTCTCTTCCACGTGAAGAATTCTGGAAAGTCAGTTGGGAAATGAAAACCTTACCTGCTTTTAAGCATCCTAACATCAATAAAGCACAGTGACATTGAAGTCATCCTTAGCACAGGTCAATAAATAAGCCCCACTGCTTAATTTCCACACATTTAAAATGGAGGTTTATTGAAATGTCAGTCTTGCCCCCTCACTGGTCTTTGATTCATTCAAGAGGCAGTTACAATCTTCTCTTTTGACACTCCTTTTATAGAAATATGCCTTTGTGGATAAGGTTATGCCCTTTATGAGATCTAACTATTAGCCAATTGTGAATCTGCATAATGGTAAAATACATCTTCTTACAAAGTAAGGCAAGAGGAAAACTTTAGAATGAAGGCTGCCCCTATCAGACATCTTGTATCAGATTAAACTGCAGCGACCAAAACAAACCTAATAGTGCCCAAAGCCAGAAATAGAATGGGCTCCCATGGTATGAGTTCACAGATTTAATCTATCAGATGATACTGTATTTTTGGGGTAAGTCACGGGGCAAAAATTTCAAAAGTGAACCTTTGAAGTGGAGGTCTTTTGATAGGGATTTTTACCTGAGACAAACTTCAGTGATTACCCTAAAAAAGATGCCAGCTCTTGGTACCCAAAAATGCAGTCCAGCATCCCTAACCATATCCTAACCTATATATAACCTAAACTAACCTAACCTCAGGTTTAACAAAATGTAATTTAACAAAATTAAATAAGGAAAGTAATGAAAGAGTAAATCTCTGAGAATCTGTACCTCTTATCAAAAATATTTTTCTTTTTATTAACAAAGGAAAAAATCAATTACTTTTCCTCAAACTCACATTTGTGTCTACCCATTCATAAAATAAATGTCTACTGCCTTGCCCATTGATAACACTCATGACTTCATAGCTTTTAGACTAAATTCTCATGCATTTCATTCCCATGTCAAGCCAAATGAAATAACGTTCTGGTGAACTGCTATCAGCAAAGGGGAATTATAAATGACAATAAATTGTGTTTTCATGGTTTTGAAATAAAGGCAGAAGAAAAAGACCATCTTACCACATACTGTGTAATTTCTAGTTGTTGATTTCCTTTGTGCAATCTGCATGTCTTTTTTCTTAATAATGAACTATTATCCCCCAACCTCTTCAATTCTCCTTTCCCTACTGAAATACACAGGTAGTTCACACAACAGCCAAAAAAAAAAAGAGGGAAAAGATTGGTTGGTGACTATCTGAAATGTTAAAACTTGACACAGACTTGAAGTAGTCATTATTAGAGAAACAGAACTGGATACATTGGTGCAGCCAGTGGGGTGGGTGGTTTGTTATTGCTGCCATGTAATAGAAAATTATGGTAAAAACAACAAAAAATCCTTTGTATACAGGATAACTCTCCAGACCCTGCTCATGAAAATATTAGGCTGATCCATTCAATTAGTTTTGCACAATTTTCCCTTCAGTTATGATATATTGTGATAATCAAAATAATTTCCCCCCATTCTTCTACACACATTTCAAAAATTAGTTATGGAGTCTGTGTCTAGACACAGACTATTCACCTACTGCACCCTATTTTAATGCACTAGTGTGGCTGAAAAGTCCTACACTATCCTCCAAATATAGCTCATTCATTCACTTCAGGCATCAACAGATTCCATTGACCTTGGTTGAATAATTTTAATTGATTTATTCATGCATACACGAAACAAACCTACTCAATTGTTCTATGCAAACACAGTCAGCTTCCAGATCATTGTATTTTTACATATTTATTCAACAATTTGGATAATTCTTACATTTACTATAGCAGTACAGCCTTCCCTAGTGCTAGAGGGTTATATAAATCTATCTTGATCTGTTTAAAAGGCATAAAATTAAAAAATGGAAAAGGCATAGAAATTTGATAAAGGCTTAAAAGAAGAGTGATAACAAGCTAAAGATCTTGCACAAGGGAGTGGCACTTACAGGTTAGTGACACCTTTTCTTCTGTCCCCAGAATACTCACTGGTTCCCTGTTCAGTCACATGGTGACCTCTTCCTTATATTTTAGTATCACCTTTTTCATTGAGATCATGTTTCAGCTTCTTCACTTGCAAGGCAAGTGACTATCAGTTAAGCTTCAGAGAGCGCAGATCTTCCGGAACGACAATATCAAGCTTTGCAGTGCTTACAGAAGTGCCCAAACTAGGTGGTTCTACAAAGGACTACAGTCAAAACACAGGTGGTGTAGTACAGAGCTGACTGCTACCATGTGAGGCTTGCTGGTACCCAGTCAAAACACAGGTGGTGTAGTACAGAGCTGACTGCTACCATGTGAGGCTTGCTGGTACCCAGCTGGTTCATGCCTGCTTGTTTAAGTCTACTTGATCTGCAGTCACACAACTGCACTATGGAAGATCTCAAATCCCTGTCATCTTCCCACTGCTACCTTGCCTGCCCCATTAGTAGCAGAAGCTTCTTCCTATGACAAACCTGGAGCAACTAAATGAAGAGGTGAAGTTCTGCTGCCCAGGGAAAGATTTGTGCTTGTACATGCTGTACTTCTGCTCTGGATGTGTGCTGGAGCAGGGGGAGAAGCAAAGACATTGTGCTTGTGATGTGCACCTCCTTCCTTTAACAGCAAGTCTACTTTTGTTTTTATGGCCCTGGTTATGGAAAACCACTGCACTGTCCTCATCTGTAGAAGTCAGAACAGCTTAATTTACCTTCAGCAGGGCTACGCTCATTTGCATTACCTCTTCTTTCTAGCTTACAAGGTATATTCAAAAGCAGTCTCCTCTCCTAAAACAGTTCATAGAAACTGTATTTGGGGTTAAGGGGAGAAAGTGCAGTTGTTCATTATATTAAGTATCACAGTAAGAATGTTTTATCAGAGAAAAAAAGGTGGAAATTAAGATTTGTGGACCCTCATTTAACAGATGCCAGCTGGATCACAGTACTTGAAGTTTTTCATGTCTAGCAGTGTTTGCATCTAGTCATAGGAGAGCAGATGTAATATGGAATATAATGGCCTAGAGGTGGGTGAGCTGGCAGAGTTCAAGTTTGTGCAGTTCTCCTGGCAACCGGGCAATTCTAGAAAAATTTAATTTACCCAAACCAATTTTTCTTTAGTGAGAAAGAAAACTTAGCTTAGTATTGAGAGAAATAGGATTTTCAGTCTGGTCTTAGTGTTACTAAAGCAGAGTAAACAATAAAGGAGAGCAATATAATTGCACAAATAAGGTGGAACTGTGTAGGATAAAAAAAAAAAATTGGTTTAGTCTCAAGACTTCACATGAATTGAGAAAGGGGATGGAGAAGTTAGAAACTATGGATGAAGTACTGAGCACAGTAATATCAGCAAACATGTTGTAATATCAGCAAACTTTTCTTATATTACATAGCTTTGCACATTTAATCTACTCTGATTCACTGGTATATCGTTCCAAGCAAACCTTTCCTTTCTCCAAAGCAGTAATTTTTCTCAAATTGTCTGTTGCTCACACTATTACATAAAACCATGGAAAAACTATTTGTTCTAAATAGAGTGCCTTTATTGTTTCTATCAAATGAATTTGAGAAAGTGCATGTGGACTACTGCTAATTAAGATCGTATGGGTATATTATCCTTATTTGATAGGGACCACAAGTTTCTACAACATCCTAATCTGGTCATAATTAATCATGACAAGGATCCTGTTGAGCTGAAAGTGATTAGTTCCAGCCTAATTAAAGTTCACTACTGACGACGGTTTTGGGCTTCACCAGATAGTCCTACATAGATCATGTGATCATATTTTTTTGTATGGACAGGAAATAACTAAAGATGATGCAAAAAAAATGAAGCACCTAGAATTTTCCAAATCAATAATAAAAAATAAATGTAAAAATATTACTTACACCCAAGATCTGAGCCTATTTCAGGGAACCAAGTAGAGTAAAAAAAATTCTCTGTGAGAAATAAATAAAAATACTGTATTTGAAGATGTAGTGAAGTCCACTTAGAATAGTATCATCCAGCAATGGTGCAGAAGAGATAATTACAGATATATATATATATACATATATAAACATAAATTAAATCTTCCTCCTGGTAGCAATGATAGACATTGTATGCTTTCAACACTACTGCAACCTTGTCAGCCACCTGGGCAGACCATGCAGGCATTTTCTGACTAATATGAGGTTAGGAAACATAGTATTTTGGGAAGATAATGGAAAAGGCAAGCTAATATGGAAGACTGTCCTGCCTTCATCTTCTGCTTTGTCAGCCTAGCTTTCTGGAGCTGTGATTCCTGGAGGTGATTCTTCCTGCAATTCCCCAATCTTCCCCAAGGCCTGACACTGTAGTGGCATTAGGCGAACTTCAAAATTAATGTAGCAAATGACATTTATCACTAGAAGTGGCACCTTGTACAGATCGGTGACAGCCTCTGCGCTCTCACAGTCATCCTCCTCCTCCAGATCCCACTGTGCTTGCCAGTGTTTCTCCATCAGCTCATGGTAAGCCTAAAAGAAACATGGTAGGTAGGTAAATAGCTGAAAAGATCTTAAAAGTTTCTTGTGATCCTTCCCTTTGCTTCCTTGATGCTCTTCCCTTTTATCACTACAACAGTAATTATCTACCTGGAACCATGACTCAGAGGGAAATTAAACTTGCCTTACCACCTTAATTTGAGCTTATCCAGTCTTGAGTATAAAATTCCTTACCCTTGGGAATATGAGGTTAAATAATATGTACATACTACTACAAAACATGTGAAATGATCTGATTTGAAACCTGCTTTCCAGTGCATGAATATCACTACATCATAGCCATTACTATGAGGTGCAGAAGAGCCATCTGACATCATGATGAGACAACTGAGTTTCAGCTGTATCACACTGTACAGGGCTTTTGGACAGGGGTTGGTCACCATACCCTATGGTGTTTCCTAAAAGGCTGATCTGTGATGTGGTCCTGACTTGTCCTTGGTCACAGGCTTAAAAGGAATGCAATTTTTTTCTCCAAGTGAGGACTGTGACTGTGGATGTGTTGGCAGGTTCATGGAAGGTTATATTTCACAGACAAAGACTACCTCAATCTACAGACTAATGAACAGTGTTATACATAAATATTCTATATTTTAATTTAATCTGCCAAGTGCTCCCTTTCACTCCCATGGTAAATATGGCTTTCTTCATTAGGTATGTCAATAGAGCTCTTCTAAAGAGTACCAAAGTGTCCATAAACATTTCATCTCTCTTGTACAGGTAGACTTGAAAGTTCACACATCTTATGGAGTCATACTTTATGACAGAATTTGACAAATTAACTGCTATAACTTTTATGTTCACCGTGGGTAGGCAGAGCCAAACTGGATTACTGTAACTGACACTTTATGGTTTGTGTTCTTCATTGATCATTCCTGTATTCTTTGCCTGTAAAAGACAAAATTAAAATTCTCCTTTTCCAGCATGGAAACATAGATAAAGGAGAAAGAATGATACAGAAACTCTAACCTTTACTATATATCTCATTCTGTCTTATAAAAAAATCAGATCTGCAGCAACTCAATCATTACCACCCTACTTGTGTTCAGGACAATCTGATGTGAATGAAGTTTATTGCAAAATCCACCATCATAATTGGCAACCACTTAAAATTCAGCAGAAAGGTCAGTTACTGGCAAGGCTGCTACCATAGTGGTATAAACCCCTTGATGAGGTGAAGGGGGAAAGGCAGAGAATAGAAGTGTTTCTGATGGGTACAGCTCTGGGCTCATGGTGAGGCTTTGGAATCAATTATTTTATAGTTGGGCTGGCTGTGAAATAATGTAACAAACTTAAAATAGATCCTCAGCGCCAAGGGGATTGTTCTCACAAAATAATTACTGGACTATTTAAGTCAAACCATGGGAGCTGCAGGTACAAATTTTTCTTATTCTTCAAAGAGCTTCTGCACTTAGGACCCCATCTGTTCTGGGACAAAAGACTCTCCCACTGTGCAGCAGAAAGGCTTACATTTCTGACTTTCGTAATTTGTACACAGACATTTCATAATCCTAAAACTCAGCTGTGTTCTGTCCTGCAGCACAAAGTGCAAGCTGCCTCTCCCTGCTCAGCCTGTCAGAAAGCTGTTGAGTAGGATTAATTAAACTCTAGACTAATGATCTGCTCATAAGGTGTACAGAATAGAGCATCTCTTGCACAAACCTGTGTGGCTCTACCTTTGTAGGGAAGGGGTCTAAATGCAAAAATTTTAAGGTTTGTTCAATGAGTCTAGGATGTGTCCAAGAGTGTCCAATGATGTGTAAAAGGAAAATACATTCACAAGTGCACACTGGCTACAAAAATGTGTGACAAAATCATTTGTCTCAAGTTATGAAAAGCCAAAGATGTATAAAGTGCTATACTTGTTTTTAAGTGAGGTGTTACCAGGCAGGTGTGCATACAGAAACAGTAACTGCATTATCCAATTCATACAATATAATTAAAGAATATGGCCCCATGGTGCAAAGTTGCAGTGTTAAGATCAATAAATTTTGGCAGTTTGCTGCAGCTGGAATCTGGGTCTTCTCATATGGTAGTTTTATCAATGCTATTAGATTTCATCAATATATTTTAATGCCACTGAATGTAACCACTTTCACCTTAAATTATTTCTTCTGATGAAAATTGAGAATTATTTTTTTTTAATTCTTAATAACTTGGGTTTGCAGTTCTCAGCAGTTACTTGAATTTTACAGCTCTCAGCATTTCCTGTTAAGAACACTGATTTTATACATTCATTTGGAACAATAGTAACAAATCTCTATAGAAAATATGACCATGAAAACATTACAGTGGCCATTGTATACCATATTAAATTATCAATTGCAAACCTTCTCTAAGGCATCCTGCCAGAGATCATAATTAGTTTTTCCTCTATTTCTCTGAAATTTGTTAAGCCTTTTGAGCCTCAGTAACCCCACTCATAGAAAAGCAGTTAGATCAGTGCAGACTGTTTCTTCTGTAATGCAGGCCGGACACTTTCCTCCAGATATTTCCTGTCTTGAAGCAATCACACAGTATCTAATAAAAGATGCTTTCTACAAAACACGCAATTTTGCATTAACCCCATTGGCATTCTGTTCCAATGCAACAACACCAACTGCAGGAAGAACCATGGCAACAGGGATTCTGACCCTGTCTACCTGTGCTACTGCACATGATTCTCATGAAGACACAAAATTCCCAATTTTATGGAACTGGGAGAATCTGAAATACATTTGACCTTTTAAAAACTAATGGAACAGGGAAAATAAGCTTTTGCTTGTTCACCTTGAGAAAATTATGAACATCTTCAGTAAGAAAAGTTTTGTTAAGTAGACTCTCTTGTTCAGCTTCCTGTCTACGTCTGAACTCTTCCTTCTTCTCTGCACGGCGCTCCAGCCGTTTCAAGATCAGGTCTTTACTCTGTTGAATGCATTCTGGAACATAAACCACAAACAATTAGGCACCACAACTCCACGGGGAGAAAGCAGCATCTGCTACTGTCACACAACATAAGCTCACGGAAATCTGTTAGTGAGTGAAATAGACATGTAATCACCATGCAGGATTTGAAATTTGCTTCTTACCTTGATGGCCTTTTTAGATGTGAACTTCTAGACTGTTACATGGCACTTAAAGCTATTGGGTTTTTGGACTGCTACCATCCTGCACCCTCCCTCTCACTGGTGCTGCTATTTATACAAAGGCAGCATGTTAGTTCAAGAAACAGATTCCCCAAACCTCCCCCTCCTGCTTCAGGAAGGTCGGTAAGTGGCTCATTACCTAATTGCAGTTTTACAAATGTTGCTGCAAGGACAGGGACAGTAACATATGGTGGGGAGAAAAGGTCTAAAGCACTGCTAGTTCAGATTAGCTTGAACTGACACGCAGCCATACATACCAGACTTCTAAAGTGACTCATCCAAGAACCTGCAGTAAAAGTTGTCAAGGTCCCTCCAATTTTGTGCTAGTAATGTGAACTATTTGGGACTAAATTCCTCCCCCCTTCATTCCCCCTGTAGCTCCAAGTGATATAGAAATTCATGAGTCTATCTGCATCCTGGGCTGCTGAATGCGATCGGTGCTTTAAATGCACTGACACTTCATGTCTCATTGCCTATCTACATAAGAATTTTACTCATTTCATCCAGTAGCCCTGCTCAAGAGCAGTACTTCACTCCTGACATAAGCAGCTGAAGGGGAATGCAAAAGAACAGTTAGTTACCCATGGCTGCTGTTCTGCCACTACATCAAGCTGCTTTAACTTTACGAGAAATTACTTTGTAGAGAAACAAAAGGAGCACAGTACTGCAGCACCAAGAATCTTATTTATTCTCCATGCTAATTCATTGTGCTTATCCACAGGCTGATGATGCACTGACAGAATACTTGAAAATGCACCAAAAGTACAGGAAAGCTTGTAATGAAAATATCACTCAAATAAACGTAGCAGTGTTCTACTTTTAAACACTATTGATTCTTTACTACTTCCTTGTTTTGTATCCTAGAAACATAGACTTGCTGATTTTGTGCTCTGTGAATTATAGGTACAGTTTAACTTTTGTATTTAGGAGCTCATAAGAAAGGTCAACCAACATAAGACTCTATTGAAATAAATGCTGTACTCCAGATATTTTTTTCTAAAGTACTTTTCATTTCTATCTAAAACCAGGAGCTTGATAATGTTCTTCTGCATAGGATGTACCAAGTATAATATATAGCTATATATAACTATAAGCACCTACTTGGCATAAAATAAAGGCCTTGATAGAAATATTTTTGCTTTGGAACAGGTGAAAATTGGCAAAAAGGAAAAATCACCCAGAGACACCCATTTATGCTTAAAGAATGTTAGTGGCTGAACCTATGCAAAAAGTAGGCATAGACAGCTTTAGAAGCTAACATCCATGAAAGAAACTATATCATAATATACATGTATTTGTGAATATCAGCAAACTGTTCACACAGCTAGATGCTCTGAAAGAAAATCAAGTCTGCAGCACTTTCCGTGCTGAAATAACTGGCTCAGTAGATGATAGAAGAGTGGTGGATATTGGCTACCTTGGCTTCAGGTAGGTTTTTGATGCAGTCTCCTGACAGATCCTCACAGGGAAGAGGATGGATGAGCAGACAGTAAGATGGACTGAAAACTTGCTCAAAGTCCACCTGGAAGCCAGTACCTACTGGTGTACCCCAGGGGTCAACACTGAGTATGATCCTGCTCAGAAGCTTCATTAAAACCCTGGATGATGGGGCAGAGTGCAAATTTAGCAAGTCTGCAGAGGTCACAAAAAATGAAAGGAGTGGCTGAAAGCATGTGTAGTACATGCCTGTACTTCCATCCATAGGGCACTTGACAAGCTGGAGAAATGAGCTGATGCAAATCTCCTGAAGTTTAACAATGGGAAGTGCAAAGTGCTGCACCTGGGGAGAAACAGCCCCAGGCGCAAGCACATGCTGGGGACTGCCCAGCTGGAAAGCAGCTTGGCAGAAAAGAACCTGAGTGTTCTGGTGGACAACAGGCTGAACATAAGCCAGCAGGTAGAGGAAGGGGATCCTTTCCCTCCATTCAGCTCTGGTTAGGCCACACCTGGAGTGCTGTGTCCAGTTCTGGACTCCACAGCCAAGTACAAGAGAGACATGGGGATACTGAAGAGAATTCAACAGAGGGCCACAATAATGAATGGACTGGAGCATGTCTTCTATGAGAGAAAGCTGAGAGCTGGGCCTATTCAGCCTGGAGAAAAGCAGGCTCAGGGGCTATCTGAGCATGTATATAAACACCTGGAGAGTGGGTACAAAGAAGATAGAGACACTTTTTTCTGTTGTGCGCAACAGAAGGACCAGAGGCAGCTGCCAGATACTGAAACACAGGAGATTCCTTTTACCATGAGGATGACTGAGGACTGGAACAGGCAGCCCAGGTGGAGTCTCCATTCTTGGAGACAGAAGCTGTTTGAACACGATCCTGGGCAACCAACAGCTCAACCTGCTTGAGCAGACAGGGTGGACCACACAACCTATAGAAGTTCTTTCAACCTTAACCATTTTGTGATTCTGTGAATTTATGACTGTGAGATTAGGCACAAATTATCACCACAAAGCCCAGAGTGAGTCAGCAGCACTGCAGCAAGAACATACTGCAACAAGACTGCATTCATTCTGACTATTCAGTTCACTGAACTCTAAACCTAATGCCATTTTGCTATGACAATTTTCTTTAAATGTGTCCAAAAGTAGCAGAAATGGTTGTGGAAATTGTGTTGAAATAGTTCTCATTATTTTCCTTCGGGCTAAATGTTTAGCATAATTTTCTGTGAGTGCTAATGGGAAGCACTGAGCCCTGAAACATCACCTATCAGAGAACCTGGGGCTACATTTCTCCACATTGGGCATTAGGTAACATACAAAATGACACAGGGAGAATCTTAAATCAGAGGGGCAGTCAGTGTAGACTTAATTATAACCATGTACTTTTCAGATAGGCAATATGAAAAGGTGTAAAAGGAAGAGGAAAAAACTTCATTTTAAAAGTATTTTAGTCTGACATAAGAGAGATTTATAGGAGGATCATAAGCTTTAACATTATCTTTTCAGAAGAGTGGTAGCACAACTGCTTCTGGCTTTACATGGCAGCAAGAAATCCTAAGACAGTGTCTTACATCATCCAGTATCACCAGTATGTGAACAGTAAATGGAGAAATATCACAAATACTTGTACCAAGTGTGATTCTTCTTCTATATTCAAATTAATGGAATCAGATTATATGAACTATAAAGTACCTAGTAATACCTGGAACAACACATAAAAGGCCTAAAGTCAAAGTTCCCATTCCAAGCATATATCCTCCAGAATAAAACTGATCCTGGTCAATTCATTAGCATCTTTTTAAAACATATATATGTAGATCTATGGCTGAAGCTGTAATTTTTTTACTCTTTGAAACAATGAGAACCCATGTGAGTCATAAGCTGTAGTCTAAGTACTCACCATTACTGTAATGTGCCAGCTGCTCCCAGAAGGCCTTGTGCAGATCTGTTAGAAGTTCTTCCTTTTGTCGGACTGAAAGATTATTCTTTACAGTTAAGTGGTCCAGAATATTTGACACAGTATTTAATCTACCTTTACACTCTTCTGGTATAGAGGACTTCAGTGAATCGATCATTTTCACCATTAGCTCCCAGTTGAATAACCTTTCCTGAATGTCCTAAAATAAACATAAAGTTCTGTTTAGAAACCAAGAATGTGTCTCTGGTTGTGCTTTCCTTTCATTGAACTACTGATTCCCAAACCATGAAGGAAACCACTGAGGCTTCAAAACCATGTGAATAACCATCTTCATGTACTTAAATACTTATGGAAGTCTTGATCAGTGCAGGCTAGCAGTAGGTTTACATGTTCATGCATGTTCAGTTGCAAGAGCTAATCTAAAATTATTGGTGTTTTTCATTATGTGTAACTGTAAAGAAGACATTAAGTCTGGAAAAGATAATAACACCCTTGCAGAACAAACTTAAATACTCAAGGATAAATGGACAGAAGACAACATGGAAGTCCTAGACCTCTTTTTAAGATCCTATATGGCCGATCAGCATAGGTCTTCATTTTGAAATGAAGACACATAAGATTCTGATAATGCTGGGATTCCTTCAAATACATGATCAGACAGGGCTCAGTACATACACTAAAAATTAGTATAACTGCCTATGGCCTAGCAGCTTTCAATGCACTATTAAAGAAGCAGCCCATGATCACAGTAAGGAAAGATTTCCTGGGTGAAAGTGCAGCTGATTTAAACAATGCTGCAAGGTTAGAAAGAGTTTGACAATGCTGCGCCAAATTAACAGCTGGATTCAATCTCAAGGGTTTTTTCCAAAACAAATGATTATCTGATTCTCTAACCTACTGTAATTAATAGAGATGTGCCTACAATGATCTCTGCAATGAGATTTCAGCATCATCACAGCAGTGACTTCAGGCAGGAATATCTCCTGTATCTGTATCCAGATATCTTATCTGCAGTCTGCCCATCTGAAGGAACTTACTGTACAGCAGCCCAGTTTGGGTCAAGTGTGATAAACAGCAAAGATTTTTTTCATATCTGGCCACCTCAGTCTACTTAGCTGCTGCAATGCAAAACTAACAAGCTAATAATTACTTTATCTGTTCATACACCAAATTATAATTAATTTGGTGTATAAATTAAATTAAATTAAATTATATAATTTGTATAAATAAATTAAATTAATTTATTAAATTAATAAATGCAGTGATTACAATTGTATGTTAATCTATAAATTACATGTAACTCAGTTTTTTCAGTTTTGCACTCTTCTGTGCAAAAAACAATAGAAGATCTGTTAGATTTAACACAACTTAAAGCACAGTGCTGGTGCATTTATGAACAGTCTTCCCTCCTCAGACCATATCACTACGAGCTGATGAGGATTTTCAATTCCAATTGAAGTCACTAAACACACAGAATCATCCTCAAATTTAAATTAGGATATGTCTAGTCAAAGTGGAATAAATATTTTGAAAGAGAAAGAAATTTAGTAATGCCCACAGTATAGATCAATTAGATCTAGTGCTCTCGCTCCTGGATCACCAGCTGCATTAATAATACTGTTTCCTTATATGACTACATAAATGGTATTCTGAGAATTAGAACTCAAATGCAGAGAGTTCATCCCCCTGTGAGGCTTCCTAAACTGCAATGGAAATTGAGCTCTTTGCAATAAAACTCAAAGAGACAACTGGACTAAGCAGTCTACATCACTCCTGAGGCAGGACTGACAGACTCTGTGCACTGACAAACTTCTTTCTCTTCAGATTGACTAAATCTGTCTCAACTTTTATTACTTTTTTTACTTTACCATCGCCTGCAAGTCTTGAGATTCACTTAACAAGCTTTCTACTGCAATCATCTTCTCAGTCAGATCCATCATTATCTTTGCTGCTTTGGCACTTGAGCATTTTGATTGGTCCAAAAAGTCCTGCTGGGCTTTGTCAGTCTGCTTCCAGAAGGCTTCCATCTGTGGAATATGAATCAAAAAAACAACCATGTTCCCTTATTAATCAAGTGGTATTTCATTACAGAAAGAGGCATATATATGAGTCTACTGAAATACAAGTCACTTGATTACAGACAGCTCTCAGTATTAGTTATATTGAACAATTTGCAAAGCTATAGAGACTGTTACAGATTTTATATATTTAAAAAATAAGTATATTTAATATATTGTTGGTGGCACATAACCAGTAGGTCAAACCTGACCTTTCAAAATAATTGTAGTCATTCTTTCTAACTAGCTAAGAATTTTTTAATTCTCCACATACTGCATCCATAAGAGCCTATGATGTTTTAAGTACTGATGGTAAAAACCTAGAAGATAAACAGCATGCCTTTCATAATAGGAAGCTTATTTAGCTGTAGGAGCAGGTATTCTAGTCAAACAACATTTTTACAATCACAGCTAGATGCTACATAAGCACGTCACTTGCTGGAATTAAGTACTTTATGCAGTGTCAGCACGGCGTATGTGCCAATTCTGATGGATTATTATATGGACAATCCCTAGTTTTAGGTTCTGATTCCACAAACATGACTGTGCACAAGTGTCAATATTCTGTGCTCTGTGGGATTACTTGTACACATAAAGGTACAAAATGCATCCATCACCAAGATTTCTATTAAGTATCCATGAGTTTTGGAAAAAAATGTAATTATGGCATCTGTGAGTATGGCAAAAAGCCCTTCATATTCTCAGGGGAAGACTGGATTAGTCCAAGGTACTGATCTATACAAATCTGCATAGAGGGAAATTATTTTCAGTACGATAAAAAGCAGCTGCAGGCACAAGAGTGACAGACCCACTGAAGGATGATTGCTGCTGGTGAAGAAATGCCTCATGTTGCTCAGCAAAGTTGCCAGCAATTATTTTTACATGAATAACTCTGGAAAACTCTAATCATTTTTCCACTGAGCAAAGTTAAAATGAAAAAGAAACTTGACACAGATGTTCCAATGTTACCAGGACTTCCACTATAAACTGAAGGGCTCAGAGAATCAAAAGAAAGCTGAGAAAATTCCCAGTGAAGCACTTAAGGACCAGACATTAAAAAATATTAACTCCTGTATGAAAAAGGCCCAAGGTTGAGGTGATGGGCTGTTTGGTCTAGGGCTGAAGTGTCACAGTCAATCAGCACAGGCAACTCACAGAGCTATCACTCTCTCATTTTCATCAGCAGTCAATTTTCTCAAGCTTCAAAAACAGGGCTGAGAAGAATATTACTCAGTTTACTGGAAAATAATACATAGAATGTTCTTAACCACCAGTTTTCTAGCCTGAAAGCTATACTGACACAGTGAACTGCGTCAGTATAGCTTTCAGAGAAAAAAAAAAAATCTTTACTTTGAAAATCAAATGCTTGCTATCAAACTGTATTTTCACATCAAAAAATGTAAATATATTCTCACATGGAAAGTTGCTAAAGAAAAATGTTTTGCTAAAGTAAATGCACAAAACATACTAAAATATTTCCCAGCAACTATATTCTTAGTACTTCTTTCAGCTGAAAAAAAATTGTAGTTTCTTATTACTCTCTTACGCAGTTATGGGGATTGACAAAAGCAAGGTGCTAGGATAACATTCCTGAAAGTCAGGCTATACATAGACTTGAAATAAATCTTATCATCAGACAAGCACCAGACATTTCTCAGCTGATAAAACAGTAGTGTTTTACAAAAAACATAAAGTTGTTTTATCTATAAAAAGATACTGACACCCAAAGGTAGTTGAAAATATTTTACTGGGGTGAAGTAAAAATATTTTCAGGACTCGTACACATATAAAATACTAACTGTATTATATTTATACACATAAAATACTCATCAAAACCATTGCACTAAAGAACTTCCCACCAAAAGAGTTACACTAAAATAAAATTTTAGAAAAAATTAGAAAGTTACATTATCTATTACGTGCTCGGAGTACTCCCTTTCCTTCCTTTCTATGTCTTCTAGAGTCTGGAACTCCAAATTATGCCCTCCTGACATTTCAGTATTCTGGAGTCTGGAGTCAAGTTGTTTCTGTAATTCTCCAAAATTCTGGGGGAAAAAATAAAGTGATTTCTTAAACAGAAAAACAAATGTAACTTCTAAATTTGGAAGTGAATCTGTATGTCAGTTCTAGCCCATGGCTAAGGAAGAACAGGAGTGTTCAGAAAGTTTTGTTTCTTGGTAATGGGCATTCTGTAGCAAGCAAGGAAATCTCCATATATATGGCAGCTCTGAACTAAACTTAATACAAATACATATATTTCCATTAGGATGTGAGTACAGTCAAGACTGTAGTCCGCCTCTGCTGAATTCAAATTTTAGTAAACTGCTTCATGAGCTTTTATACTAATAACCCCTGGAATCTATCTAGGAATATTTTTATTTTAATGCGTGTGCCCCATCTTAAATGGCAGCTACGAGTGTACATGCTGTGTTTAAAAGCTCCAGGTGATAATGCAGAGTGCTGGATGAACACACATGGATGAGCACACCTGTAATGCTCATAAGGGACAATTTAGAGGCTGCTCATGATTACGTGAGGTTTTAGTTTTTCAGTCCTTTAGAAACCAGGGTGATTTTTTTTTTTGAAAGCTGATGTTGCTGACAAATACCAGTCTGCTACCATTGCTTAGTAAGTTGATACCGAAAAGGGTGATTCTTTCTTTGCTGCAAGATGCCTTACATAGCAAGCACTGACTTCTAATATCACCCACTTTTAGCTGTCAATGCATTAACATGACATCCTTATGCCTTAAAGAAATGTAAGTAGAGTTTGACAAGCTTCATTAACCATGTCATCAAAATCCCATGAATCTTCTGGATGCAGAATTAAAAGAGGAAAATGCTGTCTGTAATAAAACATGTAACACTTTAGCTTATTGCCAACATCTCTTTTACATGGTGGTCATAACCAGCCTTGTTCCTTGTATGATATCCCACCTCTAAGACTGTCAGGTTTACAAGATCTTTCTCTCCATCATATAGGACATAGAAACCCCATACTGGCACTTTAACAACTGGACTTCTCTGGCAATTATTGCATCTAATTATTCAGATTTAATCCTTATCTTGCAGTATCTTAGGAGCATGAGGACACTGATGCCATCAAACTTCACTGAGGATTAGGTTCTATCAGGAAACATGCCCATTCTACATGACCTCTGTTTATAATTTGAAGTCATTACCAGAAGACCACCAGTAAAAGGATTTTGCATATCTAATCTCACTTTTCATCTAGTAAATACAATAAGCTTTAATACTAAACTTGAGGATTTAAGGAAGAAGAGTGCTTTAAGGCAAAATGCATTCTTCTATAAATCATAGGGTACAACTATGAAGATTCCTTACAGTAAATCACAGATTGTGAGACTGCACAAAGTATTCAACAACTAGAGCTCATGAGCTGATAGACTAATGCCTAGATGTGAAATTCCACCTACGTGTGAGAAAAGCATAATGGCTACTGTGATTAGGCTGCTCTCAGCACAAACATTCAAGATTTGGATTGGCAGGACACTGCCATAAAACATAAAACAAAGGTTCCTACAGAAGGTGGGACAGACAATCTGAAGATATGCTCCTCAATCCAGATTTTTCTGTGACTCTAAACTGGAAAGTGGATCCAATAGCTCTCCTATTTTCTATAGTTTTGTAAAGTTTTTTGTTCCTTCTAATAACCTTAAAAACAGTACTGTGATTCTACCTGAAATGCACATTGGCTGTCAGTATATGTCTACCAGCTCAGAAGTGGCATATGGACTTTGATACAAGTACATGAAAGAAAAAAGGATGATGAGGAAAGTAAGTATATTTATCCCTGATGAAAGCCTTGAGCTTCATACTGCTACTTTATTTCCTGCTATTTTATTATCAGCAATGATACCTGGGACCAAATAAAGCCCCTGATAATTAGAAATTATTTAATCTGAGTGAATAAGGTTCAAAATGTTCTGTTTACTTAAATGGATTCAACTACAAGATATTTTAACAGATTACACGGATCACTTCATACAGCAATGAAGAGGAAAAGCATACAAGGTAATGGAGAAAATCAACTAACGAGGGAGTTTCTTTGCACTTTCTTCAGAAATAGATTACAAATGACATAGCTGTTCAAAAGGAGCAGGTGAAATGGCCTGCTGTAGTAATAAGGTTAACTCTTATTTTGTGTGGTCTTAAATATTAACCAACAAACCCACTTACATTTTCCTGATTTAAAAGGATCTTCTTCAACAAACCATCAGTAATCTTCTTTTTACGATGGAAGTCTGTGAGGTATATCTTGAAAATCTGAATAAACATCTGTTTAAAAGGAAGAAAACAAAATCCAGGTTAAACGCCTGTTTGTCATTGTAAGGACTGTTTGTCATTGTAAGGACATCTTTGTGATAACTTTTGCTGATTAAGATCAGGAAGAATATAGCAAATCCTAAGTGAAACAACAGATAAATTAACAGATAAACCACCAGCAACTCTCCAGTACTCCCACTGTGAAAAATTCTCTGGTTTTGGCTCCAGTGAAATACTGGAAGATGGTGTTACTCATAATCTCATATATCCTTGTAAGCAGACAGACACATTCGAAACTATTCTTGACTGGAGAAAATACAGATCACTTGAAAATATAAAGCCCATTTTTCTAAAGTTTAATGAGCCCCTAAACTGGAAGATATCAACTATTCGAAAGACACTAAAGACTCATTACTCTGACTTCAACTAGTAGTTGAACTGTAGTCAGCCACATGATACATCAAACATTTTTATACACAACCCAAAAGAAACTATCTCAAGTCCTAGCCAGCTTCTCTTGCAAGAATAATACTTATTTTCCATTTGTGTGCCTTTTTTCTTTTAAGACTGTAATACTAATGTCCTCAAAAAGATGTTTTTGAATTTTTTTAACACTGGGAAAACTTTTGCTTAACCTTTTCCTCTCTTGCCTCGATTAGAGATTCAGTGTAAGGTTAATGCACTTCATTACTAACTACTGCAGCATTTTCCATTTAATGTGGAAATAAAAATATGTGAAATTTAATAGCTACCTGCCTGTTTCTCATAATATTGAAAATAAGATGATGGAGAACTTGCCCACTTAAAACATATAAAAACATAAATACTTATTTACATATAGAAAAAGTTATTGAAGCCAATATGTCAAGTAGCAAAATCTGGAAAATATATTATAATTAAAGCTCAATAGAAGAGAAAACCATATAGCAGTCATGTTTTGGATCTCACTTGTGAAAGTTTTGGACACGAGTTTGGCGAGTTTTGAACGCACTACCAGGATATCACATATAGTACAAAGTAAAAAAAATGGTTCAGGAGAAGACTGAAAGAAAAGGATATATTACCTCAGACCTGATGCCAAGAAAGACTGAAATCAGAGAAAGGAGAGTGGGAAAGGAAGAAATTATTCCCAGACTGATTTATTTTTTCCCTTCTAGCAAAAATATAAAGCTATTTAAATATTCAGCTAAATGTCAAAATCGTTTGTGGTGATTTCTGGTGGGCCCCAAAGCATGTTAAATGCTCATTTTCTCTGTGTTTCTGTGATTACATCACTATGTTGCTACTTACCTTCCTTTAGAAATTGATGGTTGACTCTGACATCAAATTCAACCTTCTATAATCAAGCTAAACTTCCTTCTGGAATCTGAGTGCAAGCTCCCTTTCTCATCTAACAAGATGTGGATAACCCATCAGATGAGAAATTGCTTCCCAGGTTTACTTTCCTGTTTCCTCCTTTGGATTGTGTAGAAATTTGCCCAGACAATCTCACCCTTTGAAATATTCTCAGTGGATTTAGGAAATTATATCAGAAATTACCAATTTGTTTAAACAGAGCCTGAGAAAAGAGGGGAAGAGAAAGCTGTAGACTTTATGTCCAGACTCATATTTACTGAGCTAAAACTCAGTAGCAGTAACGGTGTTGCACTTGATCAAAGCAAGTCACCACAATCATTACTGAGTATCACGTGGCTTTAATTGTACTCTATTTTTTTCTTTTCTTTTTTTCCTTGTCAGTTTTGGATGCTGTGACTTGATGTAGGTAGTTATCTATGGATTAAATGGGACCTTAATTGCACAGTTGTACAAAATCACAACTATTGTACTTATCATAATGGTACTGATTCAGTTGAACTGAATTTTCAATTTTATTCCAAAAGCTTTAAGTCTTTGGAGTTGCAATGTGCAAGCAAGCAAATTTGTCCTTAGGACAAACTTATCCAAATAATTCATTACCTCTTTTTATGAGCCTCAAGGGCACCTCTGGAGTAATGTTTAAAACCAAATTTCCTATATTGGTATTTCACAGACCAGTATACTTCATTATATTTTACTTCTTTAGGAAGCTCATATATATGCAGAGTAGGAGAAAAAAACAAAAAGACAATAATGTGGAAATGCAACTCTGCTACACTACATCCCACCCAGCCAGCTATTTATGTTATTTCCTAAACTGATATTCAACTAAGATGTTCAAAACAATGAGCCATAAATGAGATTTAAGTACCTACCACATGTTTTTCTTTTCTGAGTTCAGTATCAAGAAGCATGAGATCTTTTAAAATAAGACTGCAAAGGCAGAGCTTAACATCAAAACTAAAACAAAGATTAAAAATGCGTTAATAGCAATCCAAATGAGTTACACAAAAGGAAAACACAATATATGTTTCATTTAACCAGTAGATTCTCCTAAAAAAACTGCCCTGAAACATAAGTGAAGTTACTTTATTTCTACATTGCTTCCTTTTCCAAAAAACATTTCTCTGTGTAAAAGTAAACAAAACAAAGTTGTGCTTTTAATAAAGTTGGCATTGCCCTTTCCCCTAGAAAAAGTCAAGTTGAACATAGGCATGAGTGGATACAACAAGAGAAAACAGGGCTTTAAATTGAAACAGCCAGAGTAAGAGTGGATATTTTGTAAACATTCTCCACTGCTAGCTAGTACTTTTCCCTGTCCCTGTGACAGGATGTTCTTATTCTTTCTAATGAGAATGCAGACACATGTATTCATCTAGGGGTACCTTGCTGTGGCGCTGCTGAAAGGAAATCAGAGCTGACAGACCACTTTAATTACCTCTACCTGCTCATCAGCAGCATCAGAGAGAAACTGTTTTCCCAGAGTAGGACATGAGCAGCTCCCATTAAAACAGAGAGAACAGACCACTGAGTGTTCTCAAGGCACCTGCAGTGTGAGGTGTCATTGTACAGCGCAGAGGACTCCATCCCCAGCACACATGAACGGAGCATACGAGATGTAACAAAGACATCTCCTTATCCTAACAGACACACCTTTTATGAGACAGCTTTTGGCCAATTCTGCTTCCCAAAATTTTACAAATACCAGGATGACTTCCAACAGCTTAATGCATTAATCTCCCCAACAACTTTTTTAGGGTTATAAGCAGATAACGCTATCCTGATGTGGTGACTGTGTGCATTCATGCCCAGCCTTTCACCTTTAGTGACTGTCCTAAAAACACAGGAAACGACCAAACAAGAGCAAATTTACTGCTTACCTTTCACATGTCAGCACTTCAGGGAAGCTTGCCACCTTTAGGAAGGCCCGAGCCTGAAATCTGTCATCGCTTGTTGTGGAATGGATTGTTGTGGAGGAACTACAGTCCCCTTTGTCTCCCTGGCTCAGAGATCCCAGGCTGCCTGACATGGATGTCTCCACCACCTGATTAGGCAGAACTGCCTGCTTTGGATTCTCATGCAAAGATGGATTGGATGAGCCATCTGCCAAAGGCTAGAAGTCACAGGAAATTCACAAGGTCAATTAATACAACACAATATGGAGACAAACATCACATCAAATTTTAGTGTGTACTTTTAAGGGAAAAGTTAAACAGTATACACAGCAAAGTGTTTCCATATACATGACCGGCTTTTGCACTGCCCAGGAAAGCAGTCTTCTGTTGTAGTTAGCTTCTTGGTGCTAACCTTCTTCCTTTTAATGATTGTGGTGTTTTTCTTATGGCTCCTTACATAGATACAGCTTCCATTAATGTTAAGAGGCAGAAAAGCTCTCTTAAATATAGTGAAAATTGACTGGACACCATGTAAAGCATTGCAGGTTTCAGGGGGAGCTGAAAGCAGCTGACACCTTACAGAATAAGCCCCAAGTCAATGGACTATAAAAAAAAGATCCCTATTAAGCAGATTGGAAGTAAATTTTCTTCCATTACTTGACTGCAATTTACTCTGACACAGAATGATTGTCATGAATTTTTACAAGTAGAATTTAAAACCTTACCCTAAATTTCTGGTTGATAGGATAGATCACTTTAGCTTTTAATGCAAATGCTGTGATGTTACTGTTCAGAGGAGACTCACTTTCCTGTGTGGAAAAGAACAGAAAATCATTTGGGAACAGCAGCACATCAGGCAATTACTCACTCTAAGTATCATGTACTCCTTTTTGTTACACAACCTAAATGTTCCTATTGATAACTGTTTATTGATTGTCTCTGCTTTGGTGTAAGAAGTCTTCTGATAAGGCTCATTCCAAGTAGGAAGACTTGAAAAGAGTTCCCTTTACCATTACCACCGTTTCAAAATAGCTTTAATTCTCCAGGAGAAAAGAGGTAGTATCTGATATTTGCAAGGTATTTCCATTTGTGTCTTGTCACCCACCTCCATACTCTTAGCAACAAATAAAGATTTTACAAACGAGACTGATAATAAAAACTACTGAAGATAATAAGCTTCACAGATATCATCATGGCTATAAATTCTGTCTTTCAATTTAAATAAAGAAACAATAAATTAAGCAAATCCAGTCATCATTTTGTCCTGGGAAGAACTATTATAATACAACCCTTACTCAAAATCTAGAGAAAATAACAATGTTTTCCAAAGAACTTTTAATAGATACTGAATTATTTTCATGCAATTTTCTATATCACATAATCTGACTTCCTGCTACAGCCTTTTTCTAGACTATGGAACAATGGGATCATCATTTGTTTTGAGAGGTTAGGTATGGCTTAATAAAAGTTTGGCTATAAATAGAAGATAAAATGTGTAAATCCAAGCACTAGGATTTCCTATTTTATCTCTTTTGGTTTTGTCACATGAAATGAAAGACTCTGATTTGTCAAAACATAGGGTTTTTCATACAGCTTTTTCCTGGAAATATCAAAGCACTAATAGAGTCTAAAAAATAGGAATGGAAAGAGAAGAGCAATGTAATGTATATAATATATGTAATTCACTAGACTTCTATCATTGCATCATTTAATTTATTTCCATTTTTGGGTTTACTGATAAAGTGTAGAACACTTGCTGCCCATAGTGAGCAACCCCAGCACTGCAATATCTCATCAGGACAGGAGGGACAGAGCTACTGCTCTGCAGTGGCTGGAGGCAGAGCAGCCAGTGCAAAGCTGGAAAGCTGTACTGCAGTGTGCTACAACTAATACATCCTGCTTCTCAGCAGGCATAAGTAACACACCATCATTATTAATACAGTAATTATGATATTATTGCAATGTGAAAAGTCTCAGAATGAAAATACCTGTTTTTCTGAAGTGCTCTAACCTAATTAAAAGCATTTTCCATCTATACTTCCTCATAAAAGGTCTGTTTGATGCTAGTAACAGCAAAAACCTCTGGAAACCAGAACAAATTAATAGAAAAAAAATTACATATAACTTCAGTAGTTAGAGAAATAGGTGGAGAAAGTCCCCCCAAATAACAAGGTACTTCTTGATGTCTTACAAATGAGCCATTTAACGGAAATGGATATAGTTGTGAATGATCATCTTTAAAAGACTGATCCCATTTCAAAACCACTGGTAATAAGCCCAAAGATGTAAAATTGTGTAAGCTCTTCCACAACACTTACACTTAAAAAAATAACCTAATCCATGCTCATATGTTATAGTCCTCTTTAACTGAAGCAAAATGACCAAGTATGTTTTGTCACCACTCCTGATCACAAAGCTGAAATGAAGATTCATTACCAGTCAGGATTTAAACCAACGGTTTAAATGTTAACAATAAGATTTTCTTGAAATCCTGAAATCGCTTCTTGTTACAAGCTAAGCACCAGATTTGCTGGTTTTGACTGTCATTTTATGCACATACTTAATTTATGTATAATAGACTGACTGAGTCAGCTGAACTGCTCATTTTTAAATGAGCAGTTTAAATCACAATCTTCAACAGGAGCAGTCAAATCAGCTTTGGGTGAGAGATAGTGATCTAATGACTACACAGTAGGACTGGTTCTCCAGTTATTTTGGGATTATTGAAAAAAAAAATTTTCTTAAGTTACTTGATGTTTTCATTGAGGGTATGTTGTTAAGTTTATATTTCTATTTTTTTCACAAATTCTCTAATTGTCTGTGAATCCCAGCTCACCACAGCAGTCTTTCAGTACTTACAAACTTTTTCTTATGTCAATAGCGTTAATTTATCCCATCAGCCTTTTGAAACTAAGGACAACATAGAGATGAAAGCAAAGAGGCCTCTGTCCAAAAAGAATTTGGATCTTGATTAAAATATCCAAAGAGTACCCCAGGAGAAACGGAATTCATAAGGGGAATAAGTGTTTGAAGTGGTTGCACTCATAAGCAGCAATCAATTCCCACTCTCCATCTTACACTTTATCTGAACACTTTTTAAAGTCTCTCTCCAAACCCACAAAAACTAAGACAATTTGGAGCAGGCCCTGAACATGCTCACTGCTACATGCAGCAAAATGGACATCCATCTACAAGAGCAGAGCTTTACCTCCAGCACCATTTCCTCTTTTGATGTATAGGGCTCTGCTTCACTTTTCACAACTGTGTGCTCTTTTTCACCAGGGTTGAAGCTTTCCAGAAGTCTTTGAGAATAATCTTTCTGAAATTCCAAGAGAAAACATAGCATGTAACACTTGAGATCATGCAGATTAACTGGAAACATCTTCTACAGCAGTCTGGATATGTTCACATCTCCATAATGAAAATTATTCCAGTATTAGTTGAAAATTTTGGAAAAATACAATCTGAAAATGAATGAAAATTTTATATATTCAGAAAGGAATAATTAAAATTAATGAACTTTTAAAATTTGTCATTCCAGAAGTAGAAATTTTATCTAAAAAATTTTAAGAGGCTGTGAACACGTCAAATCAATCCATCTACTCTCAAAATGTCATACTACAGACTATGGAGTCAACCTCATGGTCTGAGCTCAAACATCTCAATTACAGCAAGTTAACTAAAATTGTCTATAATTACCAGCAATAAAGAGAATGCCAAGTATTTTTGCTCCCTGGCCATGACACAGACTTCCTAAATGAGGCCTTATGTGTGTGGAAGTTCCTGTCAGGGACAAGTAACTATCAGAAAATGTTCATCACCTCCGTTCCCCAAAAGCAATCCATATTATTGGCCTCACTTCACAAACACAAAAAGCCACTGGTAGGGACACAGATACTGTGTGGAAATGAAACCTCCTGCTACACATGATCTTCCCTACACACTATAGAGATCAGAAAACAATAGCGATGTGCCTCCCTCCAAACACAGCATCAGAAGGATTTCTTTTTTAGTGAAGGAAAAGATGGCAGCCACACTACATGGACTACTTTTTAAATTCTTTTTCAGGTTTTCAATCCACTGACTACTATTTGATGTAGCCTAATGATACAGCTGCAGCCATGCATGTCACTGTCTTATGCAAGGGTTCACCTTAAGTTATTTGGCCACTTGGTATGTAAAGTAGTCCATTTTCCTAGAACACAGAGAACAGCCCAGCTTTGGAACACACTTAATCCCTTATGACTTGTCTCTATCACCTCTCTAGATCTTAGATGGTGCAATAATTCAGATTATATTTTTGGGTTAGCCTTTTAGATGTGCTAAAGTGCAGATGCTGATTCCTAAAAATCTACTTATGAGAAAAGAACAGCTACAAATCTCTCTCAGCAATCTTTTAATTTATTTGTTACCATGGTAAAGAGTTCTTCTTAGAAGTACCCCAGTGTATCCTATGTACAAATCAACAAATAAGGTACTTATGCATCCTCCATGCACCCACATCCCAGAAATTGAGTCTGAGATCTATAAAACAGTAATTAATTGGGGCTGAGTGACAAATGTATTGGCTTATTGTGGTGCTTAAAACTGCTTCAGACTCCAGGTACTTGCCCTGCTACCATGCTAAGGATAATTTAGCTGCTTGGGATAGGACACATACTTAGGAAAGCTATCCCTGCTTTTACTTTGGATACAGAAGGCTGCAATAGGTGCAGTTCAGAACCTGCTTGCATTGGTGGGGCAAATAGTGGAAAGAAGGAACAGCCTAAGGTTGCCCTGTTCAATTGGGGAAATCAGACCCACAGGACACAACCTTCCCATGCTGCAATATGCTCTGTATGCAGCAGCAAGCAGTTTATTTTTCTTTCAAAATAAATAACCCTTTCACGACAGCAGCATTGATTTTAATGGCATTTAAACATCTAAATGCATCTGAAGATCCACACCAGGGAAAACTGACAGCTTCTCCCTATTGACATATATGACATAAAGGATAAAATTGTACATGGCTACATTTGAGTAGGTAGTGGCAGTGCAATAAAGATACACCTATTAAGGTAGGGAAAATGAACAATTGAATCAGAAAGGCTTGTACTTGCACAGGCTGCATTGATCCAGCATTTGAAGTGCCTCCATTACTAGGCTAAAGTCTGGCTTCAAACAGAGACTCAATCCTCCAGCTTAAAAGCAGTTGGGAACTAGAGAATTTGTCTCCTATGTCATGTTTAATGATGATCAACACTAGCAGATACACACATGCAGCAGAGCTGTTATAGCTCAGAAAAGGTGTGGTGAAAAACCAAGGCAGACCAGACCCCACACTTGCAGGCTGGCAGAACTCTCTGCAGGGCTCCGAATGCCCCAGCTGTGCCAGCAGCAGCCACTGCTACATCCAGTCCGTCCAGCATGACCTGGGTCTAAGTGTGATGGGGGAATAAAGCATAAATCAATAACAATTCTCAGAAAATGTATCTGCCTGGTAGACGTGTGCCTGTGTGCTGTCTCTGCCATCTTCGAGTCCAAACAAACATTATGAAATAAAGAGATACGAACCACAGTATTTAAAAGAGAGCAGCAAGTACGTTATTAACAAAATCACACATTTTAGAAAACCCTGTTAGTCTGGCATCAAGCAAACCATCAGCAGTGCTCAGGCTCCTTTATTTCTTTAGGTAACCATGTGCACACCCTCAGTGCAGGTTTTGCTGTGGGTTAGTAATAATACTCTGGGCTGTGTTGTAACATGAACTTCGGAGAAGTCTGTAAAACACTTTGGAAAGAAGATTACTGGTTTAGGGTGGAAATTAGTGTTTATTTTAAATTATCTCACAAAGCTTCTGCAAACCAGGTACATCTTCCATTATCCCCAAAAACAATACTGCCTCGTACACAAAGCGGTGGTTGCGAGAAGCAATTTGCAGGTCACCTGTATTCGAGATACAGGCCAGGGGTGCAACATTCAGAATATGTAAACACTTTCACCGGCCTCCTTTTAGAGCTAGTCCGTTTCTTTCAGCAGCTGTTTAAAGGAAGTAGTGAAATCCTATCCAGCAGAGGTGTGGCAGGCATTACGGGGCTCCCCACCGACGCAGTGCGCACTCTGCCGTGCCGCTCTCCCCGGGCCAGCCCAGGCTGTCCCGTGCAGCGGGAGCCGCGCTCCCGGGCCCTTCTCCCTTCAAACCTTCGCAAACCACTCCAGCTCCCCCGAGCTGTTGTCCCGCGGCCGGTCCCCTCGCCTCCCTCCCCTCGGGCCCCGCGTACCTCTCCGCCCCGGCGCGGCCCGAGCGCGCAGCGGCAGAGCAGGGCGGCGGCGGCGGCGCCCAGCAGCAGCCCTAGCAGCACGGCGGGGGCCAGCAGGGCGGGCAGAGCCTGCACTGAGTCCGCCCAGAACTGCAGCCCTACGGCGCGCAGGCAGTCCCCGACCGCCGCCATCGCACGGGGCCCTGCCCGCGCCGAGAAGGAGGGCAGGGCATGAGGGGAGGTCCCGCTGCTCGGGGGCCCTCCGTCCCCCGCCCTCGCCGCGGTGGGAGGAGACCGATGGCGGGTGGATGCGGCGGCTGATTCGGGCCTGAGCGACGCCTGGAAAACCTGTAGGGCGCCGTCCGCAGCCCTGGAGGGTCCGCCCGCCGCCATGCGGTGGCCGCTGGCCGGGCTGCTGCTGGCGCTGCTCCCCGGCGGCCCCTCCGCGCCCGCTCAGCGCCTCGCGGCGGCCGCCGGGCGGGGCCCGCCCCGGGAGCCCTGCGGTCAGACGGCGGCTGGGGTAAGCGCCGTGCCCGCGGTGTGCGGGTGGTGAGCGGCCCCTCGGCGCGGCGGTCGATGGCGGGCTCAGGGCAGGGCCCGAGTGGAGCGGCAGCGGCCCCCGGCGGGCTGTGCCCGGGAGCGGGGCCCGGCTGAGCAGCGGCCGCTTCCCAGGCACTGGGGCCGGGGCAGCGGCCCGAAAAGCTGCCGGGCGTCGGCGTGGTGAGGCAGGCAACAACAGGTTCTGGACAGGGTCCTCAGTACAAAAAAGGAGCCACTGGCGAGGGTCCACCAGAGGGCCACCAAAACGATGAGGGGTGTGGGAAATCTCTTAGGAGGAGAGGCTGCGGGAGCTGGGCCTGTTTAGTCTATAGAAGAGATGACTGAGACGGGGTATCATTAGTGCATATAAATATCTCAAGGATGGGTGTCAAGAGGATGGTGCCAGACTATTTTCAGTGGTAGCTGGGGACAAGACAAGGATCAATGGCCATACAGTAAAACACAAGAAGTTTCACCTCAACATGAAGAACTTTCATTTTGGGTGGCAGAGCTGCCCAGAGAGGTCTTGGAGTCTCCTCTGGAGACATTCCAAACCCACCTGGATATATTCCTGTCACCTGCTGTAGGTGACACTGCCTGGGCAGGGGGTGGGACTGGATGGTCTCCAGAGGTCTCTTCCAACACTAATGATGCTGTGGCTGTGCTTTGCTGTGCTCCTGAGCAGAGGCTCTTGGTGTTCATCTAGTCACAGCACCTCTGCTCACAGGTGTCAGTCTCCAGGAAGGAGTGCAGTTGCTTTTACGATGGAGCTTTAATTCTTTCTCCTTATCCAAGTTTGTGTCTGTCAAGCCATCTCAAAATGTGTTGTCATAGTTATCTTTTGCCCATGTGGAGAAAACCTGTGCAGTGGGGATTAGAGTGAATCACAAATGGTAGTTTGTGGTAGGATTACAGAAAGACTAATAAACAGGAAATAGTATTTCAGGAAAACAAACAAACAAACACCCCCCCCCAAAAAAAACAGGATCCCCCCAAAAACCAACATACAGCCCACCAACTTACTTTACCAGAAGAATAAATGTACAACTTGGGAAAAAGTTTCCTGACAATATTATTGCATTCAATTAATTGCTTTTGAAACATGATGTGAATGCAGGTCCATGGAATTGGCACTACTTGCTGATGTGGAGCCCTTTGTGATGTCATCTGGTATTGTGGATGCACTCTGCAGCAGAGTGGAAAACTCCTGAATACTCAGGCTGCATTTTCCACTGAGAACTGAATGTCAGATATGGCAGGAAGAAAAACAATGAGTGCTACTGTATCTTTTGTATCTGAAACACATGGACATACAAACACCATAGATTTTGTGCATCAACTGTTGTAAAACCACACAGGAATAAAAACCTGGAGCCTGTGGAAATCAGGAGCCAGTTGTGTGCTGATTTCCTAGGAAGTAGGAAATAAAGCTTGTTAGCTAGAAAGCCACATTTTTAGCAAATCTTTACACATTCTTAAACCATAGTCTACTTTTGTTGCAGGCTGACAATGCAGCTGTTGACATCTAACACTGAAATTCATAAAAATGCTGATTTAGTGCATAACAGTAATATTTGGAATTTTTATTTATAGACAAGATTGCCTTTAACATAAAAGGCCATATTGGTGGTTTATATTTTCATCAGTGTTCTAAACTGCTATTACATCAATTTAGTGGGCTGGTACACATTTCCTTGATGCAGATAGGGCCCTACACTGCTCTAGCAATGTCTGGCAGGGATTGATACCCTTTTAATGTGATTTCTGTTGCTGCATATCCATATGCATAAATGGAAGGGCACATAAACAGCAGTTTTGATCTCCTTACGGTCCATTCATTCAAGAGTGGGACATAATGATCTGTGAGGGCCCCTCCAGCTCAGAAGGGACTGATTCTGAGTATAATAATAATTCTGTCTGATTTATTCACCAGGCAATTTTTTGTTTCAGCTTGCTGCTGAAGTTTCCTGTTCTGTGTTCTTGAGGTGCTTGGTTGCTCAAAATTCATGGCCATACAGACTGTTTAACCAGAAAATAAAGTAATGGCATTAAAGAACTTTACCATACCTCAGCTTGTGTATAAGAATTCTGGAGACCAGGAAGAGCTGTACAGCAAGATATTTGAGAATAGCCTCTAGGGAAGAGCTCAGTGCCTGGGATCTCCCAGAGCTGTGTCCCAGAGCTGTTCAGAGTTTGCTGCATGTACATGCTAATGTTTGTTTCTGAGTCCCTTCTTTCTATCAAAGAGTTGTTTCCAGTCCTGTATGGGCATATTTTCCAGAGGCTCCTTAAACCCCAAGGCTTCTGGTGCATCTGAATTTGTGAGATATCTTGCATTGTCTGTTATGTTGAGGGAAAGTGCCCTGTCTGAAGTGAGAAATGCTTTCATTTAATGGTAAGTAAAGTTACAGCTCTAGCAATAATCAGTGATGGCTTCCCTGAGCAGGCAAAGAAGAAAATTGCCCCTAACATACTGTACTGTAACAGTGGTGTTGACATAAGTCAGTACTTAACATTATTCACATGCAGTGCTTGGTAGCAAACAGAAACAGCAAGTGTAGCTGACATCACCAGGCAGTTAGATCCCTGTTAATTAGCCCACATTCGTAACTCTTCTCCAGCAAAGAAGACTTTTTGATAAATGAGAACTTGCTTATATGACTGCTACATCTTGGTCAAAACACTGGGTAATAAAACTCCTTAAAAACACTGGTTTCTTCTATTGATGTTTTGAGCTGTGTTTTCTGTAGCAGTATCTGAGGTCCAGGTACAGGCAGGAGGCTGTCACAGATTGCCTTGCAAGCTGCAGTTTTAGCATGTGGCCCCTTTGAAAGGCTCTGTGTAGTTCTCTGGAGGAAAAATGAGTGTAATGTTAGTGGACTTGATCATGTAATATGGACACATTCCTGCTGCCTCCTAGTGATCAGATTTTCCTGCATCCTCAAACATGCCTATGAAAATGGAAAAAAAAGATTATTTAATGAAAGGAAACTAATAGCCAGCCCGGCTCCACTGTTGTGCAGGAACTCATCCTGATAATATGAAGTGTAAGTTCAGTTTGAGCCCCAAGTGTGCATATCCATGCTGGGCAGCAGAGCCTCATACTGCTTAACAAGCTGTGGGAGACCTCTGGAGCCATGTTGTGTCTCTTCTGGTAGTTACTTCTGGAGAAACTCGAGGCTTTGTAGGATAGGATTCTGTGTAATTGTGAAGCATAAATTCAGCATAAAAGTTCAATAATAGTACTTTTTTATGATTGCTCTCTTTCAGGTTTTTGAAGATGGTCTGTGGCTTCAGAAAGAGATGGGATGCCTAGGAATGGCAGGTATGCAACTGTTTTCTCTCTCTTTTCAGCATTTTGGGAGTCAGTCCCAGGACTCACAGGGCATGGGTGTGAAGGTGAGCAGGCCTGGAACTGTGCCCTGTTGACATCAGTGGGACTCTCAATCTTGAGCTACAGGGGGGTGTTCGCACAGAAATTAGGAGCAAGGGTGCTTCTAGGTTCCCTAAATGGCTCATCTGCAATGAAGCCCTGGTGAGAAGGCCTCAGTTTATACCATGCTCTGAATCATTTTCAGTACTAAACATAATGGTGTAGGGGTGCACGCTCTGATGTCCAGAGTTCCCAGGTTTGTGAAAAGCACCAATCACTTAAAGCTGATCAAGATGTTCATTTTCAGAAGCTAGCTTAACCCCTGTGCATTTACCAGCAGTTGCAATACCTATTGAAGCTATTTTTATAGACCTCTGGAACTGCAGCAGCTAATACACTTTGTCCTGGACCGAAGACTGATTGCTAAAGACTGCTAGATGTAATGGGTTAAAGGCTGATAGATATAGTGGGTCTAGAGGTACTGCTGGGATGCTGGTACTCTTCACAGCAGATACCAAGAACTCTTGTCAGTAGTCTCTGGTACAGTGATCATCTCCATAGGTAGTTGACTACTCTGATCGAAACAAGGTACTCCAATCCTTGAGAGAAGTCACTTTGAGCTTGGAGTAGCTGCATGTGAGAGCTGACTGCCACAGACTCTTTGTGTAAATTAGAGAAAAACACTCAGTTTCTGTGAGTCTCTGGTCTTTAATTTCTATATATGTATTATAAATAGTGTTCTACTTCACCCAAGTGTGGTGGAGATGAGAGCATGGAAGGTTAGGACATCATCATATAGCACATTAATAGGGAAATACAGTGTGTTAAATAAACCTCTCCATCACTACGGTTCCCCAAGAGATGATTTCATGACATGCATTTGCCAAGAAATGACATGCTTTGAAGCAGTCATCAAGTGAGATACCTCTAATTTCTTTGCCCTGTGCCATGGCTAATTCACAAATGAGTTTATTAATTTAAATATGAAAGCAAGTAATTCAGATTTGCTGAGCTTGTTTTTTTCCAGTATTTATTCAATGTCATCTTTGCTGTGTGCATCCTGCTTCGTGATGGGTTGCAGATTATTCATGTACCATCCACTGAGAGAGGAAATGAGTCTGGTTTTATACTTAAGAAAAACCTTCTGGCCCTAAAAAAATACCTGAGGGTTTTGACATGCAGTATAATTTTTTTAGTGGTTAAAATAGTGTGGCCAGCAGGACGAGGGAAGTGGTGTCCCTTTGAACTGGACACTGGGGAGGCTTCACCTCAAATCTTGTCTTCAGTCAGCCACTTACAGCAAGAAAGATATTGAGATTCTGGAGCACATCCAGAGGAAGGCAACAAAGCTGGTGGAGGGTCTGGAGAATGAGTCTTGTGAGGAGCAGCTGAAGAAGCTGGGGTTGATTAACCTCAAGAGGAGCCTCAGGGCGGGGGGACCTTAGCACTTTCTATATTACCTGAAAGAAGGTTGTAGTGAAGTGGGAGTCAGTCTCTCCTTTCAGGTGAAAAGTGATAGGATGAGACAAAATGGCCTCAGGTTATGTCAGAGATTTAGTTTGGGTATTAGGAAAATGTCTTCATGGGAAAGGTTACCAAACATTGGAAAATGCTGCCCAGGGAAGTGGTTGAGTCACTGTGCCATCTCCAGAGGTATTTAAAAGATGAGCGCTTTGAGACATGGTTTAGTTTTCACAGTGCTAGGTTTGCAATTGGACTTAAGGGTCATTTCCAAACTTGATTGTGAGTCTGTGAAATTCTGGCATTTTGTTAGTAGGCAAATATATGTGTTAAATTAGGCATTAAATGAGTGCTACAAGTACTGAATTATAGGCTTGATTTTATAACTGAAAACTATCCCTCCCATTCTAGTAAACATCAATTTTTAACATATTTAGAACTTAAGGTTTTAGTGATTTGCCTAATGAGAGTAAGAGATTATTTAGCTTTTACTGAAGAGGTTCTTGATGAAAGCAGAGAGATGGGAACTTCTGCATAAAATCTTTGTCATAGAGACTGGCAGTGTGCTGAAGTGTGAAATGGTTTGTGACAGCACACTGATCTCAGTGTTTCTGTTGGAAGCTTTTTTGAGTTGTTTCTGCATAAGATGAGAAAAGACAACCCCAGAATATTCCTGTGAGTGGGGAACACAGTGGATTTTTGAGAGTTACATATGAGTCTGCTCTGTTTTATTCAAAACAGACCTGGAAAGTAGATTTGTTTTTTCTTGTTGATGCCCATAGTTTCATTGACATTGTAACAAGAAAAGCTAATGACAACATTCAAAACTGAATACTGTAAATTGCTACCTTTGCCTGTTCATTGTTGTGTGTAATTGAAAGGACTTCAAATTGGATCTTGTATCTTGGATGGTTTTCAGGACTAGGAGTAATTTAGAAAAGCAGCAGCAACAGAAATACAGCAAGCAAGTATATTTAACTCTTTTCTTCCCCATCGAAATAAAGCAAGATTGTTAAAAGCTTTGCTGATAAATTTGTGGTGGGTAAGCAAGTGAGACTCTGGAATCTGAATTGAAATATTCAGCCTTTGAGAGCCATAAATTAGAATTAATGTCTTAGTTAAATTGCGCTTTCTGCTCTCATTTTTAATTCTGAACTTGAAATTTCACAAACTTGTCCATGTCTTTGCTGTCCTACTGTAATTTGGCATTCTGCTGCTTAGAATGGGCTGTGAAGGTATGGAAGCCTTAAGGACATACTGGAGTTTTTGATGTAAAGCTATTGTAAGACTCTTAATTTTCTCTTGTCATATTTAATTGCTGTAGCCAAGAGTAACCTTTACCTTAACTTCTGTTATGATGTTGTGTGTGCTGTTCTAGTGGTGGGCTGTTGATGCTGTTGACACACTCAGAACTCAGCTCCTTGAGTCCAGAGGTCAAGGCTTGTGCTGTGCCAGGTCCATGTCCATACACAGAACTAATGTCAAAGCGAAGGACAGTGTGCTGACCATGATCAGGGGACAATTTCTTAGAATACCCATCCTTCTGCCCCCAGTCTGTATGAACACAGACCCACTGCCACCACTCTTTACACAGCAGGTGCCTTTTGTACCAAGTCAGATCCTCAGTATTTGCACTCCCTGAGCAGCAAGTGAATGCAGTGAGGGCTGGCAGTGGGGAGCTTTCCTTCCTAAGCATATTGCCTGTGCCTTGAGTGTGGCAGCTGGAAGCCCAGAAGAGCAATATGTCACCACCCAAGGCAGTAGTTCACAAAGCTGGAGTGGCAAGTAACTCCCTAGGGAGAATAGCCAAGAAAATTGAACTTTAAGTAGCGGGGACTGCTCTGATCAACTGTGTGTTAGTCATTTTGTATGGTAGTGAAATGGGCATGTGGGGGACTGAGTGAATACTACAGCAACATGAGAGGTAAAATGTTACACCAATATTCCAGCTGTTGCAGCTATATTAATATTTATTTTTGTGTTTCAAAATTCAATTTAAAGTCTACCTACCAGCACTGGTAGCTAGCTAGGAATATACAGTTTAAGACAGGGTTCTGGCATATCTCTTTATATTGGGTTTATGTAGAATTAAGTAACATTTTAAACATTTTACTAATGTGCTAATTAAAAGTAAGATAGAATATTTAACATCTTGATAATACCTTGTAAAACTAGGGAATTTTTGATTTAAAAAAATTAATAATTTTTCTTCAAGATTGTGATATTGTCTCACATCTCAAAAGAAAGTGAAATTACTGTGGTTTTTTTGATGAACTGTTTGATTTGGCATATTTGGAGATGCTTACAGGAAAGCCCCAGATTAAGCTCCATGCTCTGCTAGTTTCCTTGCTGGGAAGTGTTTTGGTCTGAGGCGCTGTGTCTGGGAATGCCTGGTGGCAGCCTGGCAAGCCCACCTGAGAGGGGGCTGCTTGGACAGCATGAAAGGTTGAAACTGTTCCCCTGAGATTGTCTTTTGAAAAGGAGTGAGAATCGTTGCCATTTAGAAACCAATTAAAATTATGACTATGCAGCCTGGTAATGGCTTTTCTGAAAACAGGCAGAAAAATGCCAAAGTTTGAAGCTGTAGGAAGAAAAGAGTGGAAGGAACAAGGAGACCTCAGAGTCTCTCAGAACTTGGATGCATCTCTGAAGGGGCACTGTTGCTGGCACCATGGAAACAAATTGCACTTCTGAGTAGCATCCAGAAGAAAGTTCTGTGCTTCCCAGTGAAAGGTTTCAGCAGTCAAGTGTTAGTATTTTCCAAGGTCAGATGAATCTATTTGTTAAAAAAAACAAAACAATTTCAGAACAGAAATCTAGTATATATGTGAAAACAGCAGACTGTATTATGCCTGTACCATCCTTTCTCAGATATTTAGAGTCCAGCTTTTCAAGCACCCTGCAGATATCTACTATCCTACATTTACTATAGGAACTTAGCTGAAAAGAGACAGCAGGTGAATTGATAAGTACAATTATGTTGGCTTACGTTGAGTATGCAGCAAGTTATGTGGAAAAGCAGTTAAGTTCTTGTAGATTAGCTGTTCCAGTGACAGCTAAATATGTGTGGATCAGAAAAAAAGTTATTTTATTTAACTGACAGTCAATACTAGAAACAAGAATGCTACAGAAAAGTGCAGTTTTACTGGCAGTGGATCCAGGGTATTATAGAACAGCCTATTTTGTTAAAAATTAATAGGAAGGATGAGAAAAATTCTTGAGAAAGGCAGTGGTGCAAGTTGCTGTATGGACGTGCATCATACTGCTTGAATCTGTTTAAGCAAAACCTTTCACTGAGTACTGGGAAGATACAAGTGGATTTGCAGAAACATCCTTGTCATCATCATCAATGTTGAGGCTGCTTAACATAATGTTCAACTACTTCAGCTACTGATGGAGCAGCCAAATAACATGCCTGGAGACTTCTGCTGGGACTTGGGCACATTGTCTTGGGATTGTAAGTGATGCACAAAGCTTGCACAAAGCACAGCTTGAAAACAGACTCATCTATGTAATAATTAATCCAGAGATTCATTCAGAGTCAGGGAACATGATCAGTTAATTAAATTGGTTACTGTGGACTTGATACTCTCTAGAGGAGGAGTATCAGGCTTTGCTATCACATTAAAGTGCAGTTGGGTGTGCTCATGGAGATGTTTTACTACACAGGACACAACATAAAAAGATACTCTATGAAGCAATTACACACTTTTGTTGGTTGACTGCCCTCATCCAAAATTCTGAAGGATATGATCTAAACAGGAAGCACTTTAAAGCTAGGAGTTGCTCATACACTTTGTCATTTTGACTTCTGACTCTTAAAAAGTCCTATAAAGAAGCTCATTCAGGGTTTCTGTTTACTGTAGAGGAGTAGTCAGGCAAGAAAACTAAAAGGAGAATTTGTGCTCCACCTTCATAGGAATGGGGTGACAATTGCATCAATGTATGAGACACAGCCTATATAAAATGAATCTTTTCAGTGTATGAATATATTTATATAAAACTGCAAAGATGCTTGATTCAGTAGTCAGAAACAGGATTAGAACCACTGGAGGTGAGATACAGTATATTTGGGTCTGCTGGGGAGTGTCATGGCTAGGTGAGCTCAGATTGGTATTTAGCAGGTTTGTACTGCACTGAAAATTTAGCACTGGTTTAATTCTCAGTGATTTGGACCACTGTTTAGCCTTGAAATAGAAATTCATGAAATAGAAAGGCATGCATGACTGTCTTGAAAAAATTCCAACCCTGAAGATATGCAGGCATTTGTTGTAATTATACATGTTCCTATTCTTACTGAGTTTACCATGTTGTTTTTACAGTCCCTAAATTAGTCCAAGTCTGTCACATTGTTTAACAGTGGTTTAAATATTTAAGTAAAACTTAGAGAAGTGAATTAAAATGGTTCATAAAATATAGACATCAGCTTTCCCTGGCCCATACATCCACAATTTTGTCAAGTGTAAACTATTCACTTCCAAATAAACATGGGAAGACAGGGAAGCTCCCCAAGTACATGTCCACCTGGGTTTTGTAAGCAACAGGATTGCATCTCATCATTATGTTAACATAATTATTTTCAGTGATTTGTGTGCATCAATGCTCCTTTGAAGGGTCCAGTTCTGAATGCCCTGTTCATGCTTTTCTATTTGCAACTAATTGTATTTCCCTATTTTGTTCTTCTTACAAAGCAGTGGCTTTTCAAAAAAACTTCTGCTTCTTATATTAATGAGATTTTACTGTCTTCAGCTTTTCATATTTTATTAATATGAAATAGGCTTTTTCATAGAAAAATCATTTTACAAAATTACTTGCTTTTGTAATGGGAGTTTTTGTTCATATTAATGTATATTGCTGAAAATTGATTTTAAAATAAGTAATAAATGAGAATAATATTAAGTAAAAAATGAAAAAAGTAACTTCTTTGAACACAGACAACCAGCTAACATTCTAAATTTTCATAATATTTTTCTATTAATTCAGCAGCTTTACCTTTTGGCAATTTAACATATTAAATTATTTATTTTTAGTATAAGCTTCTTTTATTAATGTCATAGGTGCTTTTACTTTTGTAGATCAAAGTGATGTGATTTCAAAACTATGCCTATTACTTTCGTTATATCACTGACTAATCTTTCATAAAAATCTAAGAGTATAAGCTAGCATTTATGTTACTTATTATTGAATTTATGAGCATTTCATTTGATGGCATTTCAGCTGCAATGTAACTGAGACCCATCCTCAGCTGAGAAGTATTTCAGTTCTGAATATGTATTGGCAAAGTCAGTGCTGAATTGGAAGAGTATTTTTGAAGCAGAACTTAGCACCTTTAGCACTGATGCTCCACACATTGTGGATTGTTTGACTTCTTTATGATTTGCTAAAAGTTTCTTTGAGTTGAAAATATTAACAGTTGACTTATGGCTTAAACCTTTTAACTCATGCATGAAATGCTTTACATTTAAATGGCAAGAAGTTTTCTGTGGGGTGTATGTGAGTTCCTTATGTGGGGTGTATGTGAGGGAGAAGACAGTTTTGTTCTGACTCCTGCTGGGTTTTGTAGGACAGCTCCAATCTCTGTTTCCTGGCTGGCCTCAGTCTCTGTTGCCTGTCAGGATTTTGAGTACCTTGATAGAGAGTATCTGGCTCTGCATGCACACAGAGCGCTGGTGCCATAAGCCCCTCACTAGCTGGACTCCGCACCAAGTGGCTGCCATGCAGAACCCAGCCTTAGCTCTAACACTGAATGTTGCCTTGGTTTTCAGAAATGCCCTTTCCTGTGGTCACTGAGGCAGGCAAAACCACTCAGCAGCTTTTGACCTCTGCAGCCTCAGACAGCCAGTGGAGCCATTCAGTGTTTGCCTTGATACCCTCATGGACAAAGAAGGTGTTGTTCAAACGAGAGTCTGACCTCAGCCCCCTTCTGGTCAGTAGAAGATGGTTTGCCACTTTTGGTATTTTTAAGGATTATAGCAATTCTGTAAAAACTGAATGTTGGGAATTTACTATCCAGTTAGTACACTTCTAGTTCTGTCTCAGATGATTGTGTTCATTTGACATGACTTCAGCAACACCAACTAGTTTTGGGACTTCCAAAGAATTACTGTGACAGGTACTGCTGAGAGATTGCTGTGTAAATTCTGATAGATACTTAGTAATGAAAAGAATCTGTATAGTCTGATGAACTTTGTGCATAGTGTGGTTTTTTTGTGTATCATGATAGTCAGAAAATTGATGAATATATCAATTAAGATTCTAATAATTGCTTGTGGGAGTAAGTAGGTTTTACACATTTGGACTAGAAAAAAGATTTAAGTGTTGGGATAATAAAACTCCTAAATTTGAAGGCGATTAGTGCCTCTAATTTTTTTAAAATAATTTCTTTATTTATATAATTTAACTTGTTGCTGAAGTTTTTGAATTATATTTTCATACACTATGTAGATTTTTCCCCTTCCTTCATAGCCTGAAGATGTGTCCAATATGTCAGTGTCTTCTGAATTTGGAATAACCCTTCAGAAATGTGGTATGGTAAGTTTTCTTACATTTGTCTTGTTAATTTGGTAGGAACTTTGTACCCAAGTGACCTTTGAAAAGTGAGAACCTAATTGTGCCCATGCTGAGTTTTTGGAAGTGTGTGCATTTTGCTGTTACCATGGTCCCACTGTCTTTTTTGCAATGTTGGTTCATGTCCTGGTTTAGGGCAAATTTGGGAGAAAACCTCCAGTGGGGCTCCCCCCGGGAAGCAAACACACGTGGCGCTTTTCTCCCACCCCCCAACCGGTTCGGGAAGAGATTTCTCTGAGAGAAGTGGAAAAAACCTGTTTATTTCACAGGCACAGCACTACCCAGCACAAAAATGAACAATATCAAATTACAAAACCTCTTGCTGTTCAGAAGAGATGACAAACTTCAGAGGGTCTCTTTCCTATGGGTGTTCGCTGTGTTATCAGTCCCTCTGGCGCTGGAAAATGCCACTGCCCAGGCTGGGCTCCCGGTAGTCCACGGGTGCAAGCTCCCGGTGCTCCCCCGAGTCCTCAGTTCAGAGCAGGTTCGATTCGTTTCAGAAAAAGGGAAAGAAAACAGTCCAGGAAGACCTCTCTGCTCCGGCTAGTTGGAAAGCCAAGGCGATCTGTGTCTTGTTGTCTGTCTGTGCTGTAGTCAAAACTCCCGATGCGGGGGGAGCAAGTACAGTCTCTGATAACAGACTCGGTGCTTCTTTTCCACTCACTTTTACTCTTAGATGGAATTTTAAGAATACAAAACCTGTGTCTGGGCTAGGTGGATGAATGGGGATACAATTTAACATCATAATCAACCCAGGACAGTTCAAAACAGAAGTCAGTGAAATCTCCCAGGCTTCAGGGCATTTTGGATTGTGGTTGAAGTAAAAACCTGACTATGATTTTCCAAAACTGCAGATGGGCAAATCCCAGTGAACTCTGGAGTAATCAGCCAATAGGCTGGATAGAGACAGATTTTACAAGATGAGATAAACCTTCTGAGATATTCCCCTAGCCCAGCCATGGATGTCCTACCTGGCTACTGGGTCAAATGTGGTCTTCTTTTGAAAGATGAAGCACTAATCTCTGTGTTGCCCATTGTGTGTTTGGGCATCCTAACACACAGCCATAGAAAAGCCATTGTGTCGTAGTCTGCATATTCAGTGGGACACGCCTACAGCACAGTATTTAATGAAAAAAGGTTTCATTTGACTTGTGTAAATGCTCATGAGGAGTAAAGACCTACCTATTTTAAGAATTTTTTTAACTTCCCATTTTATTTTTACTAGACTGTTATTTTTCCCTTTTTTTTCCCCTATTTTATTTTCCCTTTCTTTGCACTGGATGAAGCAGGTATGAATTTTAATAATTACTGTCAGTTCATCTTTGCTGTCTCCTGGAGAGAGAGCGAGAGTACATCCAGCTTTAGGACCAGTCTGAATTCAGCCACTGAAATGGTGCCTATGAGGGTAGAGGATTCAGTAACCAGTACAAAAGAGGTGATGTTATAACCTTCACCAGATCAGCTCTATACAGAAGAATGAATGTGCATCACATCTTATGGTGCTAATTCCTCCAATGTTGTTATTGAAGTGGCAGCATATCATGATTAATGAGGCTGAATAGTGAGCATTTCAGACATAAGAAGTAGTAACATAAATCTGCTTTTCTGTCTGTGGATTCCCAACTTTTATACCAGAGCCCCTCAAAAACAGACTTTGAAACAGTTCCATGTTCATTTTTCTGCTGTTTACAACACAGCCTCACACAGGCTCATTAAGAGCTCCCAAATAACTCTGTAGAAGATTAAAGGTAATCTATTGTAGATGCTGGCTTTATCAGAAAATACTTTTGTAGTGCTACTAGTTGCAAATTACTGAAAACTATACAATTATATGTGACTGTCTTCCACCTGCAAATGCAGTTCACATTTAATTTTCCTTGGCTTACCTTGTCTTCTGCTTCAGTCCTATTTTGAGTGAACAAATGCTTTCATGCTAAGAGACAGACTGGCCATATGGTGCTCTTTATCTGTTTTAAATAGAAAAAAAGTGAGTTTTGCACATTTTCCTTCTCCTGCAATGAGTTGCTCCTCAGAGCATGGAGGTGTCATATATTTGCTTCTTGGTGTCAGGATTTTTCCAACATCTTAATGTAGAATAGCCTTATTGAAACTGAGGTGTTTAAATTTTACCTGTGCTTCCAGCATCCACTGTCTTCCTTCTTTCCAGAAATGTGTTTAAGAGCTTCATTCCATAGTATGACATGACCTTTTCTGTAATAGTACTTCACAGTGACAATAATCCTTAGCAGAGCTGAAATAAATCTTTAAATTTAATTGCTTGTCTTCTAACACTTTTACCTGTCTTGTTTCTTAATCTCCTAAGCATTTGTGCATTGGAGATTATCAATGATTCTATAATCTTTTTTCTCCCTCCTTTCCTGTTTCTAGTTGTTCTAACTTAATCCTAACAAGGATCTTCCATTCCTTTCAACTTCTATGGCAATTCCTTCCTCCTCTCTTTCCTCCTGTCGTGTCCATGCTCTTACTGTGGTTCTTTCAGGCCACTCTCCCGGGTACCTGAAGTGAGATCACTTGTAGGGGCTGATGACACATGGGGCACTTCAGCAGCAGAGAGGAAATAGAGTAGCTGCTTATGCATTATCAATGGCTGCCATTGGGTTTGGTTCCTGTAGGTGCCTGGCAGCCTAACTGTCTGCTCCAAAAGCAGGTAAAAACATCTCCAGGTAAATTAGAGGAGCAACTTAAAACAAGATATGAAGTTGGTAGTGGTTTCCTCAGAAATATAACTAAGCCCTATTTTTATACATGCATTAATACATATATTTTTATACATTGTTTGTAGCTTCTAGTACAATAAATAGTTGGGAATTTTGTCACTTAAACAGAGAAATGTGGACTAAGCCTTAATAATTTCATTAAGCTGTTTCTTCCCCTTTATTCATGTAATTCTAAAAGTGTGATCCGGTTCTATGCTGAATTAGTATGACATGCACAGACCATAGCTACAGAAATTGACCCCTGTGCTACCATGAACTCTGGTGTGATTTCTGAAGGCTATCACAATTCATATTTTTAGAACACATTTTTTGTGGTGACTGCTTTATTATTTTATATTTGCTGGTGTCCAGATACAGTGTAGAGATTTCCATAAAAGGAAGATCTAAGAGAAAGGTTCGGCCTGAATCGTAATTCTGTCAGTTAAAGGACTGTTAATTTAATGTCATTATTTGAAACCTCATAAATCATCATGAATATACTACAGATCACCATATTCTTATAGATCCTATAAAGATTTAGACAATTCTGGTTTTAATACCAGTTACAGAGGAAGGCAGTTTGGAAGGTGAGAGGTCAGTAAGCAACTCTGTGCTTAAGAGTAATTTCATTTAGAGAGTATAATTGCTCAGTAAAACTTAAGGGCTGAATGGAAGGAATAAATAATATCACATGAGTGCGTGTTGCTAGAGATTGGTGATTAGTGTATGTCCTTCATTGCTAATTGGAAGCAAAGGCTTGAATTCCCAAGTTCACTGGTGGCTCCATCTGCCCTCACATGGGAAGGATAAGTCTAGACAGCCGGTGTCCTTCAGAAAATGGGGTTGCTATGAAAAAAAGGAAAATAGAGACCAAAACTGCATGGAGAGAATTGCTTTGCAGTGAGGCAGCTTGCAAAAGAAGCATCTTCATGGCACAAAGGTACAAATTTAAGAATTTTCCAAATTCTGATTATAAAGTTATGATCCAGTTTTGCATTGTATGCAGTATCACAGGGACATTCAGATTCAGAATTTGATTATACTTCTGGTCCAGTATGAGCTGGGTTTCCACCTTTTGGCTTTCTTCCACTGTCTCCAAGCAACAGCTTGACATACCAAAGATTAAAATCTCACTGGGAGTGTGAGATCAAACTGAGCATAGTTTCATTTGCAGATCACTCAAAATACCTTCAGAAAATGAATTTACACATATAATGAAGTTTTATTTGTAATCAAGGCTATGAATTTTGCTGTTAAGATGCACATATAGCCATCTTGCACCATTAATACTAATATTTCTGTTTTCAGGTGGATGTTGAACATGACCCTCAAACTGCATACATTAAACTTGTGATTAATAACACCAACACATTGCTCTCAACAAACATCACAGATCTTATCCTCCTGGACAACATCACTGGTCTACACATTCAAAAAACCAGTGGGAATAAGACCACAGATGGCATACAGATTTACAGGAAAAGTTTCTTGCAAGGTAACAAAATCTGCAGTAAAATACCCCTGATAATACATGTCAAAGTGTACCTGTTAAAATCACAGTATTTATTTATTTATTTATTAAATTATAGTGGTGTAAATTATTTGATTATCACTTAATACAGGTGAAAAAGTCTGGGAAAGGTTTTAGGCTGCAGTTTCCAATTGTGTCAGCTCACTGGTAACTGTTTTGACTGCCACCTTTGAACTTCTTCCAGACACAGAACTGAACCTCCTGTACTTTGTAAAAGTTGCTATCAAAAATGAGAGTCTTTTTCAATGGTATTTTTCACTTTGGATATTTTTAAAAACTTCTGCAAAAGGCATTTTAATCATATTTTGAGCCTTCTTTAGCCAAGTGTGGCATCTCAGCTTGCCTGAGGTATTGAGGTGCATTGGAATTGCAAAATGCCATGAAAAGAGGGAAAATGATTCATCAGAAACAAGGCAGCTCTTCTCATTATCTGGTCTCTCCAAACTGAAAAAAATATAAAAAGTCAAAACAAGTAATAGAGAAATAAACATTTTCCCATTATGAAGTCAGTTTGTTCCTTTTCTAATTGATAGCAGTTCAATCAGTCCACATGCATTAAATTTTATCTTTCTTGATTTCTTCATCTCCTTTTTCCTAATCACAAGCATGTCGAAAATTAGCAGCTTGCTTTTGGGAGTCACGATGCTTCTCCAGGAGCTTCAGAAGTGTACACTGATTCCTGTTTATGATCAAAGTATCTCTGGTTTTGATAGTTTTATGTTGAAGGATGTCCCCATAGAAAAGAGAAATAAGTAGATATGGGGGTGCTGTCTGGTTGCAATTGGATAGCCAAACTCCATTTCTGATAACACCAGTGTGAGCAGTGGTACTGATTGCAGGACTGGTCTTTTTGGAAATGTCAAGGAATTGCTGGCTTTTCACAGAGATTTCCTAGAAACAGTTGTCCTTGAGAAAGAATAGAAAAGTGGCTTGCATATCTGATCTGGTAAACCAAGTTGGAGTTGCTACATAATTTATAATTACTGAATCTGGAGCTGAAGCTAGCTTTTCCAGACAGATCAGTGTGAAAGATACTGAAGTGGAAGAAAATCCAGCAGACCAGATTTCCTCATAGTTTGAGTTTGGTCATTACTATATTAATCCTGAAGTCAGCCCATACCTTGCCACTAGGTCTGGGTAGAAAGGCTCTGTCTACACTGGCCTATGTACTGTCATGCTCTGTGTTTACCATAATGATTTTTCCGTACTTCAGTGCATTGTGAATCAAAATTCACCTGAAATCTGTCAGATATCTCTTTGGTTTCAACAAGGGAAGAATCAACAAGTTAGTGGTTAAAATGTAGGCAGTCCATTTTATAATAAAAACTACTTTAAAATCATCTCATAAAGAATTTTTTGGTCTCAAAAAATAATGTTTTTGGGTAGGTCAGGGCATCATTTGATGCAGTTTCCAGATCCTGGGCTGAATTTGCTTGAATTCTTAGAGGCAGCAGATACAAAGGATGTTGCTGAGTTCAAGTGGCCATCAACGGTCTACTCTGGATGTGTGGCATCTGCTATGTCAGAAAGGAAAAGCTCCAGTGCTGTCCCAAGCCTTCCCCAGGGATCTTTAAGAAATTTTCATGGAAACAGAGCAAATCTATCCATATCCCTGTTTTAATAGGTGGAGAACACTTTGAAATCAACTACTCTGCACTTCTTGATGCAGAAGAAATGTGGCATGGCAGGGTCTTGACACTGCCTGCGAAGCTAACTTTCAAGAGTTCATCACAGGTATTTTATTCACAATTTTATTCTGCTCTTCACAATTTTTGTATAAAAAATAGTCTTCAAGGTGATTCTTGCTTGCCTAAACAATGAGATTATCATGTAATGAAATTAAGCTCTTAGTCTCTCTGATTGTTTACTATTAATTTATAAATGCATAGCTTAAGAAGTCCTAAAGTAAAGTTATTTTTGTGTATTGTCATGGAGACTTTCTTTATACTTCTCATATTTCTCTCCGGTTTATTGATCTGGAAATAAGTGGCCCACATACTAACGTGTATTCCTGAAGTCTAAGATAGAAAGTTTTGCCATATTTTTATAGTAAAATAATTTATTTTAACTGAAAAACAAATTGCAGCAAAGGAAAACCTCATTGCTCATTAGAAAGACACTTTTTAGTATAAGAGTTTTCTGGGTCTGAAAGATTTTTCAGAGAAGCTGAGAAATCTCCATCCTTGCTGATTTTTGAGATCTCTGTTGCATCAGACTCTGAAGCAATTGGTTTAATGCTGGAATTAGCCTGGCTTAGAGTAGGAGACAGGACAAGTAGTTTCTGCCAAAGTAAAAATTTTCAATTCTTAAATATGGCTTGATGGTTTTTCTGTGGTTTTCACAACTACATGTAATTGTAACCTGCAGATTAAAAAATTAAAAAGATTTAAAAAATTTAAAAGTGAAAGATGCAGATGTATTTTGATTTCAATTGCCTTTCTCCTTAGTTTAGGAGGAAGAAATGTTCTATGTGTATGGGAGTGATACTAGAGTGGTGGAGAGGAAAACTTCAAAAAACAGGGCACGGTTAAAGTAGAGATTTATGTACTGACTGTGACTCCTGTTCTGTGCATTCTCAGTCAACCCAGATTTTGTAGGCAAAGAAAAATGTAATACTTTGTGTATTGGGATATGGGGAGTGTATCCCATAGAGCAGCTGCTTCCATATCTTTTAGTGTTACCTCTAAGTACACTGCATTTTCCTATCAGATTTATTGCAGCTTTAAGCTTAATGAGAAGTATAGCTAATCTTCTATGGAGAGGCTTTTCTAGAGACTGGGCTGTTTGCCACTGGATTTTGCTTTTTTTTTAATACAGATACTTTCTTGTATCTCTCTCAGAATAAAACACATTTTGTATCATTGACAGCGTCATTTACCATAACAGAAGAAGAAAAGACCAAGGTAAATTCTATGATTTGGTATTATATTGACTCTCTTCCCTATACTTCTGGACAATCTAAAGTAAACCCTAGGAGCTAAGGATGTACTTGTGTCTCATCACTCAGCTATTGGCTAGTAATCAAACACAAATTCTGCCTTCTCACGTTTTAAGAAGAAGAAAACAGGACTCAACATAAGAGGTCATTTTTTGTCTGTAACCAACAATATTTAGTATGGAAAAGCTAAAAATGCCATTATTCTCTTTGCCATCTTCTTTCATTTGAAGAATTGTTCAGGCGCAGGAAACTGTGATGAGGAATATGCTCACCTGCTGCTGTGCCTAACTACCATGACAAAGCTTTTTGTTTTTCCAAAAGGATAAAGGTATCCTCCACCCACTGAGGTTTCTGTATGATGCTGATACTCAAGCCTGAGAAATAAAACTGCAGAAAGAGTGGCAGAGTTTATGCTTCCTTTCATTTTTTAACTCGTCATTCTTCCAATATGACTTTCTGTTCTTGGCTTCTGAAGGAATTCTGAAAAGTAGTTTATAACAGGCAAAAAAACCTTCAAAATTACATTGATTGCAGAAGTATTATTCTTCTAGATATATTTTTTATTAAAAATTCTCTATTTCATCCATCAGTTTCATTGCTAGAGTAATCCCTTCACCAAACTTGTTTTTCTCTCCCAGCCTCTCATTGACAGGCTGCTATTGCAAGGGGTCATTTTTAAAGAAGCTGTGGTTTGGTTGGCAAGAGTACTGGGATTATTTGTGGTCAGGCAGAAGCAAACAGTTTGTTTCACCATAGAGCATTTTTGCCATGGCTGTGTATGTGAATAGAGCTTGCCTGAATAGGCCCTGAGGACTAAGACCACCTATTCCTTCCATGGACCTGTCCCATGAGTTTCTCTCTGCCTTTTGAATAAGTAATCTGTTTGGAGATTGGGCACAGGGGCCTCTTGTTCCAGTATTCTGCTGGGGATCTCTGCCTTCTCAGCTTTTGTTATTGTAATAGATACACGTCTGGACGTGGCTTTCTCGTAATGGAAGATCAAGTGCCCATTCTGTTAAAATGAAAGCCATGATTAAACATGATATTAAGTAAAACTATACATAAGCTAGAGAACTCATTGTCCCTGGATAAAGATCTAGTAATATTTAAAAGGATTGGACATTTGTATGGCTAAGAATTACAAATGGACTTGCCATAAATCTATTTTTTGGAAACTCTGAGAGATGTAAACCATGAAGTAGCTGACTGGGTTAGAAAAATAACTTCATTAATATTTTTTGTAGAAGTCAGTGTGAATTGATTTGCAGCAGTTGCTGATGTCTTAAGCCAAGACTGTAAGCTACATTGGTCTCAACTGACCATGAAAATTTCTGCGATCTGTTACTATACATAAAACCTTTTTAGTGTGCTTATTATTTTTTCCAATTTTAACTTGATAGTTAGACCTCTAAAAGTTCTTGTGAAGTATTCCGTAGGTAAGTAAAATTAGCTCAGCTGCATTTGAACTTAGTAAATGAATAGGCTTTGTAACTAAAATATGTGATAAAGATGTGTGGAAAATACCATAAATTTTTGAAAAATAAAGCTTAGAAATTATTTAACACGTCATGTTTCACATGCATAATATTTGACTTTGGGCTGTGGCCAAGCATAAGGTGTTTTGGAATGAAACCAGTTTGTGCAAGGAAATTTGGATTAGCTGGAGAAGGTGTGATGTATTTTATTTCATTTATATTGTCAACTGTCATAAATGCTCTCCATCTCAGATGGAGATTATTTATTAAAAATAATTATTTAAGCCTGTTCACGGGTATGTTAAAACCAATGCACATATGTCACTGAGTGGACAGTAGATGTTGACTTTGAGAATGACAAGTGGAGAATTACTTATGTGGTCATGGGAGTGTCATGCTACATTGGTCCCATCAGCTTTCACTTGATTTGCTTGAACACTTACATACTATGCTGTTCTTTAAAGTTTTACAAACCCTGTGTATTTCTCTTCTGTGCTACTGGAAGAAAATGCTTGGTTGCCTGGAACAAGGTAATTTTGTGGGTTATGAAAAAAATATGAGTGTTGCTCATCTGAGTGTCTGTGTCAGATGTCAGTACGCTGACAGGGCCTGTGAATACTTTGTGCCTCTGCCCTTGGCCAGGGGAGTTTGATGCTGGATGGGACACTGGTGAAAAGGAAAGTTCTCCCATCTAAGGATGTTGCATGGGAGAGATGTTAATAATTCCTTTACACTGATTTTTATGAGGTTTGCTTCCCTCATCATCAGGCAAAGCAGTGGGAGCAAATTGGCTCTTGAGACTTTGGCCTGTAAGGCCTCTTCCAGCTATTGGGATGGCATTAGAATCTAGCTTAAGGAATGGCTTTTGAGGCCTGCTGATGTCTGTGGTTTGGAGGATGATCTGCAGGGCCAAAACTGGTCTTGACTTGAGGCAGGGCACCTCTCCTGAACCGTCTGCTATGGTGCTTTTAGATGGCATTAAGCACCTGTTGTGTTCTGCTTGGACTGACAGCCCCACCCCGCCATGACATGGACTGTCCTTTCAGAGCCCATTTTCTTTAAGATAAAAGGACAGACAAAACTGACTGCCCTCATGCAAACTGATTGTCCCACCATGGGTCTCACCTTTTAATTAGAAAGCACAGAGTCATTCCATAGCCAGTTCTTTTTCTTCAAAACTTGAACAGCTTCTTTCCAGCTTTACTGAATCCATAGCCTCACCAGATCCTTGCTTTCCCAGCTAGGGAAAAGAAGCCTAGACAGATCTTTAAATTTCACAGAGTGCATGGAAATTAGACAAATGCAAGTGGGTTCAGACAAAATGATGAAGTGGTTATCAAAGTGGCTTTTTTTCCTTAAGTATTATCTATGGCATCTCCTGTTCCTGAAAGTGGAGGGATCTCAGTCAGAGTCCTGATGCGACACAGGTGTTAAATTGCAATAAATTATTTTCAAATTGTAGTCCATGTTTGAATATTGTTTCCTATGCAGAGTTACCAGTGACTCTATGGAATGCTATCAAGTTTCTGCCCCAAAGGAAAAAACAAGCCCAGCTTGCAAGCAGCATGTTAATTATTTACAGTTCCTAGCCCTAGCAGAGTAATCAGTTAGTGGTGTAACATTATACTAATAGCTGTGATATGTTTTTCATTGAAAGATCTCATAGAACTAAACAAACACTGAACTAGTTTTTGCTACATAGACCATGAAATAAAACTTAATTTTTAATGCAATTCAATTTAAAGATTAATTTAAGAGCTACATAGAAGGTCTACAAAGTTGTTATCTGGCTTATGGTTCCAGTGCTCCTGCCAGCCTTTTCTGACTCAGGCTAATGCAGATGCTGCAAGGTTGCACACAGATTGAGTGGGTGACAGTTGCATGTTTATTCTGAACTCATATTGGTACCTTCTTCCTCTGGTGTTTACTCAGTTTCACTGAATCAAGAAATGGCCATTAATTAAAGTAGCCAACATCTCACTGACTTTCCAGAGTCTATGAGCAACATCAAATGCCATCAATTTCAAGTAGACTTCTTAGAAGAGTGGCAACTTTCGAAAATAGACTATTAATTACAGAGCACCCGAAAGTCACAGCAAAAAAATTCTTGCTTGAATTACACAGAAATTTGGACAAGGTAAACATAGCAAACTGTGCTGACTTGTAAACCCATTGAAAACACACATTTGTTTGAAAACATTCATCAAGATGTAGTAATAACGTAATGCTGAGAAATCCTGAAGTTGTGTGAAGCCATTTAAAAATAATTTACTGTTTGCTTACAGTTAGAGTCTTTGAATTACAGTTATGATCTGATCTTTATATGTATTTAAAATAACATTTTAATTAAATGATCTTTTAATTTCAGATTTTATATGGCCATGCCATCAGTGCTTCAGGGTTCTTCATTGCTTTTTTTGTTTCCCTTGTATTGACATGTGCTGTCTTTTTCATCGTTTACCGAACCCAAATATTAAAATGGAGTTTCTGTAGTAAAAACCAGGTGAGTACTGTCTGTCAGTATGATGATGATGATGATGATGATGATGATGATGATGATGATAACGATAACTTGCTAACTAAGATTGTCTGAAGAGTTTTTGAAGATGAATAAAAAGCCACCAAGTGATGGATTTGGCTCACAGGTGCTGTAATCTCCACAGCCTCTAAACTTCAGTGCAATCAGATTTAGAGGTGAATGTAAGAATGATACCCTGATCAAAAAAACTGCTGTCAGTAGGTGGATGTTGGCTGTAGAGCAGAGGGGGATTCCCCTTTACCTGTTCATTTCTTCCCATATTCCTCTCTTCCTCCCCTCTGTCCCTCAGAATTAGAAGCAGGAAGTCTTGGGGTTAAAAGTTTCCAAGAGAGTAGACAGCTTATTTTGAACACAGCAACTTGGGTGCAAATTTTTTTTCCAATTACCAGGAATAGAGATTTGAATTTCGGTCTTAGTTTCTTCAGTGTGCAATAATATCTTCAGTGATTAAGAATCAGAAAGGATTGAGGATGAAGTATTTTCATTGTTCTGTGCCAGTTTGAAGGAAGTTTTTCAGTATATATTGGACCAGAGAAAGAAAATACAGAATCTGATAAATGTTAATCAAGTTGGTGCAATTCCAGCTGTTCCTTCTATTCATTATTTTTGTATTTATGTAAAGTATAACAACTTTATTTGGAGGGAGATTAGAGACCTTAGTGAAAATATTACAGTGACTGGAGCAGTCCTAAGAGAGGTATGCTGAGAGGTTTGACCCCCCTTGTCTGCCAAAAAGGTGGTGAATCTCTCATCCCTCTGAACTGACCAGAGTAGTTCACAATTACTTACAGCCTTTCTGCAGTTGAAAATTACACCATCAGTAACTTTTATTTATTTTATGTCTGAAAAATTAATCTCTTTGAATGAAAAGGATGTGACTTGCTTCTTTCTACAACAGAAATAGTAATAATGAATTAGTAAAAAAGGTCTAGCTTGGTCTAGCATCAGATATTTATATTGAGGTTTTTACACCGTATTATTAGCCCTCAATCTGAAGTCTCTGTGAACTGAGTCACTTCCATCATGGATAGGATTAGTTTTTCCATGTTGTTCATCTAATAATACTGTAGTGTTGCCATATGTAATTTGTATACCACTGCAATTTTTTTGAAAATTACCTAGAAAGTTTGAAGTGGAAGACAACTTCCTAGATGATTTCACAAATGTTCTGTGTTCTCCAGTTCTTCTTCTGTATTCCAGATCAGTTATATACTAAAAAAGATCAGTCTGAAATAAAAGCAATATATTTGATTTCAGAGACATACCTGAATTGCACAACCTCTTTATATTCTTTCCAGCTTTACAGTTTGATGATAAGTAGAAACCTTTTCGCCCAGAGTTAAACTGCAAAAAAATTAGATTGGACACTCATGAAACTTTTTTTTTTTACAGTCTAAAGTTTGCTGCTTTTTCTCCCCTTTTTATTTTTTAGGAGATACAGCCTGATCTCAGCCAAAATCACAAACTGGAGCGTTCTCAATTTAATTCAGGTGATCTCTTTAGTGAAGATATAATTATGAATGACCAAATCATTGATATTCTGTCCTTTGAAGAACCTGGGAACATGCTTCAGGCTTTAGAAGAGTAAGAATTCACTGCTATTACATCACATTTATTATTTTTATCATCAGCCAAACCTTTTAATATGTTTTGAGTATCTCCTCTTTATTGTTTTTTATAGTGTCTGTTTACACATATTACTCCACTACCTTAGGTTTTTGAACTGTTTTAAACAATCATCTGTGAGAATGATATGCCATCATATTTCATATCGATTCACTTTAAGAAATCAGAACTCCATCTAGGCCTCAGACATGCAAGTTTTCCAATCCAAATAAACACCTTGCTTTGTCTCTCTGTTGTTCACTACACGAAGGGAAATTTCTTGGTGTGCAAGAAGATACTAAAACACAGTATTCTACTGTTGCTTAACACATTCTACTTTCAAAAGGGTGGCTTTTGTCCTAGAAAAGAGAGCCCCTGCTGAGTGCCAGCGTTACTGTTCAGCAGTGTATTTTGAAAACAGCTGGATCAGAGTCTAAGGTGTGACAGTTTGTAGTGCTGTCAAAAGGATACCAGGTACCTGTGATTGGTGGGACCACTTGCTAGAGCACAGAAACATTCCTGATACTGTTGAAAGGCTTTTTGACAGAAATGTGCCACTGTTAAAGATCACCTGTTCTTCAGATCAATTTTATAAAAAAAATTGTTCCTATGTGAAGATGAACAGTTGTTGTTGATGCAGTCTTACCATTACCTCCTGGTAAGTGAGGTTAAAGGCAGTATTATGCAACTATAAAATCTGTAGAGGCTGGAAAGTTACAAAACCATGGGTAGAGTTTTCTTTCTTAAAGAGCAACCAACAACATTATTTTTTGCCTTTCCCTGATAATTGGAAACTTATCTCTGTAAATTGCACATTGGTCCTTGCTTTTATATCTGTATAGCAACTTGGGCTTTGTGAAGGCTTATCCTGAAAATAATCTTGTGAATATTAATAAGAACAGGATCAAATTTTTTTTTTAAACTCACTTTAATTTTAATTTATTTCAGGGATAGTTAGTATCTAGCTGGGTTGAAAAAAATTGCTGAACTGTTTTCAGATACATTATGGATAAAAAGGTAAATATTCTTGCAAACCTTTGGAAAGGTTTATTTTTGCAACAGGTTTATTTCTAAGTCTACAAAACATGATTTGTATCTTAGTTTGAATGCCTGTCCAGGGCTAAAGTTTTTTAACATTTTTATGAAGTCAGTGCATATGTCTCTTGCTTCCTTTTCTTTCCTCAGTTTCTATTTTCTTTACCTCTAAAGAAGTAGAGTGTTGCAGTAAATAAAGCGTTGCCCATTAGTCAACACTCACTAACCTGCTTCACCTTCTAAGCTATCTTCCTTTTTTCAGGGTGAGGATAGTAGATAGACTACAAAGGTATTCAGAGTTAGAGTGATTCCTGCTATGAAAGATGATCGAAAGGGTGATAGGAATTTTCAGCCAACCAACATCCTCTTGCTTGTAATCAACATCAGCTACCTTGGTAATTCTTTCTGCATGTTTTGGTGCAGGTATGTTTTATTTTTGTCTATGTGACACATGTACAAGCTTGCCAGCATAATCAGTAACATCCTTTTCATTGCACTGTCACGGTTGGAATCATTCTAGTCTTTCAGATACTAATGAGAAAAATACTCTGAAAAGTAAGAGCCACATGTTATTTTCTTCTTTGCAATGTAAAATTGTTCTGTTTTTAAAGAAGTGAGAGTGCCAAATTGTTTAGGAGATACATCAGGAGCATGTGTTCAATATTTATGGACAGGGACATCTTTGGAGTATAGACAGTTTGCAGTGTCAGGAGGATTGGCTAGAGAACAAAACATACTTTAAATGTTTCATAAGGAAGCTTCTTGGTTACTCATTTTGTGAATTTTGTTTTAATAAGTCATATCCTTGATGTACATTATGCAGCAAAATAGCTTGGCTTTTATTCTCAGTAGGTTCCTTGCTGTGTATATTACTGAATATTGGCCTCTGGGCAATGAATACTAATGAGGGGAAGCTATATGATTTGGATATTTGATGTGTACACTAGAAGATCATGTTCCAAAATGTTGTGGGCCTCTTTTTCTATATGTACGCAGGAGAATATGAAGAAAGCTGAGCAGTTTTGGTTTGTGTCCAGTGTGATGGAGCTTGACCATTCTCATAGTCTCAAAAGATACAGATACATTAAAGGGAACTTAATTTCTTTAAATGGCTTTTCAGTACTACATCTTTTCTTTTTAATCTTCATTTTGTACAGCTGTGCTTCCTTGAGTTTGTCAAAGCTCTAGCTGAATTTGAACCTGCTTGCTGATATACAATATGTACTGCTAATTATTTTGGCAAATGAGTAAGTAATATGTGTACATTGCAGCTGATTTTGTCCTGTGGTAGAGAATACTGAGACCAGTGTACTAGAGAACAGGATTAAACTGTCTCCAAAAAGCTTTGACAGAAAAATATAAACAATTTACCATGATCTTAAGAGTTCACTTTTTCTTTTAAAATCTAAATTTCTTGCGGTACCTGCCAATTTGATTTGCTATGGAGCAAGTGTTCTGGTATTTTAAAGCCTGAATTTAAATGGAAAGTAAGAATCATAGAATCTTAAGGGATTATAAGGGACTTTAGAGATCCTCTACTCCCAACCCACCAACCAGAAGCGAGAACACCTCCCACCAGACCAGGCTGCTCAAGGCCTTATCCAGGTTGTTCAAAGCCTTATCTTTGAACACCACCGGGGATGGAGTATAAATGATCATGTTGTCATAGCACCTAGACTTGAGTATTGCTACACAGGAAATGGTGAGAAATAGTTACAAGGTTAGTACAAAAAAAAATATAGGGAGATAAATTTCTGTTTTTCATAACTTGGAAAGAGCATAATTAAAATTTTGGAATTTTAGAAGGGAGAGCATATTCAGTACTCTCTTTTTGTAAAATGTGTACAATGCAGGAATATAACTATAAATAATAATCATGTTGATATAAGATGCAGTGAATGCTCATGGTGTGAACTCCAAACCCTGCATTTGTAGTTCTGTGTTCTGAATGCTACTAGAAACTTCACAAGTGTGTAACCTATACTTTTTTTTTTCATCAGAGCTCAAATGCTTAATATATGATAGGAGCCTGTAAGACTGAGGAGCTGAAGAAAACAAGTGATTTGAAATTGATGAATACATATCTTTTTTCATCTTAAAAATGTCACGTTTCTTTGATGCTGGCTAGGTGTGAAGTGTTTAGTATTATAAGGGTCATTTCTGCTGTCTATCTGGAACAATTTCTCTCATCCAGAAGAGTGTGTCCTTTTGAGAGTTTTGCTGTTCCTGATGCTTTATTCCATATAATTTTAAATGAAGGTTGATATCTCCTCCCATTTCTGTCATCTGAATACTCACCCTGCCTGGATAGATCAGAAGAATCTGAGGAGATCATAGCAGAGTTGGAAGCTCCTCAGGCATTAATGCATAATGCATTCAGCAATAGTATTTATTATTTTGTTAGTATTCAGGCTGCCGGTGTTTTTGAAATCAGTGAAGTGTGTGATGACTTCACCAGAAGCAGAATTAGAATCTTTCGTATGCTTTTTTTTGCATAGTTACTCTTCTAAGCCATTTTCTGAACTCTGTTGCAACGGCAGTATTGTAGGTAGACATATTTTTAAAATAGATTTTCTGAAGATCACTGATTTGTCATTGCTTATTTTCTGCAAACAATGCAGAGGTTCTCAGTCTCTTAAATGCTGTATTTTTAAAATGTTTTCTAAACAGATAATTGTAAGAATTTAAATACTTTCTTTATATCGCTATGGAAAATTAAAGGAATTTGGTAGGTGAAACTGCTGCCAGATCTAATGCTTAGACTCTGTCAGGTTTTCATGAATCTTTGTTTTCTGAAGAGATTCTGGTCTCTCAGGTCAAATTATTATCTTGTTCAGTTTTTTATTTGATTATAATTTCTTGGCTGTGTATCAGGAATCCTGTTTTTGGTTTTGTCAGCATTCTGACTTCTGGAATACTAAACTTAATCTGTGACTCATTCACGTGAAGGAATCCTTAGATAGTCCTTATGTACCTTCCTTAGCAATTTCATTTACTGATCTGATGTCTTGTATTCTCTGTAGTCTGCTGCATGAGCTGTGCTGAGTTCATGCGTGGCTGTGTAAGTGCCACAGGACTGATGGATGAACTCGCCCAGTTCAGAGCTGGCTGCAGGCCAGTACAGCTACTGGTGTATCACAGAGCATCTTCGGACCTGTGCTGACACAGCCTGGCGGCAGGCAGGGACCAGAGAAAAGGCAGCACATCCCACTCTGGCACAGGAGGCTGAAGAATTTGGGCTTGGGCAGTCAGTAGCTGTTGGTGGATGTTCAGACCTCATACCATTGCCTCTGCTTCTACTTTAGTACAGTTTGAGTCTCCTTCAAAGGTTTGTGCCTTGTGCTGCAGCTGTGTAAATCCCTGCTCTGAAGTGTTTGGAGTCAGTTGAGACTGGACCCAGCAGAAGAGCATGGAGTACAAAGGAAGGAAAAAAGGAGGGAAGTGTTGAAGGGAGGAAGGTGTGGGACTGTACAGAGGGGTCACACTGACATGGTACTTTAAAAAACCACCAACAAAACACAACAAACTAAACAGACAAAAAAAACAAAAAACAAAATACAGCCCAGCTTACTGATACTGTATTACTAACCCCTCAATAAATGGATAATTTGTGAAACAAACCACATCAGCAGCTTTTGGAGACCTCTAATGCCCATTGTGCTCAAATTGGCTTTCTTTTGCTTACTGTGACTAAAGCCAGGACTGCAGGAATTGGTTTCTTTGTGATTCTTTTTGTCTGACTCTTTCTCCATTGTCACTCCTCTGAAGTGTGACAGGGCAGCATGGACCTAGATAATGCTGGATGTTGTCCTCCTGTTTCCTTCCCCACTGCAGTTGTCCCATCGTTACTGTGCCTGTGGGTACAGGACGTGCTGCTCTGGCTGTAACAGTGGGTGCCACTGGGCTGGGATGCTTGTCTGTCTGTCCTTCCTTCTTTCTATTCCCCTCTCCATTGAGAGTTGGTGCAGCTGCTATGCCTTGGAGCTCTGAGTCACTGCTGAAGTGGGAACAGTGGCTCTAAATTACTTAATTACATACTTGTCAGGAGCCTTGTGTATTTGAAGCAATACTTTTACATAAACAGCTACCATGGAGCTCCAGTCTTCTCTGAATACTTTTTGTAATATGTGCGCTACTAATTGGCAGAGGAGAGATGAGCCTTCTGAGAATGACAGGCTTTTCTGTTTCGATGAGAAAGTGTCACTGAAGGGGAATTTGTTTAATGCTTCTCTCTTGTTTAGACTTCAGAAAGTTGTATCTCAGTAGTTTCTTATCTTTGTAAATTCAGAATTAGTTTTAAAAATGTGTTTGAAAGCCATTAGTTATTTTTAGGACTGTTAAAGTCAGCAGCTATTAGTTCTCCTGTTCAAAAATTTTCTCTGTGGGCCCATAATTTGAATAAGACTTAAAGACACAATTAATTGGTAGTTAATGAGAGGTTTCCTTTTTTGTAGTGTGTTGTGTTTTGATTTGGTTTCTTTTATAATTAACTATAGTTGCTTTCCTGACCCCAGCTGCTTTCCTGTATTCTTTCACTAGGTCTGTGGAGGACATCAGTTGCTCAGACACTCTCTCTGCTTCTTTGTGTTTGACATCTGGGATTCTCCACTTCCAGATCTCTCTGACAGATTTTTAAAACCTTTCTCTTCAAGTGAGTGAAAAAGCTTTACACTTGCTGTTTGAAGTTTCATTTTCTATGGTTCTGTTCACCTTTCCTTCCCCCACCCTTTTGTGCCACCTGCCTTCTGTACTGTCCTCATCCTTTCTCTGCATGCTTTATCCAGCAAAAGCTTTTGTCTATTTCAACAGTAGGTTGCCAACAACTACCTGTACTTCATTAGCTTTCATGTTCCTATGATGCTGAATATGCTCAGGAAGTGTGGCAAGACCTTTTAAACATCAATTGCTGTAACAACAGAGTGCAGAGCATTTAAAACAAATTAATATAGGTACCTTGGCTTGAGGAGACACAGAGTGTCAGGCTAGAATTTTTTTTCCCTGTGTGACTTGAAACATTTAATCTGGTTGATTGTAAACATTGTTCTTCTGAGGGACTTGAATGAAACCAAATGAAAGCATTCAGTTTATTATATGTACAGGATTCCTGTTTTACTGACTGTTGGTGTGATGCAGCATGCTAGGGGTGCCCTCAACCCCTCTGTTTTGAGTAAAGGGATCGAAGCAAGGTTTCTGATGTGTATAATGAGCTTGTCTCATTTCTGCTGGCTGCTGTGTGAAGATCATGGATCAGAAGTAGAGCACATCACACAGAAGGGAGCTTTCAAGTTTTTACAGAGATGACCCTTCTTCAGCTGCACTGCCAAAAGGTCATGGTGTGGCTGCTGTCTTTGAAGATGTGACCTGGGAGAGCTGTGGCTTGTAAATGCTTTTCTCTCTGCTGTTGACCTTGGTTTGGTGGAACAGTTCAAAACCTTCTCTGCCTTCTTCACCAATTGCCTTCTTCACCAATGAGGTGTCAGGAAAATGAAGAGTGTGAGTTGCAGGTTAAATACACCCAAGATCTTAGGAGCCTCATTATTCACTTGCTGACACACCAGCATCAGGTGATTATTATCATTGCTCCTCCTGCATTTTCCATCATGTGGAGTTACTGGCGTACTGTAGTTCTCCTTGAGGGTGAAAATGAGCATGGGAATCTTGCTTGAAATGGAACCAGGTTGAGTCTACAATGACTTGCAGCAAGTAGAAGTGCTGTGGGAAGACTGAGGGAAAGGTTTTCATTCTCGGGATCACTCATAAAGAAGAGTGGAAAAGTAACCGGTGGGTGAGGAATGGCTCTAATCTTCTTTGAAGCATGCTTTAAAAAAACCCTGTATTTGTGATAAGGAGTAAATTATGTGTTATGAACTGTGTAACAATGTGGTAGAGCTGTGAAGTGTTACTTTTCAGGGAGAGAGATGAGGAATTCAGTCTTTCACATCTCAGTGAGAAAGGGTTAGTAGGTGCTGAGGCGACCATCTATTATTGCATGCTTGAAGAACAGAAAAATAATGACTAAGAACTTGTTGTTCTGGCAAACAAAGAGAGTTGAAAGTTGTAACTAATAAAATTCTGAGGACGAGGTTACCATTTATTAGAGAAATTATCTAGCAGAACAACTGATTAAAATGTTTAGTTTGTTATTAGGTGATGCTTGAAAACCAGGATGTTTCTCAAAGAAGACAGATATGCTTCAATTAAATTAGAACTGCTGAACTTAAAGCAGGAAATAAAACAGAAAAATAAATCTGGTAGCTTGGATTTTACAGGCTAATAATGAATTGGTGAATCTAGGGAAACCTCCTAGCACTGTCTCACAGTCATTAGAGAAATATTTTAGCATAAAGCTCCCATTCTCTGAATCCTTGTTTTTGTTTAAGTGCATTTACACAACTCTGAAACACTGCTTTTCTTCAAGTTGTCACAAACAGCTTGATAAGAGCTGGCTGTGTCAGCAAAAGTCCTAAGACTATAAACAAAATGGCTTAAGGGAAAACACACATCTATATCTGCTGTGTTGCTTCAACATCCTGTTACCTTGAACCTGCCATCACCTGCCCTCTGTCCTGGAGCAAGAGCACTCTCCCCAAGGATCAGTGCCCTGAGGTACTCCACCATGAATGTAGATGAATGTTAGCCAAGAAAGCTGTGTATTTCCAGCTGCAGTGTCCATCTGTAGACAGGATAGAGAAGCTGGATGCTCGTGTTGCTTTGGGGACATTATAGCAAATATTAGCTCTTATAGGACTTGCAGATTACTGTGAGGAATGTTTCAGGCTTGTGGTACTTCAATTGCAGGCATTTCTGTTCCTTAGATATGGAAGAGGGAGTAAAATGGAGGAGGTTTAGTAGCTGCAACCAGCCACCCAGCCCTGTAGCAGTTTGCCACGATGAGAACAGCCATCACCAGTGTGTTTCTGTGGTTTTGAGAAATTGCAATAGGAAATCACTCTGTGGTAGATGACTACAATTCCAAAGCTAGTCTCCCAAATTCTTCAAGTGTTTCAGTCATTATATGAAAACAATTCCATCCCTTCAATTTCGAGATGGGGAGACTATATCTCTTGTGCTGTCAGGGAGGCAATGATGATATGTCAGTGGTTTACTTTTAATTAAACTTGACTTGCTTACATAAAGAAAGGAAGGACAAAAAAACCAAAGGGTTTCTAGATTTTCATGCCTTCATTTATATGATTCTGAATGTATCCATTCAGATATCATTCCACTGTCTTGCAAGTCTTACCAAGATCTTTGCTGTGATTGAAATTTATTCTGAGATTTTTCTGTGGAAAATTTAGACCAATAATTTAGCCTAAGCAAAAAAAAATGAATAGGTTTAAGTTCCTAAAAGTATGTTTTGTAGGTCACAAAGAAATTCATATTTAATGGTCCACAGGCAGAAGAATACAGTGTTGTGTATTCTTGTAATTTGCCATGAAGGAGCAAAACTCGCTGAATTTTCCAGTGTGGAATTGAGTTCAGGTGTAGAATTTAGAGTAGTTACATTGTATATGAAATTAGAATAATTATAATTCCAATTTAATTCTAAAGATAAGGGAGAATGTATTTATATGCAACATGACATACTGCATTTTCTGAAAGCTCTTGTATTTCCATCTGGTTTTAATCTATTTTCTAGAACTCTGTTAGTGTTCATGAGAGACAGATACCAGCTATTTTATTTGTATCGGCACGTAATTGAAACGGTCCCCCCTTTCCTCCAGAGAAGGGAGTACACCAGCCAAGAATATGAAGCAGTGCTGTATCAATCTAGATGGGTCAGTGAGTTTAGAACTGTTTTAAGTGAGTAAAATTTATAGTCTATTCAGGTGCCCATTTGATCTGCTTCCCAACAGAGATAGTGGAGTTTTTTTTGGGAGGGGGTCAGACATTTCTACTGGCTTTTATCTGAGGGAATGTTTTGAGTATTAGTAAAGAAAAGGTTTTACTTCTTTTGTCTGAAATGGAAATGGAGGCACAGACATATTTCATTAAAGTTGCTGTAGTAGAAGTTGACTCTCCCTGCTGTTTAATGAATGATTACTATAATGATTAATAAACTACTATACTGTGATATTCCTGCACATTTCTGACTGCCATTTCATTACCCAATATTGAGTGAGTCCAGATGCAATCTAGAGATTGAATGCTCTAGATACAAGAATCTTGTTTTCTCATAGAAATTTCCCATAATCTGTGATTTCTAACAGTTCTGATTACCTTTATACAGTTTGGAGGTTGCCAGCCTGACACGGGCAGATGCTGATCTGGAAGCCAATCGAACACAGATCTGTAAAGAAGTGATTGCTATGATGTTGAAGAACATGGTCTTAAATCACAGCCTCTTTCCTCATGTGGAGAAGAAGATAAGTTCAGTTTTCAAAAAGCAATTTCTTGCAATGGAGAAAGAAATTCAAGAAGAGTATGAAAGGAAGATGGTGGCTTTAACAGCTGAATGTAATCTGGAAACTAGGAAGACAATGGAGGCTCAATGTCAAAAAGCAAGAGCTGCAAATGAAGAGGCTGAGGAATTAATGAAGAAAATTAATGAAAAGGTAAATCTGGTTTTAAACTGAGATATTTTGCATCACGTGTTTTTTTATGGAGATGGTTTCTCATTTAGACTACAACAGCTTAGTTACACTCTTGGAAGAGTAAAGATAAAGTTCTACAATTAAATACGTTCACAAATTCAGATGACATAATTAGGGTAGTTGTTATTAAGAAATTCTGTTTAATTCACCAGAAAATTAATTTTTCTCAACTGGATCTGTGACATCTGGAGACAAAAATGTCATTACCTTATTTGTTTTGTTGTTTTGGTTTTTTTTATGATCACTTATACTATTGCAAAGTGTAGTTTTATTTACTGTATTTTACTGCAGTGCTTTCTGAGATTTTAGACACTGTGTGAAGTATTTTGCACATTCAGAGCAGACCAAACTCCCTGTATCATAAACCTTACAGTCTAGGTAAAAAGTTTCCAATATTTATGTTCTATTTTTGAAGAAAATTAGAATATAAGCACAACCAAAGGCTGACTTCTCTCTGAAATGAGTGAAGGCAAGCAGAACAATCCATATTTTAGATAGGGCAAGGAGTGGATTTCTCTTGGAAATAGCCTTTTATTATAAATAAATAACTGAAGTCAGAGTATGATTCTGTACAATGCTCCAGTCTTCCATGTCTTTTTTCAAGTATATTGAATTTTACAATAAAACTCATTTCCCCCTACCCTTTTTCTTTATTACTATTTTTAACAACTTCCTGAAAGGATTTGGCTTGAAAGGATTGTGGTAAGTTTTGAATATTTCATCTCTGTAAACTTAAAAGCCAAAATGCCCAAGTTGATGTTTCATGCTTGTCTATTAAGAGGGTGCTTTGGTGGGAACAGATAGTGCAATCTGTCACTTACTAGTGAGGCTTTGCTTCTGGACCACAAGTGTTACTGGAATATCACAGACCCGTAATTGTGAAGACTTTTTTGACAATTCATGATTAAAGTTTTGACACAATAAGTTTGAGTTTTTTTGCTGAGTGTGACCCATTTAAGGTACTCAGTATGTTGAGGCTCTCAGGAGGAACTTTGTTCTATCAGGATGTTGCATAGAGAAAATGAATGGCACAAGGCTAGTGAACCAGTAGAATTTCTTTGATGTTTCCAGGTGAATTTTAAATTGTGACTCCGTGTAGGTCTCCATACCTGTAGGATATGCCTGTCCTGAGCTAGAGGTGCTAGAAACGCAAGGGGTGGGAAGTTACTTGTGGGCACCTTCCTAAGTATCAGGTGAACTGTACTCTGCAGGAGACCTTTTCCTTCTGTTGGATATAGAAGGAGCCAGGACCTCACTGAGGTAAGTCCTGCCTTTGCAGAGAGACGTGCCTTACTGACACTCAGTGTGTGAATCCACACTAAACATACTCGCAGCAAAGTGGCATTACTTTGTAAGAAATGTATTGGTGTTGCTTCAGTCTGATTTGTACTGAAAATCCTGAATATTAGGAGACAAGCAAACAATTAAGGTCAGTCCAGTACCTGTTCTGATCCATTTACCATATCATATCATGTTGCTGTTCACCTTTTTGTCTGTAGAAGGACCTGGTTTAATACTTGCCACAGCACGTGGTCCGGAAGGACATTCTGGAGCATAAGGGTTGGCTCACTGCCATGCTCCTGGGCAGCAGGTATACTGATACCCAGGGGATGGCAGTGGAAAACAGCTAGAGCAACAACCTCCTCCCTTTATCAGTCAAAACACGGGATTTATATTCCTTGCCTTTTTGATTAATTATTTGCGGCCTGCATTGTGTCTCTTGGGAATGAGAAGTGAAGTGTGGAGGGCAGTTCTCCTCAAAATAATTGGTATGAAATTTAGAACAAGACTGACACAGTGACTTTTAGGTAGCTCTGCCGGAATAAAAAGCATTCTCTGCTCTGTGAGACATGTATGTTTTGATTCTATAATGACTTTATGCCATCTAAGATTAAAGCTATAAATATATAATTCTTAATAGAGAGCTAAGAGGAAGTATTTCTGGCAAAGAAGCTTTTGAAGTAATTGCCATTTTCTTCTACTCCATGGTTATAAGTGTAAATCTAAAATGATGCTCTTGGATTCATTTGTAGAAAGTGATAGTTAAAGTAGATGACCAATAGGAAAAACTTACTGAGATTTTTAGTAGAATAGGGTTTTTTCTAATTTATATTGTTTTTAAATTATGCTTGTTATTATTTCATTGATACGCATTATATGACTGATTAATTTTAGCTGGATTTCAGGATTGATGAAACCTAAAAAACTAATTTCATGTATAGTCTTAGTGTGGAATTTCATGCCATTTTATATAATTTGTCTTTATAAGACTTGTGAATTCTAAAAGGACTTCTTTATGCCTTGGAAATGGTATCTGGATTAGAGACTGGCAGCTGTACAACCCTGCCATCCAAACAGGTGAAAACTATGGAAAGTGTACACTGATTCAATATTAGCCTTCACTTAAACCTGAAATGACAGTAACTAAAGTATTTGTAAAAGATATATGAGCTAGTAGCACTGATAATTTAAAATATATTGAATTCTGAAAATCACTTCTGATACATTTATTTCTTTCTTCTCTGCAGCCTGCTATAGAATACAGAAGTCTTCTGGACAAACTTCACAGACTGGAACAGGACTGCCTGAAGAGGTTCCTTTTCGTGAAGCAGGAGGAATATTTTGCAAAGGCTTATAGAGAGCTGGCTGTTATCCAAAGAAAGGAGCTCCATACTATCTTTTATACACAGATAAGAAATGCCACATTAAAGGGAGAACTGAAGTTGGAAGCAGCTAAAACATTAGTGGAAGGTTACTCTAAAATACAGGTAATAAGATGATATGTCCATTCCTAACCTAAAGACAGAATACAAACTTGCAGTGACTTTCAAGAAATGTTTTAGGATTAATGTTATCACTTTCATAACTAGCTTTTATATAAAGTATTTTAAAAATTGTAATGCCTTTATTAGCATGTCTTGACATCTGCACAACTGTGTATTGAGGTGTATACACATGTTCAAAACCCCCGAGGCATCAAGTACTCTTGTATACTTCAGTAGATGTACTGAGCCCCCCAATCCAAATATGTAGGTTATTAAAATTGTAGTGTGTCTGAAGTACTATGATTATGTACTTCGAGTGTCTGAAGTACTATGATTATGTACTTAGAGGGGTTGTGTGTCTCCAGGTTATATGGATGCTCCAGGGCTTGTGTGTCTCCAGGTTATAAAGGGATGCTGATGAAGAGTATGTTCAGGACTTTGGTTTTGCTTTCAGTTACATTTGAAACCTCATGCAACAGATTAGCTTGAGTTGCTTCCTCATGGAAGGGTTTTTTGGTTTGTTTTTTTCTGGTTGGTTGGCTTTTCCTCCATTTGTGTTGAAAACTAGTGCTCTAGATTACAGAAGTTCTGGGAATTGTTCTTCTGACTGCTTCTTGAGGAAAAGCATGATTGTTGTGGTCCTGCCAGGTTGAGGGGGGAGGTGAAAAAGCAACATCTGGAAAGTAGGTGTCAGAACATGTAAGGCCCACTCCTAAAACCTGATGCACAACATTATATACACAAGCTCCACATGGGCCTTTGTTAGAGGGAGCTGCAGCAAGCACTTTGTGCAGGAGATAGTTAAGCAGCCAGGTCAAAGAGGTAGAGAAGTGAGAAAAGTTGTGACTGTGTTTTGGCTGCTTGGACATGGGTCATGTAACTAACTGACCTTGTCTTGGCTATTTATGCTAGCAGAATGTCTGCTGTAGAGCACACTGTGTGCCTAACTCTGGTCTCTGCTCAGACCCATCTGCAGGTATCTAAACCCTTCCTGTTCCCCACTGTTGGAAGGGGAAACGTCCAATAAAGCCAGCCTGTGTGCAGTGGGCTTGGCTTTCCCTATGCTGTACTCAGCATACATGGAGGAGTTGGCTTTGAAGCCAACATATAAAAACCTTTGCAAATGTGACCCTTTATGTAATCATACAGTACATCGTAAAGAACTGTTCCAGTAACACAGGTAGGGTTGCATGTGTATCTAATTGTGAATACTTGATCAAATGACCTGTTAGCTCAGGACGTGTACTAACTGTTAAGCAAAGTACACACAGTATTGAGGTAATCAAGCCAGAAGCACAGCCAATTACTTATTTTGTTTTGTTGAAATAGCCATAATCATTTGATGTGATCATTAGGGATAAGTTGATATAAGCTTATTGTTTTACACTTGTAGGAACTCTTTACCTTTGTCCTGTTAATGAACAAATCCTGTCTGATTCTCATAGGTGTTAGCTGAAATTAGCATTACATCTAATTAAATGTTCACATTCTTTCCTGTAGGGTGACATTGAAGAGTTAATGGACTTTTTGCAAGCTTGCAAGAAGTATCATCTGAATAAAAGATTTTCTTACAGAGAATATCTTATAAGTAAGATACAGTCAAGGGATTCTCGTGTCTCTGCTCTTATAAATGCCACAGCAGCCCAGATATCAAGTCTCATTAATAAGACAGAAAGGTAAATAACTCAACTGTTTCCTTTTTCAGCCTCTTCAAAAGTCTTTTTTCTGTGTTACCTAGCAGGAGAGTTGCATAAAAATGTTATCTTTTAGCAAATTCTAAGGAAATATTTTGTAAGTGACTGACTTTGGTACTTAAATCCCAGTAGGCGCTAAGGTAAGATTTTGTTATCTGTGTCCACTTTGTACAGCACAGGTGAATTGCTGGAAACATGTAGTACCTATTTGTAATTCTGAGTTCAATGTTAACCAGACTCATGTAAGATTCTCAATGTCTTTATACATTTTTTGTGTAAATACTCATCAGACATGTGAAAACTCATACTAGAGGCCATTACAATGTGTATCAGTGAGGGTCATTTGTCTACGTGCTTTATGCACAGATATCTGGATTTAACAGAAGTTTTGATTCACTTGTGATTGAACTTGTTTGAGGAGCTGGATGTACAGTTTCTCTTTTCAAGCTGGAAATCGTGAATATTTTCTAAAAAAAGTAGATTAAGTTAATAAATAATGTAACTGTAGGATTTTGACTAGCAGGGAATACACCTGCTGCAGGGAATTAAAAGTAGATGTCAGGGAAGTTGGAATGGACTGTTGTAACACACACATTAAATTTATTTGGGATATCATACCAGACCCAGGCTGATTGAGTACTCTGTGATAGGGTACTCAGAATCAAGGTAGTGAGGTAGAAATGGTAACTCAGCAGGCACACAGAGATGTAGTTATTTAAAATTGTGTGGCTGTGAGGTGCTGCTGTCCAGGGAACTGTGTTAGTTTGGCATATGGAGAGATTACTGAGGAGCATGCCAAGGCAGCAAAATATGTCAGTGTATAGGAAAACAGCATAGCACTGCTGCTGTTGGTCCTGTGCATGCAGCTTTATTTATATATTTGAGATGTCTGTATTGATGTCATTGATGTCACATTGTAAAATGTGCATTAAGAGAACTAGATGAACACTGATCTTTGGTGTGTTTTTTCTTCTATAGTTTTAATATTAGGAAGCAGGAAGTCTGTTAAGAGCTACAAAAGATTTCATCTTTGGATGTGACAAAATAGTGTATCAGGTTTTTTTGGTATCTTTTCCTTGCTTTTCTTTTTGATTGTCCTATGTTTTGCCTCATTGGAATCATACCCTAAGTTTAGCTTGATACACCCTTGAGTTTAGTCTCGAGATTCCTTGCTTGGAGAGGGCTTCTTCCAGTAGTCTTCCACTGTTTTACTAATGTCTGCAGCCATGTGGCTCAAAGACAAAAATGTCCTGGAATAGGAAATATAATTCAGACACTTCTTTCACAGAGGATTCCCTTCCATTAGTTCATGCCTCTCTTTGGAATTGCATTACAAGGTCTGAGATGTTTTTCCCAGATGATGTGGTAGTGTGAAAAGCCTCTGTGAGAACTGCACTCTGTGACCATTGCAGTGAACAACTTGGACTTCTTGACCTGGAAAAATCGGTTTCACCCATTGTTTATAATGCCTGTTATTGCACCTAACAGTCACAAAGCAAATCAACTATAAAACAGAAAGGAAAGGCGAAGTGTTTGTTAATTCAAGACCTCATGGATCTCATCCTCAAAAAAGTACTAAATGTATTGAAAAAGCATCCAAAACCCCTCAAACTTCCAAAAGCAACAGCATTATTACCAAGATGAAAAATTAATTTTTCTATCACTCTCCTATTAAACTTTCAGAGTATGCATTGCTTGGTTGTTTGTGGACAAAGGACACGTGCCAGTAGTTAGAGATATCATTTGTAGAGAAGCAATCCCATTTGGCTTTCTGGGCCTAGAACTTGTTATTTTCCTGTAACTTCCCACACCTGCTGCAGCAGTAATTCCTCTCAGACAAATGTTGGCCAAATGCTCATAATTCATTCTTTAGGTGGTGTGACTATAAAACTTGAGAATGTAGTACCTCAGTTTATTTGCTAGTGTTTTATTTTCTACAGGCAAACTGAAATATCCTAGTATAACTCACAAGAAATTCATAATTGCATAACATAGGCTTGTATTTCAGTTTCTAACTAGAAAGTGATTTTGGGAATGTTTCCAAATTGGAGCATTAAAATTTGAGCAGCAAGAGAAGTCTGGTCTGAATAGCACTTTAAATTTCTAGCAATGGTATCCTTTTAGTTTTCACTTTATCATTGAATCTGCTTGTCTGAATATAGATACAGCTCTGTCTTAATCTATTTTGTCCAGCTTTATAATAGAGTGCCTTAAAATTACTGTTATAAATGGAATTCTAAAATACAAAACTTAAATGGAGACGAGTAAAAAGATATAGATTAGATATGCCACAGATAGATGTAGTGATAAACCAGCAGATAGATATTGAGGGGAGAAGTCTTCTAAAAATGAAGCTTTAATAGTATGTTTAACAATTATCAAATAGCAAGGCAATTTCAAATTAACATGAAAAGGATTCTGTGTGGTTAGAAATGAGTGTTACAAAAAGCAAAAAACCAAACCAGTTCTAGGGAGGGTTGTGAACATTTTAAATAAAATAAGAGCAGCCAGAGTTTACAAGCTGCATTTAAATAAAATTTCCCATTTGTCTGAGCTAGTTTTTGAGTACTCAGTGTCTTTTGAAAATCAAGTCTGGACTGCAGTGCCAAAAAACAGGAAATGAGAATTTAAAATATAATCTGTGATCATGGATTTGAAGGATGTCTACATAGGCTCTGTATGTTTTTTTCTTAAAGAATAATGGGCAAAAGGGGAATACTTGAAGCAATGTTTATCTTGGGTTGTTCTTGCTGTCAACAGAGGTGCAAGGTTCTTGATGTTTTTAAACTATAACAACATTGTGTTATTCTTTTGCCAATATCTTCTTGTTCACACTAAATTTCTATCTTGTTCAGTCTCTTAAAAATTGAATTCAGTTCTTGTGGCTCATTAGGTAGAAACAGCTGCAAGCTCCTTTATAAATTTCTCCCAAAACTTAAATTTTTTAAGACTTCAAGAGTTCCTGTGTATTGTGTTTCTAAAGTGGTCAAAAGAATGAAGTAAGCACCTTATGCTGATCTTAATAATCACCATTTATATGGACCTTGTCCATAGAAAGTAGTTTTCCATTGGTGTCTAGACTGGACATTTCTGGAAGTCAGCAGTAATCAATATGAAGTTTTATAATCATCTCTTGAAACCTTTTCTGCTTGTAGTACTCTGCTTTGTAGGGAGGGCATTTATTGCCATGTATGTTGACATGAATTGTGATCTGGACAACAGCAAGATGCCAGTTCAGCAGGTGAAGTCCTGTTGTAGCTGGAGTAGCATGGGCAGAGTCACACAAGTTCTCTCTGTGTAATTTCTGTATGGTGATGTGATTCAGTCCCTGTGTACATTCAGGCCCATACAGCTTTTCTGCTTCACATCTATCTCCCTTTTGCTTTCGGGATGCTCCTGTTACTTCTCCAGCTTTCATGGAACAATTTTCCTTTGCTGGGGTCCAGCATCCCTTAGTCGATTCTCTGTAGCATCAAATACAAATACTACCTTTCACTTTGGTGCTGTCACTCCTTAATGTGTTTGCTTTTGTTCAGTAGAGGGCAGTCAAGGTGTCTCTGATACCTTGCACCTGTGATACTGCTGCTGTTGGCTACACGCCACTTCTGTACCGTCCTTGGTGTTTACTGCCTTTGGGAGGATCTCCCCTTAAACATCCCTGGCATTACCACTGTATTTTCCTTCATTAAAATTCTCTTTGTTCAAAGACATGTGCCTGCACATTTATTCAGTGGTTAAATGTCTGGTATGCTGAGACCTGAGGCAGTTTATCATACAATCTATACTGTCTCACTACCTTTCTCCTCTCCTTTTGTTTTGCATTTCTGTTTGGAGTCCTTTGAGACTAGGACATATTTTATTCCTGATACTGTAATTGTTTTTATATTGTATTTATATGGAGTCAGAAATGAAGGTGTCTTGCCAGGACTGAGCCTTTTAGGAATTACCATAACACAAATCAATATAAGTTGGCTCATAAACTTGTGGCATACTGCATCACCTACAGTTTCAGCTGTGGAAATACTGGATCTCTAAATAAACCAGCCAAAATATTGTACACCCTTTTTTTATCCTAAAAATAGGTTGCTGTATATCATCTTCCTATCATTCTGTGTTGCATGACTTTTCTTAAACTTTGATTTGCTGTGTAGTTCCAGCACATCTATCTTTTTCTATTGCAGACTCTTTTCACTGCTCTGGACAGGGATTTTAATTCAATGCAGCAAGCCTGGGTTTATTTCCTCAGTACAAGAAAGGATGAAGGTGTTAAAAATAATATCTTTGTTATTATCTTTCCTTACTTCCTCACCATAATTAATTACTGTTATTCACGTATCTTTTGTCTCAGGTTCAGTCAAAAAGGAGGGGCAGGACTTAGAGTTACCAAATATGGGCTAAAAACTTGGTGCTGTTTTTTGGGAGTTTCTTGACATAACTGAATTTTAACATTGATTAGCTTCAAGGCAGAAATTACCTGGCCAAGAATGATGCTTGGTGGATTACTCTCAATATACTGAAAGGTATTTTAATCCTCTTTGCAGATTAAAAAAATGCAATAGATAGACCTTGAAAATTCTCTGCAAAAGGATGATCTCTTTCATTGACATAACTGTGATAAAGCACACATGAGTTTCTATCCAGCACATTCATTATATAGGAGTGATGTTTCATGGCTTGCTCAGATAGTTGTGGATGCTTGAGCAGAAGATGGGGAGGTGTGAATTACGAGATCTGGCCACCATGGTTACAGTACAGTGAGTGCAAACAAACTAATTTGGTAATCTTCTGCTTTATTTTAGATTTTATTTTGAGGATTTTGGTTCAATTAAGTTGTCACAGTATCCATAAATCCTAATAAACCAAAATGAGACTCTCCTTTCTGGAGAAGGGCTTGCTTATCACATTTAGATGCTACTTTAATTTGGGAATTGGGACAGGTATCACATTGGAATGAAACCTTGAAAGCCCTGATTCATTTGAGTCCTGACTCTGTAATGTTCATGTATTCGAAAAAATGGGGACTGCATAGGTAAACTAGGGGGTATGTGTATAATATCCAGGTTCAGGTCAGGAACTGGTGCTTTCAATTCAAAGTTTCATGCTGACCTTTTTAACACCGCATTTTTTAAGCCCACTGTGCTTAATAGAAATGGTAACTCACAAATGTCCAACAGTCTGGTCTGAAGTAAGATGTTATTTCATTCTTCTGTTGAATAAGAAAGACTTGGGGAACTTGTGTAAATGTAATAGCCGGTCAGTTCTGAAATTCAATTTGAGTTTGTGGTAAGGGAGATTTTTTTAACTGTTGCAGGGACTGTTGATATCTTGTTTTCTCTTTGACATTAAATACTATAACAACTGGAGGTAGAGCATAGTCTTGTACACTTCCCCTTGAAAGCACTGTGGGATTATGACTGACAATTTGCTGTTTCAAATAATTGAATTTTGCTATTATTTTGTAATTTTTATAATTATTCTGATGTAAATTTAGTAGGAGGTATGAATATCAATATTCTGTGGTTATGACTGCTTTGTCTACTAAAAATAATTTTTTGTTCTTTTTACTTGATTACGTACTTTAAAGAGAAATTTGTTTTTAATGAGGAGTTGTAAAAGATATAAGGCATTTCAGGGGCATTAAATGAAAAAAATAAATGTGCATAATATATAAGTTTTAAAATGTCTCATTTGAATGTCACATTACAAACTGATACATAATTGTTTTTGGACTTGCATGTCCTTCCCATCCGTCCTTCCTGTCAATCCTTCCCATCCATCCATCCATCCATCCATCCATCCATCCATCCATCCATCCATCCATCCTTCTTGCTATTTCTTTTTCATACACCTTCACAAACTGCCTCAATCCTGTCCTCCTCTCTGAGATTGTCCTTTGACTGTCCCCTTCCTTGTTTGATTCTCCCAGGTGTCACTGCTACAGGAAAAAAGATCATTCTTTGTGTCTGTTTTGCTGAGCCTTTTTGTGGTGCTAATTGCCTCAAATACCCTTTTACTCTTAAGAATTTGGGATAACAGCCTTCAAACACTGTTATTGCAGAGCAGGTCATCTACCTGAAAGTGATTTGGGAATCCTGTTGGACAGAGCTGAGACTGAAATTAATTTTATTAAGCAGAAATTTGATCATGATTTAAAAGAAGAAAAGCAGAAGCTTTGCCAGAAACTCATTACCAAGCGAAGGCGAGAAATGCTGCTGCAAAAGGTAATTATTTTCAATGTATTTATTTTCATAGGGCTTATCAAGAATTAGAAATTGAATTAATTGAAATATAAAATGTAGTTCTTACAACAGTGGTCAGCACTGCCAGGAGCATGGTTTAAAATAGTGCCAGTTGGTTTTAGCTGTGTACCACCATGTTCTGTATTAGTCATGCAGTAATTCATAGCTGTCCTTTTAGAAAAACCTTCAAGAAAGTAACTTAACTTCAGCTTAGCTGGAGACACTTCTGAAGCTTCTGAACTCCTCTATTTAGTGTGATGGGAACCAGGGGGTCATAACAATCTTCTGCAGCATGCTGACAGGCAAAAGCCAGCTCAGGTGCAGGAGCTGGTGAGGGAGATGACTCAGATAACAGTCACTGTTTTCTGTGGGTTTCCTGGCCATGTGTGACCTGAGTGAATTCAGTAGCACAGTTAAAATTCAGCTGCTAACCAAAACCATTTAAAAGATGCTTTACCTATGGTTGCTTGTGGTAGAACTCATGTCACCTCAGCCGTCTAAAAATCAAAGGTGACTCCAAAAGATAGATCATCTCAGAATGTAAGGTGACTTGCAGGTGATCTGACAGGGAGTTGTTGTCCAAAGGTAAATTTCAAAGTTACCTTTCTCTGCCTAAAAGATGTAGAAAAAACTATTTTGGATTAAGTGGTAGTTCTTAAGATGATCCAAGTTAGGCGAGGTTGCTTTTGTCTTTTGCAGGATGTGTTTCACTACTTTGTGCTCTGTAACAGATACCAGTGTGAGCACAGACAGCTGGCCTGGTGATGGTGACATCATTCATTATATTTATTCTCAGTGTAGGTAGTTTTGGTTTAGCTTTCCAATAATACTGCAAGGTGGGAAAAATAAAGAACACCAGAACAACAAAACACTAAACTTTTTTTTTGTAATTTTTTTAAAATTCTTTTCCTTCTTTGCTATTTGATCTAGATTCACTTCTAAAATACTGCCGGATCACTGAAGTTCAGCTAGCTGAGATCATGTCAAACCACGTGATGATGCATTTGTTTAGGTGTTAGGTCTTTTATCTAGCAACAGCCCTTGTATCTAACACTAGTCAGAGTTATCACAGACCTCCTAGGTGCTCACAAAAGCCAATCTGTTGAGGGCTAGGTAAGCCTCTGGACACTGAAAAGCAGTTTCAAGAACATGGAAAAGCAAAAGTATGAAATTTTACATTGCTATGAAATTCATATTTAAGGAGTTAAAATTTGAGATGTTTGTTTTTCTTAACTTTGCTCCTCCTTTTGGTAAATGAATCAGCAGAAAGAGCATCAGAAGGAGCAGCTGTCACTTGGAGACCCCTTCAAAACTACTACTGAGATCTCTCACTACCTGAGACACTGGAAGAATCTTCTGAGTGATCACACCATTGAATTTGAGGATCTTACTGAAAAGCTTGACAGTGAAGCCAGTGAAGAGCTGAAGGAGCTTCTATTTAGCGTAGCAGAGAAAGCCATTGAAGAGCTTAAACGTGTTCACTGTGGAGTGTTTGTACAAGAAATGGTCAAGCTCAATGTGCCAAAGTTGTTCCTGCTAGAAGCTGTGGAGGAGCACAAAAAAGAGATGGTGGTTAAGCATGCACAGCTTGAAAGGGAGGAACATGACAAGAGCATGGCTGCTGAAGAGCTGCTTCAGCTCACCAGGCAAAAGCTAAGCCAAGAGCTGGAAACGGGCATCTCAGAACAAAAAACAATAAGGAGCTGGGAACAGTCAATATTCATGCAAGTATCTCTCTGCACTCTTTTCTTAGTTACTGTGGCAAATAGAGGAAAACAGTTTTCACACCTGTCCAGTTGTAATTCCTAATGATCAGTTCTCTGTTGGGCACTTAGGAATTGATTTTTTTTTTCCAAGCTCTCAGCCCATGCAGTGCCAGTGAGTGAGCACTGCAGTTGAAATCCCAGGAAGCAGCAGTCTTGAAGCTAAAAACATGGAAATAAGTGTTTTATACTTCCATTCATTCCATGGGAGGTATCACTTACACGTCTTCCCATTGTTTCAGTCTGTCATCATTATTCTTAGTCCCACACTTTGGAAATGCCAATTAGTCAGACCTAATTGGCCCCAAGTCCAAGTTCAATATATTCTTTTCAGCCACAAGTCAAGCCTTACTCATCAGGTTTTTTTTAAGCTTGGGCACAGATAGTCCCTAAGTACAAAGTGCAGAATCTGCCTGTGTAGCTCATGGCTCCACGTGTCAGACTGGGCTGCTCTGGCCTCCAGACAGAGTGTCCCTGGCACCAGGCCCTGAGCCAGACAGGTATCATGGCAAAGGCAGTGCTGCAGAGAGGAGTTCTGGCCCCTGGAAGTGTTATGGCCATTGCTGTCTGCAGTGTAACCCTGGGGAGTGGGAAAGCAGGTGGTGGCCTTGCCGCAGTTAGAAGACATTGTACAGGGACAGCCCATGGCTGTGGCCAGGAGTGGTTGTGCCTCTCACAGTGGGCAGCAAGGTCCCTGAGAGATCAATGTTCATGAGTGTTTCTTCTTAGCTTTCAAGTACATTTATGTCTGGTTGTTGCATTGCCTGAATATTAGCAGTACTACATTTCCTATACAATGTCTATTTAATAAGAGATATTGTTAGAGACATGGGAACATGAAAAAAGAAAATTGCAGCTTTAGGGGAAGCAACTGGAACAGGCAAAGCTGTAATAAGTTGTGTAGCTCTGAAATGTACCATGCATAAGAGATTGAACAGGGAGGGAGAAAAAAAAAAGAGAAAAAAAAAGACACCGGTAAAGTTTCTTTAAATAAAGTTTCTCCTTTATACCTGTTCTTCAAAGCAAAATAAATTTGTATGAGCAGTTTTATCCAGACAGAATCTTTGTAAGTTTTCCTGCCACATGTTGTAAAACCATACAACAGGAACATAAAAAGAAACTACTCATTGCATTTGCTTTGCTGAAGAAAAAATTCCACTTTTTCCCATTGTTGTGATTCTAATTTTGAGGGCTTTGTATTTTATTCAGCATTTTAAATACTTTTCTGTGAGTCATTTATATTTATTTTCTAGCTTGTCTTAACTATCTCTTGTTTACATTGCTGAGAGCAGACCTGCAGGAATGTGGAAGTAGATTGTATGACCCAGCAGACTTTCCTGTTTCTAACTTAGAATTCCATAATAATTGTGTTCCAAGCTGCAGTGTGCCTGTCATATTTGTTAGATGCTGTCTTTATTTGAAGCAGCAGTAAGCGGTTTGGTTTTTTTTCCAGGAAAATGCAGGAAAATGTATACCAAAAAATGCAGCAACAACTGTCTTATCAATAGCCCTTTAAAATCTGTCTCACTTATTTTTTTCAGTCCATTGTCTGTTAGTTATGGTATTTTGATGACAGATGCCAGCTCTCATGCTTGTGTTCTCATCTGCTATCTAGTGTTCACAAAGCAATATTTGGAATGATAGCTTTTCATTTTTGTTGCTTATCGAAGAGACCATGGGTTACTCCAAAACATTTATGAAGATTATTAATGCTCACAGTCCTTTTTAAATATGGACATGACAAACCTCTATTTGCTATATTTTATTTCATAGCTCTCTATATCTAGCTATATACATGGATTTATAGCATGGATTTTCTTCCATGAGTCTAAGATAAGATGAAAAATTGTTAAGTATACTATAAATGATTGTTTGGAGTAGTCTTGTCTTACATTAAACAACTTTTTGAAGGGAAAAAACTCATGCATTAAAAGTTTATTAACTGTTCTTTGCTGAATCAGTAGAAAGAAAAAGGATTTCTAAATTCGAACATTTTAGTGAAATGATGAGGTAGTATAGGCCTGGTATACATTAAATAAAAGTATCAGTACTAATGAAACATGCAGTATAATACATTTTTCAATGAAAGATACTCTTTAAGAAACACGCTGTTCATGTTTTAAATACAAACATTTTTTGTGGAATAAAAGAAATTTCCAAACAACAGTATGCTATTTTTTTTTTGTGAAATATTCTTCAGGAAATAAGATAGACGAGGTAAGAAGATGAATGTAGTCTATAGTTAATCAGAACTGAGCATGCTTTATTTTTAAGTCAGCTTCAGCTTAACCTGATGATCAGTTCCTTAGAGATGTGTTTAGAACCTTATTTCTACAAAATAGGAACTTTTAGTAATTCAGATTACTCTTAAAATGTATTGCATTTTTCAGACTGCAAAGAGCCTTTTTACAAATAACAGCTGGAACGCTTGTGACCTGTTGATGGAAGGGATTACATATGGGTTTATAATAAAGAGAGATTTTTTTTTGATTTTTTTTTTTCCTTCACTGTAGCTGTGACTGCTGAGTGCTGGGAAACAGCACAGGGAGGCCTTATGGGAAGCTTTTATCTTGATTTCAGCTGAAGTTCAGGGATTGTGTTGTCTTAAGTGGTGGGAGGATTCTATGCATAGGAAATGTGCTAAAAATATTAATTTATTTTTAAAATATTCAAAAGCTGTTTTCCTTTGAAAATGAAGTTTTACAGTCCGGGAAATTCTGTTTGTAGAATTTAAGGTATCCTCAAGGGTATTTTGTACATGCTGAGCAGTTCATTGCTGTGTGGAATCACTAACTGATATGTGAAATAGATGATCACTGCTGAGTAAAGTGTTTGTGTGCATGTCTCTTATATTTTATGCAATATTTCCTAAATCACTGAACAGCAAATGGCTCTTGTGCTTTTTTAACAGGCAGCTTCTAAGTTTACCCCTCTCACTTTCAGAAGAGGAGTTGCTTAGAATGAGGCAAGAGTTGCACTGCTGCTTCTCTCAGGTGGACAGCAGCTTGGCTTGGCCCAAGATAAGAGCAAGAACCTTGCTTCAGGCTTTTGAAGTGGAGAAGAGGGACACCAAGGTGCTGAAAGTTGAGCAGGATTTAGCAATGACCAAAAAACAGGTGGGAGCAGCGTGGGATCAGTGTGGGGATGGGGAAGGGGCTCCTGGGGGTACCTGGGACTGCTGGCATTGGCTGCAGATCTGGGACTATAGCTTCTTCTTAGGTGTGACAGCAGTGGGCACTTTTCCTGTCTGCATGGACCAGTGCACGTAAAGATAATTGTTTGGGCAGCAGTTGAATAAATAGGTTTTTTCACATACACTTGTATTTCTGCTGCTTTTGTGAAAGTTTTGGGAGTTTCTGAAAAGGGAACTTCTACACTGGTTTTTCTGTTTAGGAAAGTTCCCGAGTAAGAAGGCCTTTCTTGACAAGAAATTAGGCTTGATTTCTGTTTCTTGTTTCCAGAAGATATAAGTGTATGCAGACAGTTTGGGGTTATTTCCTCACATTTAAATATGTAGAAGATGAGGCATACTCAAAGTTAGAGAAATATTTCCAGCAAGCAGTCGATCTGCCTATCAAATCTAGCACTTTTTAAAGAACCCTGTGAGGGGTGTTTCATTCCTTCAGTAAGGTGTAAAAGCTGTGAAATCATAAATGGTTTTCAGTTCTTATAAAGTACAGGGGCAAAAAATGTTTCCTGTATTAGTTGTGTCTGATACCATCTTAAAAAGGAGGAGTTGCCCTTGCTTTGTTTTGGTTCAGTTATGTTTTCTGAACATGTAAACTACATTGGGTTAATTGTGCTAGGAATTAGCCTAGTTCAAAGCTTTAACAGTTTCTAAAGTACTAGAGGAGGGAAATGACTTTGCAAAACCTTAGAGTTGAACAGATGTTATCATTTCCCCAAGAGTACACATACTTAGTTGGTATTCTTGTAAAGAAATAGAAAGGTCAAGAATAATTTGATTACATGGAACAGTGCTTCTTAATATTATCATGGTTCATTTGTGATTCATAGACTGTGTGTTGAAAACAATGTAGATCTTAAATTAGTATTCTTTGTTCATTTTAACTGTGCTGAGGAGACAATGTATCACTTAAAATCTTCTCTTATTATCACTGCTAAAGCTTGTTTAAAATCAAATTTATATGCTATGAGTTTTCATGGAAAGGATGAATATATAATTCTACTTGAAATATTTTTTTTAAAAAAAATTCTAACTTCGAATGTTCAATGAATCTTCTGAATGAATAGGCAGCACCTTCCTTCATTTCAGGTGTACTTTCTCAATGAAAGTCATATTTGCCCAGTGTTTCATTATTTGGTGGATGTGCCAATAATAGCAAGTAATAATCTTAACATTAGCGTCCTCATTTACCTCTAACAAGGAATTTTTACTCATTTTGTTACAGCAGCATTCTAAAATGGGAAAAAAAGGATCCAGGAATAGAAATAAATTAGATATTCTGAAGAAATCTTTACAGGACAAAATTTTAATTTACGAAGACTCAGTGAAACGTGAAAATTTGAATAGGGTAAGTACAATCTTTCCTGGACTGAGGTCAAGACCTGGATCTTTAGTAATTAAAGATTGACAGTATTCTATCAATGTGAATAAGAAGCAGAGAAAAGTGTAAGGTGCATGATGCATCTCCCTACTATTGCCTGCGTTTATCAAGGTGTTGCATTTCATGCTTAATAGTTTTTGCTTTATTTTTATTTTTGCATTTTAGTTACAGAACTGGTTTAAAGTCTCAACCCTTTTTCTTCCAATGGTTTTGGGGCTTGATGTGTGCAAGATTACACGGCTTCCCTAGATCCTGTGGTTTTCTAGGAAGACTTTTAAAACTTGTTAATTCAGAAATTATTTCACTTTTATGTGAAAGCAACACATTGTTTTGGTTGTAGATGATAAAAGCAAATATATGTCTAGCACCGAGTCTTTGAAAGCGAGAGCAGATGTTTGGGCAAGACTGCAACAAGAAGGCAAGTGTGTTCTAGCACTCTTTACTAGTTTAATAACTAGTGTTTTGAGACTGCTCTAATCCTTTAATGGAGGCATTTAAATTTTACCTTCAATACCTAATGCCCTGATCTTCAAAATTTACATGGTTTTGGTACTACCTTGAATGTACTTCAGATTATGAGCTAAGCTTTAGAGGCAAAAAAAGTACTGAATTCTTGTCTGGTAAATGTAAGGCAGTAAATACTGCTTTACATTTTTATTAGAATTTTGTTTTAAAATAGGAAGGTTAGCTTTACCTTACTTGTGCCTGTTCTTTAAGAGAGAGGCCAAACTTGATAGGATAAATACTTTTCAGTAGAATGCAAATGTGAGTATCTGCTCTTGGTGGCCACAGTGGTAATAAACTTGACCAAAACTTTAAAAGGTTTTAACATTTCTCCTTTGATGACTGTGGTTCTTCCATTCTGTCACAGGCAGTAGTTATTTGAGCATTGCTATTAAAATACTTAGTACTGGAAAATTCTGAAAATGCTGATTTCTGAAAAGGATTTTGGTTGGTTTGGGTTTTTTTGGTGTGCTGTGAAACCTATCAGATTAGATTTGTCAGGATGAAGAAAGAATTTAGAGATGGAGTGAGGGAAAACCTTGGGCTCTGATATCCAAGAGTGTGTGTAGATGGGCATGTGAGGCAGCAGGTAGTATCAACACCTGAGAGTTGCAGCTCTCAGGACTTCATGTGCTTTCTCTCTCTGTGTCTTCTCTCTCTTACAATCCAGCTATTTGGGCCCACATAAATAGTACAGGGAGAGAGAATAAGACCAAACTGGCAATTGTTTACTGTCATTTGAGGATTCAGCTACCTAAATGTTAGATACTCAGTGTAGCCGTCAGTGTCTAACCTAGGCATCCACCTTACATGTCAGTGCAAACCCATATTTTAGTATATGAAACCTACTGAGAGCTATCTTTTCCTTTTTGAGTGTGAAGGGAGCTTAGGGCAACAAGCTCAGATGGAAGCATCTAAAGAAGGTAATTGCAGCTGGCTGCTATACACATTGTCCCACAGAAAAATAGTCACAATGCAGTGTCCTTGTCTGCCAATGTCAGTGGTACAGCATGGAGAGCTCATCAGTCACACTGCATTGGATTGTGTGCCTGCACATGCTGCACTTGCCTTTCACCCTTGAATAGTTCCTGTGGATGTTCCATCAAATGTGTGGCAGCAACAGTTACTGAGTTAAATCACTTTGATTTTATGCTGTTTGATGTTGATCCAATCCAGTTTTAATCTTATTTGAAATCCATTGCCAATAGACTTTTGATTTACAGTTTAAATTTGTTTTATAGAAGATTTTTCGTTACTTGCTCAAAGAATAGTAGGTTGAATATCATCAGTCAGCATTAACTGACACTTGCCAGTTTGGAACTAAATACAATCTTTCTATAAGTTTCATATTTTTCTAAGCAAAAGTGCATATTTTATATTTCCATTTAACTATAGGTACCCATATACTTATTAGTATTTCTAGCTTTTAATTTTATTATAATAAAAATTATATAGACCCTCTGTTTTGGGTTAGCATTTAATATTAATGTTTTGACTACCCTAAAAGAAAGCCTGATCTCTTTACAATATTTTACTGTACTATAGTTTTTTTTTTTATTACAGTAAAAGCTTGGAATTGAAGGTTAAAAGCACTTCTTGAAACAGTGCATTACATTATAAGATAACGGCATCGATTTACTTTGCTGTCATAATCCAGCTTGTTAATTACAGAGTGCATGTAAGAGTTTCTGTTAATCTTTCTATCTTTTTTGTTTTGTTTTTTAGATTAAGTATGAGTTGCAGCTTGAAAAAGAGTGTCACCTGCACAATCTGGAAAATAAACTTGGAGAGTATATTGCTTCTTTAGCCTTTCAAAAGACTGTTAAAAAATCTAAAATGCTGGAGCTGTATACGGCTATCATAAATGTGCAAGCATTGCTCTTTAAACAACTGAACACATCAAAAACCCTGTCAAAACTGGAATGTATTCAGATTTTAGAAGCACATAATCCTGTAAGTAATGTAGTTGTTAAAAGAAAATAATCCTGTTAGGAAACAACAACTATTAGAGGGTCTTTGATTTAGCTGCTGGTTTGCAGCTTCTGGTGGCTCAGACTTTTAATTTCTGTGAGTATGGGCACTCTAATGTATCCAGCTAAAGACATAAAGAGGAAAGCCAAGGAAGACTGTGTAGTATTATTATTTTATTTTTGTTGTATGCAGTCAGAAAGGGTAGTATTTTGGTGGCTATTTAATATTTGATTGAAAGAAAGATAGTTGAGAAGTGATTTGGACTCATGGCTGGAAGAGTGAATTGTTGTGTCTGTCATATAGAATTGCTCATGTTACAATGCTGTCCATATGCAAAATCCATAACCACATGATATACTTCAGTTGTCAAGTTTTTAGACATTATCTATATAGCCTCCTACCTATCTCACTCCAGGCACACTCATGCAGTTTAAATAGTAGAAAATCTGGAAAAACCTCTTCCCTTCACCATAATCATTACATAGTTGATATGTGCCAATTTTCTAATCCTTTTTTAATACTTCAGTGCTCCGTTTTCACAAGGACTTTTTTTTTTCTGCATCTGCTATTTGAAACCATCCAAGTGAGGCTTGGAGAGAGCACTGGAGCAGAACAAACAAAATGGGTTTTTGAGAGAAACCTCTTTTCTAGAGGGCATCATTAGACAGCTATTGCTAGGACAAGGAATTTTTCCCTTGTTAAATTTTAATGTAGCCGTCTCCACAGAGTTTCTCATAGAGTGGTGGTTAGGATGCTTATAGGCCTTCAGTTTTGGTTCAATTTGTGTTTGATCTGCAGGAAGTAGTGAAAGTTGTATGTAGGAAGAGTTTTTTGCCTTTTATGCCATAAGTGTGAGGGGGCTTTTCAGAGAAGTTGCTTTCACCTTCTCTGTCATCGAACTGGTGAAAGAAAAGGATTGAAGAAGGGGCAGAAGTGAGGCCTAGAATAGCTAACATTGGATTAAATAGAGCTGATGAGGCAGAGGAATAGATTAAAATTTAGCATTTTCTCCAAGGTACAGGTTAGGAAGTGGGGCTTCGAGATAGTAAGCAACGTAAAGGTTGAGGTGGGACAACAGTGGCATTGGAAATGGGAATATGAAGCCTTCCTTCTGGTGTCTAGTTTGACTTTTTGACCAAAGTTAGATCTTTAGCATGGGGGATCCAGTCCCCTGAAGACTTTGGATTTTAAGCTTTTCATTTTCAGAACATTTTATTTTAACCCTAACTTTATCAGACTAATTATGAATTACTGCCTTTTAACTTAAATTCCTTTGATATTAGCTGTTAATTTTGTATAATTAAAACTAGTTAGTCTGAGTTTCTAAAGCTGTTTCGGTATTTTGCAAATGAATTTGAATGGTGGTGTTCCTTAGGTTTGATCTCAGCCATGCTGGCAGTGTACTTGCTGGATGTCCTCTACAGTGGAAGGTTTCAGAGAGCATTAACTTTAAACACAATGAAAATTGAGTTGTAGGTTTCCTCATTGTACTTATATTCAGAATGTGCCAGTCATGTTTACTGAAGCTGTGCAATGAATTGAAAACTGTAATGACTGCAAGTGGCTGGGTAGAATAAGAAATTAATAATGTCAGAAAATCTGATACCATTGTCTTTTTTCTTCATTCCAAATGAAATTTGTTCTTTCAAGTTATAACTTAACTTCTTATTATCATGCATTTTGAACCTCTAGGAGATTGAAGAACTTAACAGGAAATTGGAGTATGAGATGATGCATAAGGAGTCAGCACAGCAGCATCTAATGAGTAGGCAGAGGTGGTTTCTGGATGGTTTGGGACTCTCAAATGAAGCTGTGGACACGAATGCAGAAAGACATGTGACAGTTCTGTTAAGACAGGCCATGAATAAATGTAAACAATTTATAAACCTGTACCAGCAAGGGTAAGTTCTTTGGTCTCAGGTTTTGCTGTGTTACTGCAGTTCATACGGACCTTAAGATATTCTGGAGAAACAGCAGGAGGCAGCTTCTGCTGTGCTGGGGAGGGACCATGCATCTGTGTTTGAATGCTGCCTTCTTGTGCTGTGGCCCAGAGCATAACTAAGGAGTTGGGAATATTGAAATAAGAAACATGAGATAATGATAACTTAGTAGCATATAAATTGTGTTGTGTGTTGCACGGCAGTCACCATTTTTTTCACAGGGATAGTGGAAAAATAATGACACTCTATATCATTAAGGAGGAAAATAATTTTATTCCTATTACTTTGTCTCCCAAGAAGATAAGGAGGGACTTCAGGGCAACATGATCTGTTGGGGTCAGAGGAAATAGCTGAGACAATTTAAATTGAATTTCCATCTCCATTGTCATACTGTAGACTGAATTCCCTGGCACACAATTACTTTTGATGAGATGTATAAACTCCTCTTCAATTTCAATTTTTTCTGGCCAGTTTTTAAGTAAAGATATCTGTGACAAATAAAATGACTCTTGGTAAGTATATAGAAATAACTGTCTTGTCATAAAGGCTGACTAGCAAAAATGAATGATAATTTTCAAAATTGCAGCCTATTTTTATTGGGATTACAGGAGGTAGAAATGGCATTGCCATGTGAATTGCACAGTATTAAAAGCCTAGCACATTTCAAGCTTCATGTAACATCCTCGAAGTGTGCTTTCCATTAGAAAGCATGTTTTCCATAAAACCACTGATATATTAAAAATGGCTGTGATAGTGGTAAATCTGCTTTAATTCTGAAAAGGCTGGAGCTCTACTCAGTTTAGATGAACAGCTTTCCCACTGCAGAAGTAAAGAATCAGTAGAAGATCAGATAAACCTCTGCAGGAGTGCAGGAGTATTCACAAGCCAGTGAACCTCTCAGGGAAGCCTTCAAAGAAACTGCCACTAGGCTTGTCTTGAAAACCTACTGGAAGAAACAAGTTTCACGCTTCTGTATATTGCAGGATTTGTACATGATGTCATCATGTTATGGTCTAGAAAAGAAAAATAATCACCAGCAATGAGGAAGTTAACTGTTTAATATCCTATTTCAGCTGCAAAAAGATCCACAACTTGCCTTAAAGTGTGGTGATGAGATTTAGGGAGGAAAGAGGGAAGAGGATGGGGACAGGTTGAATCACATTGCTTTGGAGTAGTTCCAGATTTGAACTGCGTGCAAGAGCATAGCTTTAGATTCTGCTCTGGTGTTTGCTTGGGGGTTCAGGGAAGAAGGGAAAAGAGTTTGGCATCTTTTAGAAGTTAGGCTGCTCATAGCAGATTTGCTGGCAGACAGATATGTTTCCTGAATGGGTAACCTTCAGATTTTGTTTCCTATAATACAGTCATTGCACCTGGGAAGATTTCAATGTTAATTCTGTCTTTCACTTCAGCTTGAGAGATGAGCAATGGAATTGCGTGGTGTTTGAAGATCTCCTGGAAAATATAGAAACGAATGCATTTTCGGCAATTTATAGTCAGGTAAGCATGAAATTGAACAAAGCTTCCAAGTTTAAATTGCAGTTGTATCTGGATATCAGCTTTTCTTCTTTTTTGGGAACCATTAGATGTATTTACTCTCTGCTAGTAGTTGCTACTAGTTTGCAGACTATACTGTCAGGCACTTCACTTAATTCTGAGCTACTTTCAGCCTTTTGAATTTTACCGAGTTATACTTCTGTTTGTTCATTTACAAATCCTTTCAGGGTTTGTCCTATTGCATTTCATTCTGTGCAGAGCTGAAGTGCCTAATTTTTTGCTTAACAGACAGATTTACAGTTGGATTTTCATGTATTGAAAAAAGGATTTTGATTAGATTTTGATGAGTGTTAAGAATGATTTGCATTGATTATGTTTCAAAATTAAATGATAGCAGGACTGGTAGTTAAATTTTCTAGTATCATTACTCATACTCGTTTTCAAAATGAGTGTCTTGTCTTCAGGTAATTTGCTGTGTGTTGGCTGCTTGTCAGTCCTACAAAGGCCTTAACTATGAAACTCTGGATTGACCCCAGTTTTTATCTGCAGGCTGATCTTGGTTGAAATATGTAGCTAGCATCAAAAAAGACCTGGTGGAGCAGCTTTCTGAGTCCTGGTATCTTGCCTCCCAGGAACAAATGTGGTCACAGTCCCCTGCATCATGAATTGGGAACTTCAGAGACCACCATGTCAAGGGAGGAGCACTTTAGTCTAAGGATCTCTCAGCTTTTCCTGTCTCTTAGTTTGTTTCTGCTGAATCACTCCAGAGGATCTGTTCCATAACCTTACCAAGCACTGAGGTCAGGCTGGCAGGCATCTGGTTCCCCAGATCCTTCGTCCAGCCCTTCTGGGCTTATGGGTGTCCCACTTGATAACCTCCAGTCAACTGGTACCCTTCCAGTTGGCCAGGACTGCTGATAAATGACAGAAAATGTCCCAGTGACCACACGGCCAGTTTGCTGAGTACCCTTGGGTGGATCCCACCAAATCCCACAGATGTGTGTGAATGAGTGGTGTAGCAGCTCACTGACCATTTCCCCTTGGATTATGGTGATTTGTCTTCTTCCCATGATTCTTGTTAAGTTTCTGTGATGCAGATAGGGCAGATGTGAAAAGGCTTCTCAACAGCATGGCATGTATATTGTAAGAGAGGTTAAAATCATTGTTTTGGAGATTACATAAGTATGCAAATAGAGTATGTCATAATTTTCACAGTACCCTGTCCTCTTTGCACCATAGTAGGTGAACAATGACCCTTAAAAATCGTAAATCTTGACATGTTGAAGACAGATTGAAAAGCATTGCTGTCACCTCATTGCACTTGAGAAATGGGGTACGCTGTTCACCATATACTTGGGGTACTGTGCCTTATGTTTCGTTGATAAGATTCCCTGAAGAAATAATTTCATTTGTGTAAATACACATCAAATATACCATTGTTTTTTTGTATTTGTATTTTTTTTCATGAAAAGTGTAGCCCAGAGATATCCTACAACATACTTTATTGAAATTCCTTAAAACCTATCCACATTAACCCTGCAAATATATAAAGATATATAAAGCAAAACTTTTTTTCTGCAAGAATAATAGTATAAAAACTCCCAACTATAATTCCAAACCTGACTACTCTTAATTCAACTGTAAAGAAGTATATCCTTAGTAGAATATTAACTTACTGATTTATTAAGGCTTATGATGCAGCACAGTTATACTTTTGGATCTGCTTAGCCTGTGAGCTGATGCTGGAAATTGATTTTTAAATCCTTTTTTCCCCTGTTCTCTTGCAATTCATAGAACACATTACATTGACAAATGTTAGGAAACTATAGCTGTCTTACACTCATTCTTTTCTTTAAAGAGAATTTTCCCCTTTAGAGTAGTTTTCAGAGCTGTAGATGACACCCTCTCTGAAAAAAAAAACCAAACCCAAACCAGGTAAGTTTTACTTTCTGTATTTCATGTTTCTACTTACATCCTTATCAAGGCAGATTGAGGTCAATAAGAGATTTGCTTGAATGATAATGAGTTCAGGATCATCAGCCTCTGGCTGAGACGTTACTTTTGAATAAACTCATAGCTGTAGCCCCAGGTACACTAACTGCATTTTGGATCCAACATATGATGCAGGCAGACTGGCATGTAGAAACAGCACAGGAAACTTGAAACACATTATGTCTGGAGTTCATTGATTCTTGCATCAGTTGTTTGAATACATACTGCTCAGTCCAAATACTTTTAAAAAAATCTGCTGTTTTTAATCTACCATTTATTCCTGGTTTTATTTGTCGATGTTCTAGGAATACAGATGAGGCTATTGATGGCACAAGTAGCACTTGTATCCATTTGTTATTGTAGAAAAATGAGTCCCTAACCTTCCTGATATTTTACCAATAATATACCTGAACAATCAAACTTTTGATCTGACCATTCCTGTGTATGCGCACATACTCAATTCTTTCCACTTCTGCAAGCTGGTCTGGGTAGCTGTGAGCATCTGAAATTAGTGCTCAGTGCTGGTGCATGTTCACACACCAGCACTCCCTTTGCTGTATGTGTACCAGATCCATCTGCCTGATGGGCACCTGTGCCACATCTGGCATTGTTGACAGCTTTAAGAATTGCTTAATTGTCAGTTCTGCTATGCTAGAAAAGTATTAAGGTTTGCCTCTCAGTCCAAGTTATACTTGGTGCAGAAAGGTAAGGGTCAAAAAAAGAACATTTTAAAGAGGAAACTGCTACAGAAGAAAGCAGCACTAAAGTCATGATGTACATCCATAATAAATAACTGGTTTAAAGGTCCTGAGAACATTTAGCCAAAAGGAGAAGAATAGGTCTCAGAGATCTGTCATGCTTATGTTGCATTGTCTCCCTTAATGTTGCATTTTGTAAGTTTCTAAAAGAGCAGTTTTTAAAGACGAGAAGTACAACACAGTACTGTAGAAATTAGACTTAGGTGTCTGTATTAAGATTTAAGCTGTTATTTGCATTCCCCTCCAAAGAAGAATCAAATAATTTCTTTCACTAAGTAGCCTGAGCAAACATCTTTTTGGTGTTCAACTTTGGTGCCTGGTCAGGCTGAAAATATTTTAAGAACTATACCAATTTACTAATCTCTCATCAGTTTTAGGAATTTGTCTTGTTAATTCTGTGTGATCTCAGTGGTTTCCATGGAAAATCTGTAGCAAAACTGAAGAGGCCAGAAAACTTGGAAAGCAACTAGTTTTCTTACCTTTTGGAGAGAATGCTCTGCTTGAAGGAAAAGGAGGTTGATTTATTTCTTTATTTTGTGTGGCTGTCTAAATTTGCTTTAAGACTGCCTTGCTGGTGATGCTTTGTTTCTTTCAAAGATGATTCAGTTAATCCAGGGATCTCCTAGGTGAATTCACTCCTCTGAAAAGTTGTCATGCAGAAAAAGAGACAGATACTTGCTGTGACTTTTTGAAACCACTGTGGACAAAGAACCTGGCTGTCTTCCTGCATGGTGGGACCTTGTGGGGTTTTATGTGGCGCAGGCTTTGTAATCATCTCCTCCCTCAACACTTAGAGGAGGGTGTGCAGAGTGGTGGTAACTCAGCTGTCATGAGTCATCATGTTTGGCATGTCTTACCTTACTTCAGCTACCTGAGTTACATGTATGGCTTGAATAGACAACAATAGCTTTTTTCCTGGCATTTTTTGAGACAATTAACTTGCTTTCCATTGCCTTACTCTTTTCACATAGTTCTCAATATATTGTAGACTTTTCATATTTGATATACATGAGAGGTCTACAGAAACATCCTGGGGACATTGTATGTATGTCAACAGAGCAGAAAATAGCAATGGGATTTGAGTGTTTGGAGTGGGACAGGAAATGGGGCTGGCTGAGTGTCTATGTAGTGGCTAAATTTTAATTCAGTCTATTTGAATATTATATGAATATGCTTTACTACTGACCTTTGGGCAAAAATGGGCAGGATGTTTGGAAATAAAAAAAATACTACCAAAAGAAAGGCAGGTGTTTTTCTTCACCTCTTAACAAGTGTTACAAGCTGTTCCCTAAGCTTATCACAGAATCTGCTGTTATGAGAAACTGAACAATGAAGTGATCAACCATGACAATGTGTAAAGTTTTGTGAGGCTATTTTTCCTTCTGTAATTTTACAGACCAAAGAATGACATGTTGCTTCCTTGCTGTCTTGAAAGGATTTCCTTATAGGAGTAGAATCCATAAATTAGTTAATGATGGAATGATAGAATACATGATAGAATATAATTGCCTTGGGATTTTTCAGACCAAAGGGCATCAAGTACAGTCCCTAAGCAAATATGCCAAGATCAACTAGTTATTTAGCATTTGCATTGCCAAAATCACAAATGAAATGGGCAACCATGATATACATGGGCCACTGTAGGTTGAAACAGTGAACATGGAAGTATAACCACTTGGTACTAAAATTATCACTACTAAAATAATCTTCAGTAACATTTTTTTGTTTCCATAATGACTATTTATTTAATAACAGTAATTAAGATTGGCTAACATTTATTTTAATGCTAAATTTATCTGTCTTCTACTCATTTAATCCTCTAGGAGCTCCGTCTGGCAGGTTATTTAGCTAAACTGACAAGGGTGCCAATGGGGGTATTGCACAGGGTCCTGAACTTGTTGCTGCCCTCCAGCTCGCAAAGTGAGGTTCTTTCTGTCCTCGATTCCATCAGTGAATACTCAGATGGTGGTGTTGAAGGTGACAGTAATGCAGATGAGTCTGGCAGCTGTAAGAAAAGGTAGGTGTGATGTTTTCTGGTAGACCACTGCAAGACAAGATTGTTGCTTTATGTGTATATGTATGTGCTGGACAATGAGATTGACAGCTTTCGAAAATAGTCACTGGTGCATAAGTTTTCCTTTTGAATTATTTTTCTGGGGTAAAAATACTTCAAAATGGTTTACTTTATTTTGTGAAATATTTTAACTATAATAAATTGATTTATACAAAGTTTAAAAATTTTTATAAGTTCATTAAACAGTTATTTCATGGATTTATAAATCCTGTTCTGATAACTTTCTTTCTGTTGCCTGAATTGGAGTTTGTTAAAATATTTTCCTTACACTTTTTTTTTAATAGCATTCTTAACACACTGGGTTTTAGGTGTCTGTAGCTCTCAAAGATGTAAAGGAGATCATCCTTCCTCACAGTGGAAGTTGCAGCCTTGCAGAAGTCTGTCGCTTTGTAGTACTGAAGTTCCAAGTGGCCATTGTGTTTCCCTTTTCTCACAGAGACTCTCAAGGCCTTAATCACTACCCTTTAGCCCCATTAACATGAGCTGAAATCTGTGCAGTAAGACCAAGGGATGCTCCCAGACCTGCTCTCCCAACTCCCTGCCATGACTTGGGAAGGAGATAGAAGCAGATGTTGTGGCACTGAGCCCTGTTGTTGGCAGATGTGGATTGTCAAGAAACAGATAAGAGTCCTTGGTACCATGCCCTGAGGTGTGATCATAGCTGGTTTAAATGATTTGTGGCAAGGCAGCAGAAGTACTTGAACACTCTTACTGACTGCATTTGTGGTATTGCTGTCATGGGTTTGGTAGCTAAGTCAGAGAGGGAAGAAAAATGTGTATGTTTGGGGATTTGCTGCTATGAATTTTTCTTTCCTGCTCCCTCAGGAAGAGCCAAGAGTTGTGGCAAGCACTGGAGACCAAAATAAGGCAAGATCTGATAAACAGAAGTTTAGAAAATATCCCTTCTCTAAACAAGAGAAAAGACAGGTAAGGAGAAAACCAGAACAAGCATACCTGTTTTTTTTTTGTTTATAGTTTATTTAATGTCCCAAGATTCTTCTTAGAGCTGTTAGAAATCAGAAAATTAGTTCGTAAGTATGCATTTTCTAACACTGTTCTATTTAGTGCTTGTGTTTCCTACAACATATGTACGCATAAAAAGCAGTGTAGTTAATACCTAAAAAGTTTTTTCTGTACATATCCACAAAATTCTCACTTTTTCCACATACATTGCTCATCTTCCCTATTTTTATGTATTATAAGGTTACCTTTCCTTGTGCAATTTTGTATCTCAGAAAATGATACGTGAATTATTGGGGATTAGAATAAAAACTGCAATTCTTTCTGTTGAAATAGGAATTTCTTTAGCTTCCAAAGTCACCACTTCTGTGGCAAGGGGTGGTATAGGAAGGTATGCATTTTTTGCCTCCATTTTCACTTTTCAACTCATTTTTTTTCATTAATGTAGCTTGATAAAGAAGAAGCAACTTGCTCTCTTGGAGAAAGCAGCATTCATTCATCTGGGATGTTCACCTGCACATCCTCCTCCAGAACAGCCTGATCCACCTGTTTCTCTGAACTCTGCAACTGCTGAAGCCATAGAGCTGTTAGACACAGGGGAGAAGATATTTTTGTTCCGTGAGCCAAGTGATCCAATACTTGCTTTGCATAATTTTCCAAGAAAAAAGAAAAAGAACTTTCTTAATTCTAAAAAGGCTGCTCATGCAAACATGGGCTCATAAGAGCAATTTTCATTTAAAAGTATCAACTAGAGAACCGGAAGTTAGTAAACTTATGAGGAAGAATGAAGTGTATGGTTCAAATAACATGTGTTTTAATCTGATTTGTCTGATACTGGAAGCAGATGTAATTTTAGAATGGCACAATTAGTGATGTGCATCTTGCATTTTTTATTTCTTGTCAGTGCTTTGTTTCCCTAGTTGAAATATGGGTGTACTATGATGCACATTCTGGCAGGCAGGACTCTGTGTTCCTTCACTACATTTTGGTCATTTTTGCACTGATTTTACCATAGCTGTATTTTCATAATTTATACAGAAAGGTTATTTATTGTATATAGTAGGTACTGATTTACTATTCTTGTATTTATATTTTTGTGGTAAGCTGCAATATAGCAGATGACACAAAGAGATGAAATGGATGAACCACATGTCCTCTGTTCTCTGGTTTTATGTTATCCTCGTTAGTTTACTGTTTAACATTGTGTTCCTAATAGGCTTTGCATGTTAATTCTGCAGTTTATGTTCTACAATGACAGCTGGTAGGCCAGATCTTCAGTATATACTTGTGTACTTGGCCTTTCATCCTGCAGTAACTTCAGCATTTCACTGTTTCTAAACTTAAATCAGTTGAACTGTGAGTGTGGCTACAGTTCCAAACTGTTAAATATTTACAACCTGCTGCAGTTTTTTTCTTGGTGAAGCAGTGTCATCACATTTGCTCAGTAGAAAAGTGAAAAATGGAAATGGGCATGCCTTCAGAAGCTCTCTTGATTGCATTTTTTGCCAATTTTCACAATTTTAGGTATTTGTGAAGTTCTTATTTCTGGATTTCTCTAAAGTGATGAGACTATTATATTACACTTCAAAAAGAGTTAATTTTTAAACCCGTCTAGTTGACTTGAAGAACCCTATAAAAATGATTTTTAAAAAGAGGAACAGGAAAAAGCTAATTAAAATAACCATATGTATTTTTAATATTTTATATTATTCAAGCCTGTTTTGAAGGAGTTGTAACTGTATTTGAATGCTGTGCTCTGAGGCCACTGTGATCATATATTTTGCATTTTTTCATGTACAGAGCTTCTGTGCCTTTTTATAGGGTGCCATATTATTTAAAAATTAAAATGCTACAATATACGTGCATGTGCAGTGGGTATTTTTTTCCTCACTTCTTTGACAAGTTTAAATATTCATCCCACAGTAAACAACAATTAGCGTTTGCTATCACTGCTAGCATTAGAAAATGTATGCAGTAATTAGATTGACAATCCTTATTATTATTTGATTTCATTCTTCAGTCATTTCATGGAAATATTTGCTGTCACAGAAAGAGGAGTCTGCCAGGGTTGTGGGAGTTCAGAGTTGCTGTTTTAACTGTATCTGGTGTTTCATCCCCAAGGCAGGGGCAGGTAAAGAGAAGGGTCTGTCCTGCCTTGGAGTTGGCCAGAGCTGTGTAGGAGGAGCCTCAGGTGTTTCAGAAAGAGGCAAGAAAGCAATTGTCCCTAGGCAAGAAAGTAATTGGAAAAGTTGGACAGCTCATGGCTGCAAGGAACACTTGAAAGCTGAAGTACCTTCTAGAATGTCAGTCCCTTCCAGGATTTCTTTGCAAGCCCAGACTCTTCACTACTACAGTATAAGAGGGAAATGACAGTAACTCATCATGGGTAAGACAAGGAGGCCAATAGCTCTAATAGGTTACAATAATAAAAAGCAATATCTGAATATTGATTACAATAGCAATTTTTTATACTTAATAGGTAATCTCTGTGTCTGGCTGATTTGTAACTCGGTCACACCTCATCACAAATTTGAAGTGGTTCTGTGATTGTAACTATTCTAGCAGGGAAAGTTACTCCCTGCTATGAGTCACTCTTCTATCATGCAACGCATTCAAAGAAACGTCCAGATCTTAACATTTCTCGTGCCTTGTGAAAGAAGTAATAAATAGGAAATATCCTGCTTCAGTAAAGCTGACTTAAATTCAGCTTTGAGTTGCTCAGAGGACAGAGGACCAGCTGTAGATTGTGCAGATTTGTGTGTGTGCCATAGGTATTATGGTTCTTATTTCACAGCTGAAGTCTCTCAAGCCATTCAAATTCATCCCATTTGGCTTCACAGTCATCAACACAGGAAGTTGTATAAGGCCAAGTTCTTCAGTATTTGGAATATTGTCCAAATCAGTTGTGTTCCCATGGAAGTTCATTGCTTCTCCTGTTGCCCTGGACAGTTCCCTGTGTACTCCCATCTCCATTGCACTGCTGTCTTCCCTCAACATGAAGCCATTGGACAAGGAGCCAAAACATACAAAGAACAAGCAAAAGTAACTATCCTTGGACAATGATGCTTTAATCCATACAGTAAATAACAACTTCATGGCAATGGTAGATTTTATTGCAGAAATTATTCTCCATACTGGACTAATAAACTGTAGCTTTGTTATGTTTTTTCGACATGTACTTCAGTAATGTTAGCTTGCAGCTAGCAGCCCTTGTGCTCAGGTTTCAGGATTTTCAGGAGGCTTAGTTATGCATAGGCTCCTCGGCATTATCAACCACCCATCTTTCTTGCTGTATTTTTGGCTTGGGATATCTGGATACTGGATTAGCATGCCATACATATTCCTCACTTTGTCAAGCTTTTAAATAATTAATAACTTATAATAATTAATAAATAATAATTTAATAAAATAAAATATTGCATTTTGAAGGTTGGTGTTTTTTTAATAAAATGGATCCCACGTGATGCAAAATATTTTAGGGAAGATGTACTAAAAGTGTCCTGCATTGACAGTGACTGATTGAGGTGAAAATGCTTCTGTGAAACAAGTGGGTTGAGATTTCTGATCATAAATTTATATTTCATTTCTTTAACCTTGCTATTGTGTATTAATTTATTATGAAGTAGAATACAGATGCTAAGCCTAATGAAGAATAATTCATACCAAGTGTGAGTAACTGGATGTTCTGGCAGAGGCTATCTGTGTCAAAGTCAATCTGTTGTAAACAAAAGTGAGAACACCTAGATGGACCTGGCACTTCACTACAGAAAAATGTAAAAATGGAAGTAAAAGGATTGGTGGAAATAATTGTTACATTTAATAGGTATCTCTTACTCTTCACTGATTACTGTAATTGTTTTTAAAGTGATAATGTCTCTTTAATAAGGTCAGTTCTGCAAAATACTTTTCTGCCTTATTTGAACCTGGGGAACTCATGCTGATTTCTTTCATTATCTGGTATTTACCCAGCTGCTATTTTAACACCTTCATTTCTTCTGGGGAATGTTAAGTTTTTATGCTGTTACCTTTGTACAACCCAGTGCCAATAATTACACTGCCTTTTGTCAACAGCTCCAGCTTCCCAAGAGACTGACAGTGGGATTTACAAAGCATCAAATGCCAGGTTCACTCATCTGTTGCCCCCTGCTGTGCTTATGCAGCCTTAGGTGTACCAGCAAAAAGCTTATTTTCCATGCTGAGTTATAAAGCTGTATTGTCACAGGCTGTTGAGAGCTGTGTGGGTTCATATGAAAAGCAATACTTGCAAGTGATGAACATTATCCTCCTAGCTGAGCGCTCCAGGTAGGATCTGGCCTTTTCCACATTCTGTTTCACCACTCAAGATCTCTTGTAAAAATGACTGGCAAAAGCCACCAGCTCAGGTCTTTAGTACGGTCTTTCTACTTGTTTTCTTGTTATTCAAAGGGAATAAGGCAGGGAAAGTCAGTCAGACACCACACTTGTGAAAGACTATACAGTGGGCTCAACGTTGGCAACTGTGACTTAAATTTAATTTTAATCTCTTTAATATATTTAATGAGAACTGGTAATGTCCACCTTTGTATTTGAGCGGTCTTGTTATCTAAAACCACTAGTTAGTTTTCTCACCTCAGCTGTATCCAGAAGTTTGAGTCACACTGACCAAAAGCAATTTGTTTTCTCCAAGGTTCACAGATGCCTCTGGAGAGCAGAAGACATACATTTGCAGGGAAATGAATTTTGAAAAGGTCATCTTCTTTGGAGCATCTTCTTCAATCTTCAATCTAGCCAGAGAAGGTACCTCAGAAAAGAGGCTGTGTACTTTCAACCATTTTTGTTTGAAAAAAGATGACCGAATAAGAAAATAAATTAAAGCCTGGAAGTGGCAGGTATCATTCCAAGCCAAAATAGCACTCAGAATCTGAGGGCAGAACTTGGTAAATTTGAGCTTTGCTGATGGAATTCAGTCCTTGATACTGTGTAGTTGAGAGTGATGGCTAGTTAGAATATGTGAATGGTTTTATAGTTACTCAACTGAGCAAAGATATCCTTATGCAGTGTTTCAGAAGAAGTAAAATATTTTTCAGGAGTATGAATTGAAAGGCCATTATAAAATACCTTGAATGGATAGATGTGCAATGTCTGTATTAAATGGGATAAATGTATAATTGTTTGTCATATTTTTCCAATATATTGTTCTGCTTATGGCTTGACCATCACTAGTAATTAAATCTTGTCACATTTGCCAATAGATTTTTATTCATTTGCTGTTGACTGCTAGCAATTCATCGCTCTAAAATTACCATTTTGGTCCTTGCATTATCCTTTCCTAAACCTCCCTTTTTTTGCAGGAGAATGAATATGTTAGAGATCGTGATGTTCCCTGATGATTCAAACCCACATGAATCCCCACTTTTTTTTAATTTTTTTAAGTTGTTTTCTCTTTAGTTGTATGGTTAGATGATGGTTTAATGAACACTAAGTAGCTTTGTCACTACCTATACTGGTGGCCAGGTCTGGGGTACTGTACATTGCTTTTCTGCATGCAGTTTTCAAAAACAAATGTATTCTTCCATGTTTAAAAACAAAAAAAATCTAATTAAACCCAAACAAACTACAGAATCTATCAATATGACTTATGTGGCTTTATAAAGAAATATAAGCCTTTGAACAAGTTCTAGAATAGTGTATCTATCTTTTCAGAGAGAAGAGGAAAAGCTGCATCTAACCCATTTGATTCAGTGTAGATTCACAATTCTTTTTACTAATTGTTCACCTTATTTATGTAACAAACCAGCATGCTCTTAACGTGAA